GGACAGATCGAGGACTCTTCGATTTTTGTTTCTGAAAATTAGAAATCGAAAAGAAATAGGTATAAGAATGTGGATCAACCATAGATAGAAAAATGAATAAAACAATGAGAAATCGAAAAGAACCTTCGATTTCTTCGAAGATGAAGAAATGGTGGCCGAATGTTTGCGTTTTCTGACGAAGGCCGATGGGTCTGACTCATCTGAGGACTCCCAGTCCTCCTCCTTCTCTTTCTCGACAGCGACGACCTTGGTGGACTTCGAAACTGTCGAAAAAAGGAAGACAGTTAACTTACAATATACAGAATCAAAAAACATGAAAAGGCAGTAAAATCTCACCAAAAGGTGATGGAGTCAAAATCGTGACTCGATCGATATGTACAAGCCAAGGAGGTAGGAGAAATTGAGGGAGATGGAGGTAAGGGAAATAAGACAATTTCGATACAGAAATATCTTTATTTTTGGGTTTTGGGCGAAGTGTTTCCCTTAGGGATCTCAATTCTCGAACCTATTTGGGATGAGTTAAAGGTTTGGCGATCCCAAAGGGTGCTGTAGGAAAAGTGGGAAGGTGATTGAGACAATACATTTCAAAAGAGGTTTTTCCTAAAGGATTGATTATTTTGTGGTTCGATCGATTGGTGGTTGTTTTATGGGATAAGGAAATAACAACATCATAGAAGGTCGATTCTAATTTCAATGGGTTGTAACATATTTGATAAAAATTCTCGAATCGAGATATTTGACGACAGTGGAAGTGTGTACCTTTCTTCGCTTTCGATTTGTCCTGCAACACAAGAGAAGGATGAGCAGTCAATTTTTGTCGGACTTCGTCAAAAGCAGAATGATTACTCGAGAAACAATCGGCCCACCATTGAGAGAAACCCACAGTTGATAAATAATTTGATTCAAAAGCATAGGGATAAAAAAGTAGTGGGGTTTGTGGTAGTAGTTTGGTCAACTCCCGTCCGATTGTCGATTCATTTAACTTGGACCTTGGGGAGGGATCAAGGGGGAAGAAAGGTAAGGATTGACTCAAGCCAAATTGTCTCGAGAAAAGTTGGGGGTAGTAAGTGATAAACCTAAAATCCTTAGACTGAAAACCCGATACTAATACATCCTGGGTTAAATAATTACTCCACACATCGACCAACTCTGATTGTAACCCAGGAGTTAAGGTAGGGAATTTTGACTTAAACCAAATTGGCCCTCAAAGTTGATCACTGATTCGTCCAAGATGCACAGTAAAAGGAGCCAAAGTTGAATCGAAATGAAACCTAGTTAACAAAAATTTAAGGTATCTACAGTAAGTCGCTTCGTCGGGTTTGTGGTGAGGATGGCGAGAGGACAATCGAGCACCTTCTATATTTACACTTGGGGGGATGGTGGAAGTTGGGGGAAGGATGCTCTCAAAAATCGAATTCAGCCATAATTCTATAAACCAAATAGGGCCAGAAAAATTTCCCGAAGCTTTGGGGGTACTCAAAATCTCGACAGCCTCATCGAAAGTAGTATATACATGGGCTAACAAAAATTTGGCTAAACATATTCTAGGTTGGCCAGTATGAAGGAGGTAGGCAAGGTTGTAAAGGTGGGAGGAAATTTGGATAGATCAAGGGCAGAAAACATGGGTACATAACCAATACACCAAAAAGGCTATGTGTTCTTCATCAGTTACAGCTATTGATTCGTCATCGACGAAATGCTTCTCGAGGAAATGTCCATAGGTTTTCGATTCCCAATCGATTTTGGATCTTAGGGAATTATCCGAGGGATATGCACCCTCAAAATATTTTTCCCCTGAAGGCTTCAAACCAGTGATCGCAGCAACTTCGAACAGGGTGGGCGAAAGGGGACCGCAAGGTAATTCCAAAGCATGTAATTCCTTATTCCACAGATGAACAGCAGACAAAAACATAGCCATATCCAGATGAGACAAGTCACATCGGGACAAGTGCAAGAAATCGAAAATTCCCACATCTTTCCAATGATTCCCGAACTTAGTCTTAACTCTATCGAACCATCTAATGTACAAAGGTTTTTTGGAAGGGGGGCCTGTTCGATATACTTTAGAGGCAAGATTCAAAATATCAACCCTAACTTCATATTGGTATGCATTTTCGATACTATGTAAATTTCGATTATCATATGCATTTCAATTGAAAATCAATTTGCTAGCCTAAGTAAAAAAGAACTTGCGTGGTTGAATTTTGATTAGAATCAAAACACCTTAAGAATCGGAATCGATCGAAATTCCACCAGAAACAGATGGAGAAAAAAAAGGTGCCCTAAATTTGTAATGAACTAATACTTTAGGGCTTTAAATGGCACATGACGTGGGCTCTAAGCCCAATTGTTGGATGCGTGGCTTATGATTAAATTTTATATTAGAAAAACACAAAATTTAAATACGATTTAGTTTAATTATTTTTTTTTTAAATTAAATTAAATCAATTTGATTTGAATATTTTTACTATTTATATATTATAAAATTATTCAATATATTATAATAAAATAACTATTTAATAAAAATATATATAAATTTATTATATCTAATTAATTATAATTGTTATAATTTATTTTATATATATTTTTACATTTAATTTAACTAATAATAATATACTTTTTAAATAATAAAAAATTATCTTTTAATTAGTTTTCGATTTATCTCTTCAAGGTGAATCCGTTTATGAGGAATCTGTTATAGATAAATTGTTTTGTCTAATTATCATGGGAAGCGTACAAAATAGTAATAAAGTTAAAATATATTTTTAGTTCCTATAAATATGATTTCATCTGTTTTAATTTAGAAAAATATTTATCAATCTTACTTTTTTATATTTAAAAAATATGAATTAAGATAATTAAGATAATAAAAATTATTTTTATTAATATAATTATATTTTTTAGTTAGTTAATTTAATTAAATAATATATTTAATATTTAGTATAAATAAAATAATTATATTTCTATTCAGGAATTTACTTATAGTGTTGTATTTTTATTAAAAATAATTATAATTTAGTTAGAGATTATACTTTAAAATTCAATAATTATAAAATACACTATAAGTATCTAAGTAATTAAATCTTAAAAAGTAAATTTTTGAATGAAAAAAATTATATAAAACTGTCTTAATGTAGTAAATATGTTATTTAATTAAATACATACGGATGAAATATTGTCTAAATTTAAAATCATTTCACTTAATTATTATTTTTTACGTTAAACTGGTTATAACTAGTAATAAATCCTATGAAACAATGATTAAAAACTACTAGAGATATAAAACTAACAAATAAACTTAAGGCAACACAAATTTTTTAAAATAGATCAACGATGAGTTCACTCCGTCTGACCGATCAAACAGAATAAAACCGGTTAAAAATAGACTAAAACTACCCACCCCCCTCGTACTATTTTTAAGGCGGGTTGGTGGATCGGTTTCCTACTTAACCCCAGTTTTCTCAATCCAGTTTCAAACTGATCAAAATCCATACTATGTAACAAATGAGAATCTAATCAAATTTATCATCAACTTCACCTCAAGTCATGCGAAAAAATTTCATTGCCATCTGATCAATTCATGTTAAAACAGAACGAAACACTTTTAGTATACTAGAAAGATCATTGGAATCTCTCACGCCAACAAGTGACACATGCCTAATATTTTCTCTTATAAGAAACAAAAAGAAAAGTGGGAAAAAAAAGTTGCGGTGTTTTTGTTGATATCTGCGGAATCTAAGGCTGAAGAGTAACGTTGCATAGTAGGCCTCATCAGATGGAGGAAAACAGAATACAATTCTAAAATTAGGAAAACATAACAGAAAGATGAGATTCCTTTGCTAAAATTCAACGTGAAAAAAATTACAGAATCTCTTTGCGCCTGTTTAGACTATATAGAATAACAAGAATGACAACAAATCCATTTGAGTGGTATTAAAAAACACGACAGTGGCTATAGTTGCTCAAAATATCATCTATATTAGATTGGACTTTTGGTCTGTACATATCATTCTGATTTTGATGTTATTTTTAACCTCTAAAAAAGCTCTCAAAATATGTGATTGCCTTAGAGAGAGAAACGTGTTCATTTTGCTAACTCAATAACGATTCTAATTACAGAAAAATCTACACTTTCTCTGTCACAAATTGAATAGGGACGCAGCAAATATTCTTCGGGAGAAAAAACCCACCGTGTTAGTCATCAAACAAATTAATTCCTATACCAGTAAAAGTGTTAGACTTGTAACTTTCTTCTGTAGATTACATCTCTATTTTTTTTTTCGCACCATATCAGAACAAATATCTATTACTCAACACAACATCTCACTGGATATATAGTAGTTACATGATTCAAAATTGAAACCATTTGCAATTATATAAACACTTTTGATTAAACATATAATTGATTCATTGTACAATTTACTAGTTTGATCATTCAAAAATTGATTCTTACGTACAAGAATCCAAATTAAAGTGAACTTAGTGAATAAGTATCAGCTTTCAAATGTGCAAAAGAGTTAACGCGAAAGAGACCAAGCAAGTAGTACTTATAACCACTCAAATTGAGAATCATGAGACGTATACGAAATAAACTACTATATGTTTAACCCGTACATATACTCACTTGGTTCATTCATGAAGATAAGACTACGCAAACAAATGCTAAATATTCTAAAAAAACACAGATCCAGAGTCATCACTAACCATAAAATTTTTCATTGATCACTAAAATTTGATCATAAAACTGGGCATCGACCCGTTGCAACAAATAACGAAAGATAACCCAGTCTAGAAAAAAAAATAAAAAGAGCCTAAGGAAAAGTTCAAAGACATCTCGTTGAAACCCACTCCTGAAAATTTGGGAATGGATCCAAGGATGAGAAGAACCAAAAACCTATTACACGGCAAAAAAAAAAAAAAAGATTCCTGGGTAGTTGTTCATTTACAAATTCAGATTCTGACAAAAGGGAAATGGAAAATGGAAAATGGAAATGGGGATGTCAAACCTCTGCTTTCTGCAGCAGAGGGGTGAAAACGACGACGTTTTCCTTACAGGAATCGTTCACGTCAGCGTCGGAGACCAAGTTGAGGAAGTCTTGCAGAGAGAGTTTTCCGTACTTGTGTTCGTCTTTGTGGAGAAACTTAACGACGTTAGAGAAGAAGGGGACTTGGCAAGGGAGGACCAAACCGCCGTTACCTCGGAGTCCGAACTGTTCCTCCGTTTGTTTGAGAAGGTCTTCGAAGACGGGGAGGTTGAGGAAACGCGCCGGGATGGCGAAGCGCGTGCGGTCGGGGCCGACGTAGACGAAGGTGAAGCCGGAGGGAGGGCGGCGCGTGGAGGAAGGGTCATCGGAACGGCGGCGGAGGCTGATGTTCTTCCAGCGCGACATGAGGTGCTTGAGACGTACGATTTGACGAATCTTGTCGACCTTCTCACCCGCCATTGTAAATGGGTGAATGAAGAAGAAGAGAAAGGTTTGGTTTTTGAGTTGAACAGAGTGTGGAATGGAGAGAGAAACAGGGATAAAATAGTGTGGGAGTAATGAGTGAGAATTGATCCTCTGGTTAAGAGAATGATTGTGTTTTTTCCGACCCAACCCAACCCAATTTCCAATCACTTCATATAGGGTTTTTTATTATATAATGTATACAAAAGTTTGAAATCAGAAAAAATAAATAATTTAAAAATATTGATTAATACGTTATGAAATCTGCTAGAGTTTCTTAACCAAGTTATACAGTTCAAATAACCTCAATTTCTTAACCACGTGGTTTATAGATTAGAAGGAAATTAAATTATGACCTTATGCATCCTTCATGAAAAAAATAATTAAAGATAAATTGCATGTAATTATAAAATAATTATTTACTTGGTATTATTCAAATTAAATAATTATTATTCAGATCCAAATTAAGTAATATGATGTATCATTAATATATTTATTAAGTATTTGTAATGATATTTTTATTTTGTTGTATTTTTAGTAATTAATAAAGCCCTTTAATAAATTATTAATTTACACTGTAACAAAATTAATAATTTCCTTTCATATTATGGAAGTTTAGAATAATATATGGTCAAATAATTTTTAAAAATTAAATTGGGACTTATTGTATATTAGTTTTTATATTTTATAAGATTAGTAAATTTGTTTTTGAATTTTTTTATATGATATTGATCCTTGATTTTTAATTAGCCGTAGTTTCGTTTAATTATCTAAATGTGTTACTCAAGTGTGTTTGAGCCGATAAAAAATAAATTAATAGATATTTTAATTCATTTAAATATAAAGTTGATAAAAAACATATTAAAATATGTTCAATCATTATGTATTCAAATTAACAAATCGACCGTGTTTTATTTTATTGAATTCCATTGTCTACCTGGATGGATGGAAGGAGATCTTAAAACATTTTTTTAATAAGTTAAAGATAATTACATTTTAAGAGACTGAAGTGACTGAAAATAAATTAGAAAAAAAAATAATGGATTTTGGACAAAAATGGAATAAGATTACAATTAAAACAAATTTTGTGTGAATTAAGAAAAAAATAATATATAATGTTTTGAGCAATTTTACTAAAACAATATAATTTTCTTAATAAATACATTAGTTTATTTGGGACTGAAATAATTATTAATGTATAAAAAAATATTAATTAATATTTCATTCAATATTAATAACATTAGTTGATTTCCATTTTATCTTGAATTTAAATCGCTTGGGATTGAAGGAGTAATCCAATCAAAATTTCCCAAATTACTATAAGAGATTTAAATGGTAATCATGATACATAACTATTATGATTCATGAATATTTTCATAACATTTGATGAAACACATGTGTAGAATAAAGTAATAAAATGACTTATACAAATGTATGCATTATATTAGAATCACATACACACACATATATATATCAGACAAAAAACTAGATATAATAATAATAATAAATTATCTAAATTGTAAATATCTTACTATTTTAATACCTACCACTAATATGATATTCGCCTTTCCTCTAATTATGATTTTGTCTTATTATCGATTTATTCGTGAATAGAGTAGAATACATTATTCATTAATGTTTAGAACAATAATTTATGTAATAATAAATTGATGTCTTAATCTTTCAATTGATATATTTAATAAATGATATTATACATGTTAAAAAATTAATAAAGCTTATACACTGAAGGTAATAATAATAACAACTAAACAACGTGTTCAACTATATATTTATAATGTATGATCAAATAATTTTAACATTAACAGTTTTCTGTCCTTATTAAATTGTTTCACTGAATTTTGATTTAAAATACAATTCAGTATGGTTTTAAAAATTATATTATTTTAGATTAATTGGAAAATAAAAAATGAATCTCACCTTGCACAATGCATCAATAATTACTTAAAGCACTCGAATTGTTGATGAGACGCTATTGGTGTGACGGTGTGACTTCAATATGATGGTGCAGTCCACTAAAAATATATTTTCTTATAATTCCACAGAGAGAGACTTTACAACGTATCAACGTATACATTTTTTTATAATAATAATAATAATAAATCATAAATCAGATTAATTACATAATTAGAGATAACATCATAGTACATTTAATATTTAAAAAAAATATAATTTAAATGATAAAATTATATTATTTAGTATGAACAATAGAATCATGTATAACATATTATAGGATATTCAAATATCTACATTCTCTATTTGTTACATATATTTTATTTTAATATTATTTAAGCATCTTTCTCCTTATCATGACTTTGTCAATAATTCTGTATAGTTCTTATAAAATAATAAAATTTTAGTTTTAATCTCTATACAAATATATGCAATTTAATTTTAGTTCCTTTATATATATATATATATATATATATATATATATATATATATATATATATATAATCTCAAAACTTTAAAATAATTTTTTTAAGTCTTAATATCGATTTTTAAAATAGATGAATAATATTTATTTTAGGGATATTAAGAATATTTTAAGATAAAACGTATATTATAATATTAGTATTCATCACTTTCAAATTGTGTTTTAACCTTTTCTCTAGTGTATAAGTAGTTATTTATTATATATAATATTATAAAACATAGTAATTTGTGATTTAAAAAAATGTTAACTTTACTTATTTTAGATAAATTCAAAATATTATATATATATATATATAGAAATCTTCACTTATTTTAATTAGTTTAATAAGTTTCTACCTACATGGATCACTTAGCCTCTTATTTAAGTATAATCACTTAGTTAATTATGTCATAATGTTATCACCATTCAGCACCCAAATGTACTCTAATGATGTTCTTAAACTAATTACATAAGACAATTTTAGCAGTGACTTCAAATCCAAGTATTAACGTGAGAATATCAATGAGTACTATTTTAAAATTTGTACGTTCTGAAAGTTATTTTTTACCATTACAAGTGGAGAGCTTGTAGGGGAATTGTGTTTGAAATCTTCTTCTAACGTGCAGAAAAATATACACATATTTCACTTAAAAAGAGGATATGATGATATGAACTAGAAAGGAAATACACACGAAACGAAAAAACTGTTTAAAACTACGTTAAAATTATTTTTTAAAGTTTCAATAAAAAATTAAAAACTGTCAAATAAATACTTCTAAATTTGTATTTCTTCTTTGCAAGGCTTTTTTTTAACGGTAACGTGAATTTAATTAATTAGACAAATTTTAGGAATCTAATTTATTATTTTTAATGAGATTTATAATTCGAATCATATATTTTTTATTTATAAAGTTTAAATCATATGGATAATTTTTTTAAAATTTTATCTTATTATTATTTGAAATATTTATTTATTTTATAATTATATTAATATCTACGACAGATTTAACATATACGTTAATGTTATATAAGATCTCATTAATATATAATTTAGAACTACAAATTATTAATCGATATTAATTTTTTTATTATATAATTTAATAATATTTAAAAAAAGACTTTGCCATGATTATTTTCGAAACAGTTAAAAGTAAATTAATATTAGAAATATAAATGAAACTATTTAAAAGTAATAGAAAAGTTATTTAACAGAATTTTTTTTTAAAAGGAACAAATCTAGTAACCTCAACCATTTATACGCTGGTTGTGTTAGTTGGTTATAATTACTAGTTGGCTGAAAATTAAAAAGCAAAATTGAAAGTTGTGGCCGTACAAAAGCAGCAGAAAGTTAGTGCAGATGGCGGAGTTTGTGGGAGAACGCCGTAGTACTTTTCCGTATGCCATGGATTTCATATTCTCTTCTCTTTTTGCTTTGCATCATGTTACCACATCAAATTCTACAAATTTTATTTATTCTTTACACGCAAGGCCAATAAGAAAGAACAGTTTCTATTTCTATCTATACCTGATGAAAACAATATTAAAGTTAAAAATAACCATATTTACCGGTCAAGTCTTCTGACTCACTTCACATGGGTGAGATGCAGATTAGTTAGTAACCACCCACATGAAGATTGGGACACTACACCCGTGATTTCTTCACCCGCTCCTCTCTCCAAAATCACTTTTCCCTTCCTTAAACCGCACTTTTTTTATCACAACTTACGCATCCCTTGCCGCAAATCACTCCATTACTCTCTTAACCAATCACAACCATTAAAAAATTATTTACCTACCCTTTTCAACTCTTCTCCGATTCCGAGTGTTACTATTATTTTAAAACATTATTATTATTATTATTATTATTATTATTATTATTATTATTATTTCGGTAATTCAGGTAATAATTTATATACACAGTTTTTTTTTAACCTATCGAAATATCTTTAATATTGATACTTAAAATAAAATCGATCCCAATTATTTTAGCATTGCGATAATGAGATCTAATTATGTTATCATAGCGAATATGAGATCAAGACTCTCTCTTTTATAGACGGAATATTGACGCTTAGAGTAAAATCGACCTTAATTATGATTCGTAGACAAAATATTCACTCTCAAAGTAAAGTCGATCCTAACTACGTTATCATAACTGACATGAGATTGAAACATTCTCATTCACAGACAAAATATTGACGCTTAGAATAAAGTCGACCCTAACTATATTATCATAACAAACATAAGATCGAGAGATTGGGGCACTCTCATTCGTAAACGAACTATTGACGCCTAGAATAAAGTCGACCATAATTATATTATCATAGTTGACATAAGACCAGGATACTCTCTTTGGTAGACAGAATATTGGCGCCCACCATGAGGTCGAGAATAAAGTTTTGCTCTACTCATATCCCGTCTAGAACTTTATTATCATAGTGGACATCAGATCTAACTATATTATCATACCGAACATGAAATCGGGACACTCTTGTTCGTAGACAGAATATTGACACCCAAAGTAAAGTCGACCCTAATTGTGGTTCGTAGACAAAATATTGGCGTCCAGAGTAAAGTCAACACTAAATATGTTATCATAACAAACATGAGATTTAACTATATTATCATAACGGACATGAGATCAGGAGATCAAGACACTCTCGTTCGTAGACAGAATATTGACGCCCAGAGTAAAGTCGATCATAACTATGTTATCATAATTGATATGAGATCTAACTATGTTATCATAGTGAACATGAAATATAACTATATTATCATAGCAGACATGAGATTGGGAGATCGGAACACATTCATTTGTAGATGAAATATTGACGCCTAAAGTAAAGTCGACCCTAACTATATTATCATGGCGGACAAGAGATCGGGACACTTTCGTAGATGGAATATTGGTAGCCACCATGAGACCGAGACTAAAATTTCGCTCTACTCATACCCCTTAATTTTCGACTGAGGGTTTATATTTCTTACACTTATAAATCAAGGGTTTATATTCGTAGAGGGAATATTGGTGTTCAACATAAGAACGAAAGTCAAATTTCACTCTGCTTACACTCCTTAATCTTCAACTGAAGGTTTATATTCCGTATTAAACGAGTCAATGATTTATATTCTGTAAACTCATGAATTTATGTTTATGTTCCCTATACTAATGAATCTTACATAGTCTAAAAATTGATGAAAGTTTATATATATACTTATCTTTTAATCTATAAATACTCTTTTTAAAGATAAAACTTGATAGAGACCATATATTTGACGGAGGAATTAATTATATATATAACATGAAACACTTTTATTAACGACGAAACAATTATTAAGTATCATCCATGACTCTAGCTAGAATCACATGACAAACAGAAGTAACAATTAAGAAATGTTATCACTTTTTTTTTTTTTCTTTAAATAAAATAAGAGTGTGATGCCATGCAGGAGAAGCAACGGTGGTAGTTCTGCGCAGAACAAACAGGGAGGTTGCAGAAAGCAGAGGTGTGTGTCGGGTAAAAAATGGATCCACGCTCACCAAGTACAGATTCGTAGGATCAAAGTTGTCAGAACGTAAAATCGTTGACCCACTCTTTTGTAGGCGCGTGTTGGACACTAGTGCCAAGCAGTGGGCTGTTTCGAGTACATGCTTCACTGCGCGTGATTCTCAGATCACTTTTAGCATAGAATGGCGAGACGTAACCTTGGCAGTTTTTACAGTTTGGTGCGCAGGATCGTCATAATACTAGCCATGAGGAAAGAAGAAATAATAATAAAAAAATGGAAGGAAAGAAGAAAGAGGAAAGAGTAAAAATAAATAATTTTAAATTGTTTGAAAAGATAACAGAATTTTTTTTATTTGTTTGGTTCTATAAAATATATAAACACCTGTAAAAAATAATACGGCAATGACATGAGTAAAATAATATATTATAATGTGTCTAGAATCTCTTTGGTATCCCACCTACAGGTCAAATTTATGATACACAAATAGTGTTTTTTTTTTTTTTTTAAGCTTTCAATGTATCTCAATTTTTTTTTTCACAACAGAAAAAAAATTATGTGAAACTGGATATCACGTGTTTATTTTGTTAAGTAGGCATGTTACCAAACCACGAAATTCAATTTATAAATGAAATGAAATAGGATCAATTGAGAGGAATAAAGTATAAAAATATTAAATATAAAAAATATAAAGTGATTATAGTTTGAAAATTGAGAATAATGCTGACTAATTCTCATATAGTGTATGAAATTCATCGTTGAAAAGAAAAAACAAAAGTGAAAAATACCGGAAGTGTCCTATTAAGAAATTAATAAAATACGAGCATGATACTTCAAGCTGTGTATTTTAGTTTGTAATATAAAGTAGATACATTAATGGTGTAATATACAAAATTAGTTTCTAATTCTATGATATATATAAATATAACTATATTATGGAAACAAGTTTTCACAGTTTTGTTCATGATGATGATGGTTTCCATGAATATTACTTGTGTAACAAAAATAAATTAAAAAAAGGAGAGGAAATGTCCATCCAAGAATATAGAAACGGGCCTATTTGATAGCGCCAGACATAAATAATGGGCTTGGGTTGTATTAGAATCAGGTCCAACTGAATCTCATCCACACAATTGCTTCTACACCTCAATTTGTTTTTCTCCACCTCTCAAAAAAGAATTTTAAAATCGTCAGACACTTCTTCGAAAATGTAATCTGAAATATATTAGAAATTAAAATAAATTTGCACTGTTCATTTTTTTTTAATTTCAAACTAGATTACCTCTTAATCAAAATTAATTTTTATCTCTTTCAAATTATTTATTTTAAAATAACAAGTAATAAGATTTTGCATTGCAAAGTAAATTTTTCTGTACAGTTTACAGACATTTCGGAATGTTATTTTCATATACTTTATAAATTATTTGAAGATATTCTTTCCGGAATAGTTTACAAACCGTTCCGGATCGTTGTTTCCAAAAATTACTAACCATTCCAAATCATTTTCAAATATTTATTTGATTATTATTTTTTATTTTGTGGGCACTAAAATTATTATTTGATTTTCTATTAAGAAATTTTTATCCTGACCTGGCTACATCCGAAGGAGAGCGTCCAATCCAGAAATGCATGGCAGCTTTGAGTGCAGCAATAAAACGAAGCAGGGAGTAACAAACAAACGGTGCCAAAGAAAAGACGGTGGTGGTGGCCCACCAGAAAGCGCCAACAAACACGTCCTTTGTCTCAATTGAAAAGGTGTCGATTATGCGTTCGAAGGGAATGTCCTCTATTCAAGAAACGATGATGATGATTATGATGACGACGATGAACTGTATTCATAATTCAATTCAACAATGTCCATAGTATTCCTCACTAGTACTCACCACACTCCACATCTTTCAAACTCCTGCACCGCACCTGTTTGATCAACGATCCACGCCAATGACGTGCTTCTGTTTGCCCTCGCTCTCTCCTCTCAGTCACACCCTCTTCCCTCAATGCGCTGTGGTTAGAGTTGGAGTTTCTCTGGCCAGAAGCCTCTCCCGATTGCATGCGCGCGATTCCGTTATTCGCTCACCGGCGAAGATTCGCGCTGCTCGTAATGGCGGCGCTTTCGAGACCGAAACCGCCGTGGTGGAAAAGCCGCAATTGGAGAGTCTCTTCCAATTTTCCAGAGGCTGCCCTTCCCCCTTCGGTGCCACCGTTCGAGACGGTGGAGTCAATTTCGCTATTTACTCTCTCAACGCAGTCTCCGCCACCCTCTGTTTGTTTACTCTCTCCGATTTTCAGAATGTGAGTCACTCCTCTCTCCATTTCCCAATCTCTGATAATGAGATTAATAATCCAATTGTTTGTTTGGATTCTCGTTCGATACTCTGAGATCACTTTAAAATGTTTTGCATGTTTTTGTTTCACGTCCACGAAATGGTTCTAGGTCTAAAATTGAAGCAATTGAAGTAGCGAATTTTATACTGAGTTGTTGTACTGTTCCGGCTTTAGGAATGAAAACATTCATTCATGATCACTTGACTTTAAAACCAGTTTCATTCCTATTCAAATTTGTGAAGAATCAACCAAATACACACTAAAACTTTTGAAAACGTAACTCGGTGATAGTCTGTGGGTGTTGTTGACCATATGAGTTTATTTGTTTCAGAATCGAGTGACGGAGTATGTTCCGCTTGATCCTTTGTTAAATAAGACTGGAGGTGTCTGGCATGTTTTCCTGAAAGGAGATTTTAGCGACATGCTTTATGGATACAAATTTGATGGCAAGTTTTCTCCTCTCGAGGGGCACTACTATGACTCTTCTCGTATACTGTTGGACCCTTATGCAAAAGTTAGTGTCTCTGCAGTCTGCACTCTTCTTTTGATTATTTATATATAAATTGGAATGCTGGTGAAACAAAATTCCATCTATTGATGATTATTTTTGTCTTTTATTTATTGGAGTGGACCCTAATCATATATTACTCATTTGTCTAGGCAGTAATAAGTAGAGGGGAGTTTGGCGCTTTAGGACCTAATGGTGACTGCTGGCCTCATATGGCTGGCATGGTACCTTCTGATCATGATGAGGTGCTTTATTTGTTTTAATGGTTTTTAGTTTTTACTCTATCTTTTTAAAAATTATGTTTCACTTTTTATTCATGTTGTATAATTTGTTCAGTTTGATTGGGAAGGAGATTTGCCACTGAAGTATCCACAAAAGGATCTTGTTGTATATGAGATGCATGTGCGAGGGTTCACAAAGCATGAGTCGAGCAACACCAAGTTCCCTGGTACATATCTTGGTGTGGTGGAGAAGCTTGACCACTTAAAGGTGAAGATTCTGATAATTTTTCATAAGATAATTTGAAGAGTACCAATCTTTATAATGTAAAAGTAGTCTAGTAATTTTTTTTTTTTTTTTTTTTTTTTTTTTTTTTTATGAATCTAATAGATTGTGCATTTCTGAACTAATTGTAACGAAATTCTCCACGGGATAAGGAAATAATTGTGTCTTTATTTAAGCCATAAACATAATTTTTCAGTGAGACAACACAATGCATGGTTTTGAATGAACTTGAATTGGAGTTAGTGTTACGGGTAGACTTTGGGCTGAGTCTTTCTGTCATCTAGGTTCATCACCTATTCTCTCATGCTGTTGGATCTACGATTTAATTTTATTTTTTCATGAGATTGGCGTTTCACATTACATGTTTAACCTCTATGTTGCGTTAGTGCACAAAACTGATATCAATGTACACATTGCTTGGTAATCCATAATGAAACTGCTTTCGTTTGGCTTTATTTGTGTTGCAGGAACTTGGAGTCAATTGTCTAGAATTAATGCCATGTCATGAATTCAATGAGCTGGAATACTCCAGTTACAATTCTGTACAAGGGGACTACAGGTAAGGGAGTTATTTGTTGATGGAACAATTATTGTTTTATCATTGACTTCTGGTTATATTGGAATCTTCAAGTCAACTTCTAGTAGGGGTGATTATAAGGATCGGTTGTATAAAAATTAACTATAACCATAATTAACTGGCTATGACATAACCAGTTAGTTAAAAATGGTTATAAAAAATTAACGTATGACAAGTGTTTATCATAACTAAACCATAACCAGTTATGAAAATGGTTATATATCCAAAATTAGTTATTAATCTTAAATTAATATTTAATTTTTGCTTAAAAACACAATTTTAACCTTTAAAATCAAATTTGATTAAACATGACACAATTATTAATGCATAAAATTAGTGGTGAAACTGTGCTAAATAGAAAGAATCATTTTTTGAATCCTAGTATATATCCAGAACTGGCTATATAACTGGTTTAGGATACGTACCAGGTTATTATCTGGTTAGATAACCAGTTTTTTCATAATGATTATAGTTTAGTTTATAATGATTATATGGTTTTGGTTAGGTTATTCAAATAACTTATCCATGGTAGTCCTAACATCTAGTCATAATTTGGTGTTCATTAGAATCTCTGAAATAGCTTTTTAACGTGATGTCTCACATCTTGCAAAATTCTATATCATAATTTTGTTTCCAATCTGATAGCTTATATTGATTAATTCATGATAGCATTGGATGGTATTCTACATTTGTGATCCTTAAACATTATTTTTTTTACTCCTCTTAAGTTTTATCTTAATTATATGATAATGCCCTTTCTTGTAGGGTCAATTTTTGGGGCTATTCAACCATCAGTTTCTTCTCCCCAATGATCAGATACTCATCTGCTGGGATACGAAACTGTGGCCGCGACGGGATTAATGAAATTAAATTCCTGATCAAAGAGGCGCACAAACGAGGAATAGAGGTCAACAAAAAATATATATGACTTCATTTCTATGACTTTTTTTGGCTTCTTTTTATTTTTTAAATTAAATTATGATTTCATTGATATTTATACTGCTTCAGGTTATCATGGATGTTGTTTTCAATCATACAGCCGAAGGGAATGAGAATGGTCCCATCATTTCTTTCAGAGGTATTGACAACAGTGTCTATTACATGGTAGCACCCAAGGTGAGTTCAATATCTTTGCTCTCTGTTTCTGCTAGTAACTAGGGGCTAAGAATGAATTTTTGTAGCAGAAGTCAGCTCCTTGAATAAACAAAACAGAGTATGGAAACTGTGATAATTTCCAAATTACAGGGAAAATTCTCTTAGTCAGCCAAAAGACTACTTGACCATCTGGAATCCTCAAATACCCCCTACCATGCTACTCCATTCCTCCTCCTTTAGTTCTTCTTTTCATAATCATTAGCAGAATCCCTCTTCTTCCACTCCTCTCATGCCACCTGTCCTTTGTGTTATTTTTTCTTTCTCTCATAAGCCTACTTTTTTCATCCAGCTTCGTTCTTCTCTGGTATACCCACAAACCTTGATTATAAGACCCAGCTCCTTGACTCTCTTGGTCTGATTTAACTGCCCCTTTCTCGTTTTTCCTTCTCCTATTTACTGTCAATGGCCCATCAATTGGAAAATTTTTAGCCTTGGCATAACTCAAGTCTTTCCCATCCAGTAGGAACAGGCTCTTGTTGGTGTCATTGGGGGAAGAAAAACTAAAATAGTACACTAAAAGGTCGGTAAAACTATAGGAAGTGGAGTCTTGGTAAAACTATTTCCAATTTTTTAATTACTAACTGACACAAATTAAACTCTAATTTTGTTTTAGATCCTCATTTTTTACTTCTTAAGGTTTGTAGTTATTTTTGGATATTAGGATTTCATAGCTCTATGACTATTTTCAATTATCCTTGTAAGGTTTTGTTTCTTCTAATTCTAATTCTGCACCACGTATAATGTTAACTAGTTTACTAGATCTGCCTTCACGAATTTGTAGGGGGAGTTCTATAACTATTCTGGATGTGGAAACACATTCAATTGCAGCCATCCAGTTGTACGGCAATTTATAGTGGACTGCTTAAGGTATGATTACGATGAATATGAAATATATTTCTTGTGAATTTTGTAAAAAATGTATTAAAAGTATTTCTGTAAATTATATGCCTTTATCCTTGATTTAAAATCAGTTATTTAAAAATTGTTGACTTTGTTGCCTGTGGGCATTTACATGCTTGTGTACATAGCTGCACCGTTGATGTACAATTACATGCGTTTACATCATAAATTTCAGATGTAGATGTGTGTATGTGAGGCCGTTCCTTAAATCCAGCAGAGAACATATAAAATCTAGATCCTAGATTAGTGATCAAGTTTTGAGTCTGCTGTTACAAAACTAGCATTTCACTTATATAATTTACCTTGACAATGCCAATACCTTTTACTCTCATACAATGCATACTTGTATATAATTTTATATTCTTTTAGTTTATTACAGTCTGGTCAGATTTGTTTCAATTGTTATGTACTTGGGCTTAGAAATTGCTAATTGAAGATTTTACTATTTTTGTCTTCTTCAACAGATATTGGGTTACAGAAATGCATGTGGATGGTTTTCGCTTTGATCTTGCTTCTATTATGACCAGGAGTAGCAGGTAATATATAGTGCATTGTTTATAAAAAATTTCTGTAGACTGATAGATCTTACTGTTCTTATTTCCTCTCCTTGCTTGTTACCAGTCTCTGGGATGCAACCAATGTATTTGGTACTCCAATAGAAGGTGATTTGCTGACAACTGGAACCCCTCTAGGCAGCCCACCATTAATTGACTTGATCAGTAACGATCCTATACTCCGGGGAGTGAAGGTTTTTCAACTTAATTCTTTTCAATTAACTGTGCACTTTATTTGTTAGAATTTTGTGGACATACAGTGTATCCTTATAGAGATAATTCCATGTTTCCTAAAATCATTTTTGAAGTATATCAAAGTAACATCTGAAATGAAGGAATATTTTTTAAGGTAATTTCCAAGAAATAAACAGATTTCATCAAAATGATACTACGGATCCTGTTGGGTTGAAAATAGGGATTTTCTGTAAGTTAGCTGGAATTGAACGTATAAACCTCTCTCTATATATATGGTCGATCTGTCTTTCTGTTTACTTGGCAGATAAAGGGGTTTAAAGAATATGAATTAAGTTTTTTGTTGATGTATAAGTGAGGCTTGATTTTGTTGTATGATCTGGGATAGCATTAATCTAAACAAATAGATGTATATGGATAATTAAATAATTCGAAAAGATGGTCTCACCTTGGTCATATTAGTTATTTAGGTGTTAGAGCTGTCTTTTGCAATGGCTCACTGTCTGTTAGTGGTATTTACTTGACCTTTAGAACCTGTATCACAAGCGATAGTCCATTGATTTAAATAGACTAATATGGCTGATTAAACAATTTAAAAGGAGATGGACAAAACTGGGTCATAGAAATTATTGAGGTGATTGAGCTGTTATTTTTTGCAATAGGTGCTTACTATTGATTTTTATCACCTTATCTCACCAAAGGAATTAGAATAGCCACAAGTTGAAAGCAGCTTTTTAAGGTAGTGTTTCCTTATAGGTTCTGTTTACTGTCTTGCTCACCCTCACTCACCTATATTGAGTGTCTATCACAATTCGTTGGCTTGACTTGGTCATCCTTTAGTGTTTTGTTCGTCATTGTAATCATCATTATCTGTTTTATGGATTGGTTTTTCACTGACTTAGAAGCAGTTAGCTAACATGCCAAGTTTCTTAATTTCCTCTATATAGCTTGTAGCTGAAGCCTGGGATGCTGGAGGCCTCTACCAAGTTGGCACTTTCCCTCACTGGGGTATATGGTCAGAATGGAATGGAAAGGTCAGTGCAAACTTAACTGTTGGATTCATAACCCGTTATTTTGTGTAATAAAAGCATGTAGCACCACTTGAAGTGGAGCTTTTTGTTTTGCAAGAAGAGAACGAAATAACAAAACACACAAATATGATAATTGCATCAGTCCTATGTCGTCATTTTGTATGTATCCTGTAGCCTATTTAAGTGAAAGTGCAAGAATAGGTTCATCAGGTTCCATTTTTTATTTAAATTTACCTGGTTTTTAAATTGTATTAACTTGTCAACATGGAGATGGAGTTAAACTTTGTATGTAATTTATATCTTTCTTTATTATTTCTTTCTGGAATTTTAATTCATGACAGGATCTGCCATTTAATGAATGGTTCACTGCAAACTACGTGAGACTGTTGTGGTCATTTCAAATGTTCAATCTTGAATAAAATTGTTGGACTATGAACTTGGCATAAAAGTGGTCAATTACTTTTTATGACTAAATTACAATGAATTCTCTCCTTTTCTGGACCAGTCTGCAGTATGTATTATTAGTAGGACAACTGGAGGAATGGTCATATGTATTTATTTAATGAGAATCTTCTTAATTTCCTTCACGCAAGCAAAACACTAAAGAATTTAACCAAAATTTATGGACTATAACCAATTATGCTCGCCAATGTTCTGAATACATGATCCACAAATTGTAAATTATAAAGTGTATTTGTGATAATATGGAAGAGTTATCCACTATTTAATGAATTGCAGTATAGAGACACGGTGCGCCAGTTTATCAAGGGTACAGATGGTTTTGCTGGGTCATTTGCTGAATGCCTTTGTGGGAGTCCTAATTTATATCAGGTTTATCTGCTGTCTCATGTGACACTACAATAATAGTTTATTTTGTATATAAACTCCCACATATACTCCTACTATTGTGATCATTATTATTGATGGTCTGTAGTTTATTTCCACTTTGTACAGTAAACATCCTGTTTAGCTGTCTTTAGACTTGCTTGATATATATTTTATTATCGCTCAGGATATTAGTATTTGTTTCAGCTAAATTTTGTATCTTTGGGTCTTTTATTGCTATCTTCTTTTCTTGTGCTTTCTTCTTTCTTGTAGTGGGCATTACATTACTTGTATCTTTGGCCCAGGGAGGAGGAAGAAAACCATGGAATAGTATTAACTTTGTATGTGCTCATGATGGATTCACGCTAGCTGATTTGGTGACCTATAACAACAAGCATAATTTGTCAAATGGAGAAGACAATAATGATGGAGAAAATCATAATAATAGCTGGAACTGTGGACAGGTAGATGTTTAGAAACATGCTTCAGAGTTGCATTTAAAATGTTTTTCTTTTACTTTTCCTTTCACTGAATGGAGGTACTACATCTCAAAATTATGCAGCAACCTGAATGTCATTACTATTACAAATGTTCATGGCATGATCAAAACCCTAATATTCACAGTTATGGATTGGTCATACTAGATTTATGTAGATGAATGATAATATATAGGTCAAAATTGTTCACCAGAAATGAATAAAAAAGACGGTATGGGTAGATAATTTTTCTTTTTCTTTTATTGTCAGTCACAGATTTCATACTTACTGACACAAACTTGTCCAGTGTGTCCCTTCATTCTAAATTTTGCTAGAATCCTTCTCCAAAGTTTTTCATGATTCTTTTCACTTTCTCCCTTAGTTGTATGTATCATGAACAGTGATGGATCCATACTTTTGCTTTTAGTGGCGGCAAGGAAAAAATTTAGAATATAGAAGAAAAGTAAAGCTTTAACAAATTACATAATGTCATGACAAAATAATTCAAAATACCTAAGCTTCTACAAGTTAAAATTATCCTCTACACATTTTCATACTACAATACAAGTATCCTCTATACGTTTTCATATGATATGAATGTTGTATGATTTTTTCATTGTCAATACTATAAAAGAAATGGAAAGGTACAAAGTGGTAAAATTAATACCACTATTCTCTCTTTTATCTGTTATAACTTTTTACGTTCATTTAAAAAAAAAATTGTCTTGTGATTGCAAAAACATCAATTTTTTTATGGGCCACATATGAAGGTTATTGAATATAAAGTAAAATAATTGCTTTTTGGGGGAAATTGCTCCCCATAGCTTGAAATGGGAAGCCGACATTGCTTATGAATGAGGTCCTTTAACTGCTATAGGACAATGTTTTCTGACTTCTTATCCATCATCATGTTTTGTTTTGTTTTGTGTTTGTTTGTATGAAAAGTATAGTGTGGCCACTGTCTGCTTGAAAGAGAAGCCTTTTTAGATTGTGCACTAGGCTCTATTTGCGTCATTTAATTTCCTGCCTTTTATGTTTTCTTCTATTATCCCCTATGTGTATGTGTTTATTCATTTATGCACTTACTGTTCATGGGGGGCCTTAAAATAGGTTTTGCTCTGAGTATTTGAATGTTTATCTAAAGTTACATGGCACGACCTTTGTATTAATTGTTAATTCCATTCTGTTACTGATTCAGGAGGGGGAATTTGTCAGTACCTCAGTGCAGAAATTGAGGAAACGACAAATGCGGAATTTTTTTCTCTCTCTCATGGTTTCGCAGGTAAGGCTCAGTTAACAGTATAGTTCTTTTTCAAATTTATTTGGACTGTAAGGACTTTTTTTGTGTTGCATATTAGTCAACAGTAAGTTTTGCTTTGCATATTTCTGTATGTTGTGGAACATATACAAAGACTCATTAAGGGTAAAATAGAGTATCTTTGCTACTTCAATAATTGGGGAATGTGGGCATTTGTTGGATTTTTAAGTATAATTTGACTTTTATAATGCAGATGGAGAGATAACGCAAACGTAAAATTACTTTAGTTTAATGCTGTTGGCATTTTAAATTGATCATATTATTCTTTATTTGTAGATGTTAACAGCACGAGTTCTGTTACTGACTTTCACTTTATCTCATCAGGGAGTTCCAATGATATATATGGGAGATGAATATGGACACACAAAAGGGGGAAACAACAATACCTATTGTCATGATAATTATGTGATCCTCTTATCTACTACAAGCCTTGAATGCACATCCCACCGTATTGGCAATTCTATTGACTTCAACCTTTTTGCAGCTTAATTACTTCCATTGGGACAAAAAGGAAGAATCCTCATCAGACTTCTTCAGATTTTGCTGCCTTGTGACTAAGTTCCGCCAGTAAGTACCCTGTATTTTATCGTTGGAATCTTGCTTTTTTCTCATATTCCAACGTTATAATTCTGCAGGGAATGTGAATCGCTAGGCTTAGATGACTTCCCAACTTCAGAGAGGCTGCAGTGGCATGGTCATTTTCCTGGAATGCCAGACTGGTCTGAAACTAGCCGTTTTGTGGCTTTTACCATGGTACGATAATTTTGTTCACCATATTGCCATATATAAGAATTCTGTTACTGGTGAAAAGGGTATAAGATCACATATTAGGATCTATTTCTTTTGCAAAATGTGGAAGTCCAGTAACTAAACCTTGAGCCTGTGTTGAAGTTGACCAGAGCAACTTTGCATCTGGCAATGGCTGTATGTGCCCTGCTAGCTAGGTTGAGGAATAATCATTGTGGTGCTTCTGTTTGTAAGGGCAAAAAGTGTAGGGTTGGCAGTCTCCTCTGGACATTAAGATTGGCTGGCAGAACAAATATGGTGATTCAAGTTAGAACTCCTGTTAAGATTGTTTGTAACATCTCTGGTTCCTATTTGAACACCTGTGAAGAAGCTTTTATTCTTTAGCCCAATTTTGAATTTGAAAGACCAAATTATCGAATATGATATATTGCCACATGGTATAAGTGTTGGCTGTGCTGCTCCTGGACATAAACCAATACCGTCGCACACAAAGCTGTCAATGTCATGTTCAGATTAGCATCAGTAGAACTTTTAATGTCTCAGTTTTTTGATTTAGTTTTAGTAATTGTCTAAGCGGGAATGTTAAATCCTAGACGTTATTTTATTGGATAATCCATAAATGACTAATACCCTTATTTGGCACGAACTTGAATCCAGGTAGACTTGGTGAAGGGAGAAATTTACATTGCTTTCAATACGAGTCATTTACCCTTCACAATTACATTGCCAGAGCGTCCTGGATATAGATGGGAACCTCTTGTAGATACCAGCAAGCCTACACCATATGATTTCCTCACTCCTGACCTTCCTGGAAGAGATATTGCAATACAACAGTATGCTCAGTTTCTGGACGCCAATATGTATCCCATGCTTAGTTATTCGTCCATTGTCCTCCTGCGCACTCCAGATCAAAATGCGTAGCTTGGAGAATTCTGTTTCCTTATTTATATATTTATTTCTGTTCCTAGCAAGCTAGAACCATAAAAGAAATCGTTCGATCGGTATATAACGAATAAAGAATGCATCGAAAAATTTCTTCAATCGTGAGAAAAATGGCATTTTCAGATATTACTAGAAATTTTGGCACAAACAAAAATATGGTTTTTAAGTGATTCAAGATATTAGATACAGCAAATAGAAAAAAGTTAGTAAGTAGTTGATAATTATCAATGATAAGGAATTACCTAATGCATACTAGAAAAGTAATCATCAATGCATATTTTGTTATCGTCTTAAATTTATTAAAAATTACAAAATCATGAATGCGAACGAGACCCATACATTTTGTAATTTTTTTAATAAACTTTAATCAATAATAAACAAAAATATTTAGAGCAACACATTCACAAGCACTTTTTTTTTACTAAAAACTGCTAAACTTGTTATCTAGTTATATTTTTTAATAATTTGATCTCCCAATTAACATAGTAAAGTTGTATGTATCACGAGGTCAATTAAGTATTGGATGAAAATACCACTACTGATATGAGTCCTTATCTTTCTCAGTTCAGCAAAAAGAAATGTCATTATCTTTTTTTTTTTTTTTTTTACTTAATTAATGTAAATATTTGGTTAGCTTTTCTTATATAATATTAGTGAATTATGACGGAAAATTCAATAAAACAATATAAGTAATTTTGTGTTTAAGAAACTTAAAAATATGAATTGTTTTTTAAAATAATTAAAAATATAGTTACAATTTCAAAATTAAAAAAATAGTCTTTTTAATTTATTTTTTGACTTTAAAATCACTTATAACTATGAGTTATAATAATAATAAAACATTTTTGTAACTATTTTATTATATTTTTTTATGATTTTATTTTTAAAATTGTGATAATTATTTTTGTTGTGTCTGTTAGTATGTGTTTTTCTTTTTAAAGAAAATTAAAAGAGAATATTTATTTTATAGGAAATAAGATAAACACGAATAATAGTAGTAATAATGCATATATTTTCAATCATATTTTAGAAAGAGAATCAAGCTTAAATTCAGAATAAATCAACTTAATGGATTTAGTTGTTAAATTATAGTGAAAAAAATTAAAATAAAAGATTTAAAAATAAATTAGAATCTCGTTTAGTCCTCAAATCTCTAAAATTTTACTGGAAGATTATGATCAATTATCACTTACTAAAATTATTTAACTACCATTGTTTTTTTAGATTGTCACCCATCAATACAATGATAATTATATGATTAAGATGGTGATGAGTTATTCTTACTCTAAAAGAAAATACAATTTATTTATTTTGTTTTTTATTATTATTATTCAAATATTTAATAGTGAGGAAGGTTTATGAGACGTGGATTGAGAAGTGGGGTCAAGAATAGAGGGTTTGGGAATGTAATGGTAAACACTGAAGAATTCCAGAAAAATCTAGACCGCACTCCATAAATATTACCACTTTTCTTTCCCAAACCATAACACAAGACACCCAACCATCTCCGTTGCTGATTTTACTCGTTGATTCAATTCCTTAGCTTCACATCTTCATGGCGTTACACAGATTGTCGAAGAGAAAAGGATGCGCCGATCAACTCAACGATGATTTTCCTCTCTCTTCTCCCGCGACCAAGATTCGTCGTCTCGTTAGTGCTTCCCCTCTCAATTCTTCGCCATCAACAACTAACCTAACTTATTTTTGACTGATAAATTTGTTTGCACCGTTTCAGGATGCAGAGTTGCCGCCAATTGTGGAAGAAGAGGAACCGTTACCGTCACCTAACGAGGAGAGAGCTCTCGTGCTTTTCAAACCTCTCGCTCATTCCTCTTTCTCTTTCACCGTCGATTCTGACATTATCGATGGAATTAAAAACAGTGAGTGTTTTCTTCTGTTTATTTAATTCAATACAACGTGTTTTAGGTTTCTCAATTAAAATTTGTCCTAATTTTTATATTAAAATAATTATGATTTTAGTCGCAGTTTTTATGATAGATGATTTTCGGTCCACTTTATGATACTTTAGGATGCTAGATTATTAGACAAAGTTCACCGATTTTGAAAAATACGTAGGCCAAAAGCAAGAACTATTATCCAACTGATGTTTTTTTAACTGTTTACTTTTAATCGGAACTGTATGAAAAATTAATTTAATTGCATCCTCAGCTAGAATTAAATTCTTGGAAGATCGCAACCTAATTTCTTATGCTGAAGGGACATGTTTGAAAATGTAGAGATTTAAGACTAATTTTCTAGATATTAAGACTAAACGTGAACCGGAAATTGAGGGTGTAAAACCTATTTTTCTAGATATCAAGGGAAATGTTAATTGAGGATGTAAAACCTAAAAACACATTTGATCAAATTTACTTGTGTCATCTTACTTACGAGAGTGTTCTTAATTGAGATAGCATCATTCTAATTGATAAATGATAATCATTCATGTTTTTATTATTGCAGATCAGTCTCTGTGGTCCAAACAGTGTGATGGCGTTGTGTCAGGGTTACAATCACTTGAGAAGGGTAGTGATGAATTGGCTCTCGTGCCTTGGGTACCTTCTCCTTCTTATCAGTTCTCCGTTGTTGATGGTTCTGACAACACAAATACCGAGTTAATGGAAGCTGATGATGATATGGAAGAAGAAGGTGTGGGTTCTATGATGATGGATATTGAACAAGAAGGCACTTATAATGACCCTACAACTGACACATCAAACATTCACTACCCAACAACACACAATGTAGTAACAGAGGGGTTCCAGCAACACTGCTTGTTCCCTCAGCTTCCTCACAACACGTCAACACCAATCACTTGGAGCCGCTGAAATTTGTTGTTACATTTACCACTTACTATTTTCTTGCTGTTAAAGCCAGTTTTTCTCCCCTTTAGGATAATGGGTGGTAGACTAGTAGGCTAAACCTGTTAGTTTTAGTTTGCTTTTGCCCGATGACAATCTCTCTTCTTGTGCAAGAGGCCATGCAAGTGTAGCAAAGAAGAAGAAAAAAAAAAATGTATGTGTATAATGTTTTTTGTCGCCATCTATGAATTGCGTTTTATTATTTGATATTCGCATTGCTGGCGAAGGATGATCTCGACAATGATTCTGTTTGGAAAGGAATGACTTTGCAGTGACACTGGAGGGGAGCTGAGTGTGTAAAGTCTAAATTAAAAAAGAAAAATATATATATATATATATATATATATATATATATATATTTATTTAAAATTCAAATTTATTTTATTTTTTTGTATATTACACCTATTTTTCATTTTTTATACGTATTATATATGCTTTTTTTTCTAAGACGTAACGACGTAATAATTATTTCTTATATTATTTTATAAACTATAACGTATAAAGGCTGTCTATGAACTTCTTGTTAAGGCTGTCTATGAACTTGTTGTTCCTAATTTTGTCGTTTAGGTTAGCCCTAATATTATTAATATTAACATTATTATGTTAACGTTTTTATTACTGTCCCGTTATTATTCTTAACAAGGTTCTCATTGTTATTTTTATTCTTCCTGTTGATGAAGAGATTTAATAAAAGAGATATCCCTAAAATGGAGGTTAAAGAGTTAATATATATATATATATATATATATTTAACCGCTTTTCAGAATGTTCCTTCTCTTAAATAATTTTTTTAGTACTAAAAAAAGTTAGACATGTCATTTGTGTCCAGATACATTAAATCTATAAACAAATTTTATTTTCTTCCATTATTCACTTTTTTTAATGGGAAGATTTAATTTAAATATGTTTTTCATGGAATCTGCGAGAGGTACAGGGAGATTAGTAAATTAGATTTTGAACTATCATTTAGTAATTTATTTAAAAAAGAGTAGAGATTTATCCAAAAAAAATATATATTGCAGTGTTTAAGTCCATTTTTAGATAAGAGAATTATGTATTTAAGAATTAATAATTTATTTTTGATAGAATCTTCATATATAAGATTTATAAAATAATAATAATTTAAAAGATAATAACTTATATAAGGTATTATATAATTTTAAAGTTGAATAGATCATTGAGTAGTGTTTAATTTATAAATTATTATTCAATTAGATTAAAATATATATTTGTGAGATTTGTTTAGTCTATTTATTTTTCATGTAAAAATAATAAGTTAAAAAATTTATAAAAAAGAGATAAGAGTTCAATAATTTTGATTATGTATATACTCAAATGAGATATGTATACTTATGGAGTCCCGAAGTACGATAGATGTAAATTTTAATAATTCATAATTAAGTAAAATATATATAAATTGTGTGATTTGAGTAAGGTAGGTACAAATTTTTATAACTTGTATTGAAGTAAGGTGTGTATAACTTGTGTGACATTAAGTAAAGTAGATGAATATTTTGATATATGAATAAGTATGTATAACTCGTGTAACCTCAAGTAAGTTAGAAATATGTTTTGATAACTCATATACCTAAGTAAGACATGTATAACTTATGTAACTTCGAGTAAGACATGTACAACTCATGTGACTTTGAGTAAAATATACATAACTTGAGTGACCTCAAACAAGATAGATGCAAATTTTGATAATTTGTGTGATTCCAAGTAAGGTAAATATTGATTTTGATAACTCATGTGACTTTTAGTAAGGTATATATAACTTGTATGATCTTGAGTAAGGTAGATGCAGATTTTGATAACTCATATATCTTGTGTGACTTTGAGTAATGTATGTATAACTCGTGTGACTTAGAGTAAGGTAAATGTATATTTTGATAACTTGAATCCCAGAGCAAGGTACATATATAACTAGTATGACCTCAAGTAAAGTATATATAACTCATGTAACCCAAGTAAGATATAATATTTATACTCGTATGACCCAGAGTAAGGTACACTTTTTATACTTATGGAGTAATGTACAATTTGTATACTCATCATGTTACCTTGAGTAAGATATATTTTTTATATTTGTGTGACCCTGGTAAGATACAATTATACTCTCGAGTAAGATACAATTTTTATACTTATGTTACCCTGAGTAAAATATAATTTTTAAACTTGTGTGACCTCAAGTAAGATATAATTTTTATACTCATGTAATCTTGATTAAGTTACAATTTTTATACTCATGTAACTCCAAATAAGGTACAATTTGTATGTACGTATAACCTCGAGTAAGGTATAATTTTTATACTCATGTGATCTCGAGTAAGGTAAAATTTTGATACTCATGTTACTTTGAGTAAACTATAATTTTTGTACGTGTGTAACCCTGAGTAAGATATAATTTTTATACTCGTGTGACCTTGAGTAAGGGTATAATTTTTATACTTGAGTGACTCCGAATAATGTACAATTTTTATACTTATGTTATCCTAAGTAATATATAATTTTTATACTCGTGTGATCTTGAGTAAGGTATAAATTTTATACTCGTGTGACCCCAAATAAGATACAAATTTTATACTCGTGTGATCCTGAGTAAAATATAATTTTTATATTCGTGTGACATCGAATAAGATACAATTTTTATATTCATGTTACCGTGAGTAAGATATAATTTTTATACTCGTATGATCCTAAATAAGGTAAATGCAGACTAATAGGTTGAAAGAAATCATGAGATTCATTTTTCCGATATTCCACGGTGGACGTGAAATGTTCTTATCAAATTAAAAAATGTTAGCAAAAGAGTACGAGGTTGTGATGAGGAGATTTATAAATATGAAATATGATTTTTAAATGGTTAAAAATTGCTTCAGTTGAAAGAACATAAGTTCATTTGTAAAATAATAGTATATTTGAGGAGAAATTTTCTTATATATAAGACTTAAAAAATAATAACCAAAAAATAATAAATAATATTCAAATAATAATAACTTATATAACATAGATAATAAAATAATTAATTAAATAAAATAATTTCAATAAATTTATAATTGTTACACACTATACTTTATTAACCACTCCATTAATTTCATTGCTGCTTTTAGTTTCACTTTTATTAAAATTAACATTTTCTGTTCAAATTCTTTGCATAAATTTGGCATATAAACTAGTATAATTATAAACTAGCATTAAACTAAAAATTTGATTCCCTGTCTAACTCTTAAATAATTTATTCTTAATTTTAGTGTATATTACTCAATTTAGTTTTTAATCCTAAATATCAAGTTAAATAATAAATTTAAATTAAGGGTCAAACTAACAATAAATATCAAGTTTAAAGATTAAATTAATTTATTGTAGTTTGCTGAAAAAAATAATGTTTGAAGTCTTAACTATATATAACAACCGTCAAGATTGGAATTAAAAGAAATCGACAAATACTTCTTTCACTTTATAATAAATGCCACTTTAGAAAAAAGAAAATTGTCAATTTAGAATAGGAAAATAGTCACACTGAAATGTTTCTCTTTTAGGAGAATTTATCAGTTTCTTTAATTATTGTAACAGTTCCTGGTATAGACTTGGATAAATACCCAGACTTGAACCCCTAAGCACGGTCCAGATAAAAATAAAAAAGCTGCTTTAATTTACTTTTTATTAGTTCATCTATAAGAAATAATGGAACAGGTTTTCCACACTCCAAATCAAATAATTCTGCAGAGTAGAAATAAATAAAGGCAAAGCCATCAGTGATGCGTGTAACTTCCGATAGTGAAAACATACTATCAGAGTAAGGAATCTCTAATTGGGGTACACTAAAAACACCAAAACCACAGCAAAAAAAACAAATGGCATAAAACTGGTGAGCAAACCACATGGATGCCTTTCAGATGAAAAAAACAAAAACGTTAAAGTACATCGGTATCCTGAGTTGTGACCACTCCTACGTCATACACACCCTGCACTATTTGTCCTTCACAAAGTCTCTATGGATTCATGCTATTTGTAGCATCTCTGTGACAGGGCCAAGCTTTAACAGCAGTACCAAACTAATGTGCAAGATCATTCTATACACTCTAGTCTCCAGAGACATATTTTTTCTCTTCATAGTATCTTTGCTCACTCCTAGCTTTCTTAGCATTGCGTTTCTGCATCAGACAAGAAAACAAAGCAGATAACAATCTCATCTTAAAGGAGGAAACATATATAATAATTTTGAAAGGAAAAGGGAAAAAGGCTCCAATAGGGTGAACTTCTTTAGTTAATCAAAATATAGGATCTGAATAAACCATGAGGTTGTTAATGCAAAACAATCTGATCTCAACACACACATATAACCGTTTCAAATGCTTCAGCAGTATGTGAATGACTCTTGGCTTGTTCACATCATATTCCATCCACTGGAGTACAATTCAGGATGTGAAATAGTTTTTAATGAATCTTTACTTTAAGTGGTGAAACCATGCACTAGTGAAGAATTATAAAACTGACAGCAATTTTGACAAATTCAATATAGACCTTATATATTAGAATAACCGACTAACTGTATCAACAAATGTTGAAGGTTAATGAGATATTGAGAAGCAAAAATGGAATTAAAAAACTGTAAGAAGAAATTACCACGTAAGCTTCATGATTAGCCATTATCCTTTGGGCTACCGTGGCAGTAGTAATATCTTTTGGGCTTTCAAGCAAGCGGAATATTCCCATGCTCTTAGGGACCTCATATGGATCTAGTTCACACTGCATATTACAACTTGTTTAGTAATATGTGACAATAGGAAAATGATATTGTATACAAAGTGAACCTGAAAACTACCGCGCACTTACATTTATTGACTTTTCAGCAACAGTACCATGCACAACTAGAGAGATATTGAAAGTGGTGATCTGTTTGATTCCAAAAATAAACCTCATCATGACGAAATATCAATGGATTCAAATTATATGCAAGAACACTTCAAATGCAGCAATGAATATGTTCAAAAAATGAACCTCGTTTTAATGAAAATATACAGTCGGTTCAAGTTAACAAAAAATGTTGTATTTGCCATGGAGATGAGGTTTCGTGAACCACAAGTCAATGCTCAAGAACAATTTCAAATAACATGGTAAAACTACTTCAATGAAATCCGGAAATGTAGAATCAGACTTACCATGTCCTTTGTAATTTCCCAAGGTGAACCAATAATAACTTCATCAACATAACGGCAAGCTAACACACTAAGGCTACGCTCATGCAGATGCATGATTGGATAGTGATTTCCCCTATTCTCACTGCAGAAAAGTTGTTAGTTTCTAATATATGGTTAACAACATCACTTTGGATAATACCCATATCGATAATAAATATACCTCACGGTTTCATCTGAGTGGATACCAACTAGAAGAAAATCTCCAAGCTCCCTAGCCCTCTTCAGTATCTGAAAGAACATGGAAAAATAAATAAACACAACAAATAAATGAAATGGCGCCTGCATGATTCATCATGTCATGAACTTAAGCATTAAACTGAGATGTTTATAAATTAAACCCAATAAAAAATATATCTGTACCTCAACATGGCCAGCATGGAAGAGATCAAATGCTCCGTCAATGTATACAATACGTGCATTTGGTCCAGGACCCTAAATAAGATAGAGACAATGGATTATCACATGAAAAAGTTCCGCTAACTTTAACGAAAAAGACAAATTGCCTCAACTTTGACCCTTTAATTGTCACATAAATTTAAGTCATTGTTTGTTGCATTAGGTAAATCCATATAATAAATCTTCGTACGGCTTAGTGTAGCTCTTAAAGAAACAGCAGAAATATTTTTAACTAAAAAATCACCAGAGAAAATTGTGAACCAAATATGCGTTCTCAAAGAATAGACATGACACAAGCAACCAAAAATACCTTGCCATTTGAAAACTGGACAATACGTCGGGAAGTTGGTAGGAATTGGGCTATGTGAGAAGCCTTTGACTGGTTTTCTTCTTGAGGTTTCACCTCAGATCCATTATAATCTTCAAAACTTTTTGCTTCTCTTAAAGAGGACATAATTCTTCCTGTATAAAAGCATTGTTAAATCAAATACATATTAGCTTAATCATTTATGAAAATAGTAAGGAGCATCAAGAAGGTATGGATTATCAAACCCCAACATTAGAGAACTTCAGCAATATTTTTCATCTAAAGAATCCTAACTTCATTCACACATATCACACCAGATTTTTTCCTACAAGCCTACTTTTCTACCAGCAAATGATGACACAATTCTGTATTCTGATATGAATAGAAGCTTAGTACCTACGATATCTGTACTGGAAACTCCCTCAGTACGTTTAATTTGCTTATAACGACCAGCTTTCTTTGCTGCAGCATATGCATCTGTTCCGTCTGGAAGCAGGCAAGGATCATCACCATGTATGACATAGTCAATTTTGTATTCATGAAAGAGACGATTCAAGAATTGCTCAGTAATTGCATAAGGAGCATCAGTTATGACCTCATCCACCCACTTCAATCCACTGACAAGAGCCAGCCTGGAAGATAATCCATAATTTAGTTTTCAGAATCACCAACACAAGAGCAGAGGCAAGTATACATCACTCTAGAATCGAAAAGGCTATACAACACCAAATTTTATACCTCTCCGACATGGACAAAACGGGTGGTCCTTTATTGGCCACGATCTCCTCATCACTCACAAGACCCACAACCAATTCATCTCCTAGAGCCTTTGCTTGTCTGAGAGCATTGGCATGGCCATAATGCATCAGATCAAAACATCCGTCCATGTAAACCCGAATGCACCTCTTCCCTGATTTCTTCTTGTGGAAGATCCTCAAATTAGACCAAGAACACGGCAGTGACAAATTAGGAACCCCAATTCCACCAAAGTAGCTGGTTGACAAGCCCAGTAAGGCTGCTGTAACCATTAGACCACCAAACACACGGGGGTAGTAGTTTACCCCCTCCCAAATCCAACTGTTGCTTTCGTAATCCATGTCCTTTTTATTTCTTTTTTTCCTTTGTCTTAGAAGCTAGTTATTACATATAAGAGGAGGCACAGACCTGCAATCAACCATCATGGGAAAACAGAATCAAATGCATTTTATTCTTACCAAACATCTCCTAACATGTACAATTTTCAAGCACAATCCCAGAAACATTACTAGTAAAACTCAATTGAGAAAATAATGCTTCACAAATGCAGAGAAAAAAAGCTCAATTGCCACGCCAACCAAATTAAACAACCATTTGCATGCAAAATCCATAAGGAAAACAAGAAAATTAAGAATTGGGGCATTCATGTATCCCTGATCTAGCTTATAACTGTAACAAAAAATGCAGCTTTGCTGAAATGAAATTAAGAGTTAGAACGAATCTTCAACAGCGTACGCAGATTAAAAAAAAAAAAAAACTGAGTCCAAACTGAGAAATACCGAAAACCCACCTGAGATCCTGAATAACAAAGAGAGAGAGAGAGAGAGAGAGAGAGAGAGAGAGAGAGAGAGAATTGACGAGTAACAAAGTCCGGGAATGAGGATGGAAAGAAAAAGAAAACCGAGTTTGATGAGATGCAATTGCCGAAAGGCATAAAAAAATAGAACATAAATGGATTAAAAAAAAAAAAACAAGAGATCGAATCTGAACCCTTTTTTCCGTTGCTTTTTCAGTTTCCTTTGTGTCTGTGTCTGTGTCTCCTCTCTCTCTCCTCCTTTGATTCGTATGGAGGAAAGCTCCTCGTAGTTATTTTGCTTTGCTACAAAACTTTGCCTGAAACAAAATAGGCGTCGCTTTTTCCAAACCCAAACTAAATAGCAGAAATATAAATATCGCAATCTTACCAGTCAATTATATAAGGCGAAAAACTCATTTACTCTTCCTACCAATAGTACTCATCCTTAATTCATTCTTCTAGAAAAATAATACATATACTTTCTATCGATGAAAATTATAATAATAAGTAATTGCAAACTAGAAAACACCAATATCTGATTTAAGCATTTGTCCCACCTTGAATATGCTCTCCCTTACAGATATGTGGCTGAGCTATAAATAGTTGCGTCAGATTATTTAATGTTGGTCACACCACTTACGTGTTCCTTCCGTGCTTCACTTTCCAACTATTAAAATACAAATCTTTCTCTACAATTTAACAAATTTAATTGGTGGATTGTTGTGATGCTGATTATATGCGTCCACCTCTGTTCAAAATATTAAAATTTTTTAAATTAAATCTTTTAGTTAATTTGCTGTCCAAAATATTGCATTTTAAAAATTAAATCTTATTAATATTCACTAGCTTTATAGTTAATTTGATATCCAAATTATTTTACTCAAATTATTACATTTTGAAAATTAAATCTTATTCTATTAGAACTTGATAGATTTATAGTTAATTTGATATCCAAAATATTCTATTCAGAATATTATAATTTAAAAATTAAACCTTATTAGTACCTAATAGATTTATAGTTAATTTGATATCTAAAATATTCTATTCAAAATATTACAATTTAAAATTTAAATCTTATTAGTACTTGATAGATTTATAGTTAATTTGATATCCAAATTTTGGAATCCATATTTTGGATTAACGGTCTTCTAAGGTTTAGTTTAATGTCAAACATTGTTTGTGAAAGTTTGAATAATTTTTTGTTTGCATAAATACAAAAATTCCAAAGAAGTGTGTCATCTTAAGATACTTTTATTTGTTGAAAAAGTATATTTATATGATGTCATTTAACTTGTAACATAATAGGTACAACCATTTACATTATTTGCTGTTAAAGATTCTTATGGAATTTGACAGAATTTAATTCTCAGTTGAGTGATGTTCCCTAAACCCTATAACCTAGTTTATATATATATATATAAAATATTCTTAAAAATAAATAATATTAAGTTACACCGAATTTGATTAAATTTTTTTTTATAAAAAATAAACTCAATGAAAAAATACTTTAGTTTCTTTTACATAAAATTATATGAATGTTGTCTTATGTTTTTATATAAAAATGAAATATTAAAAAAATATATATTAAAAATATTATAATTATATATATATATATATATATTAATAATATTTGTATTTTATTTTATCTTTTTTTTTACTTTTTTTCTATTATAATATTTAGCTTCTGTCTTCATGAGAAATAAATAAAAATACATATAAAAATCAAATTAAGAATACATGAGATATCTTGAAAATTGGTTGAATTTAACTAATCTGTATTGGCGCAGACGTTCTAGTACCTATATATCCATGCTTTTATACAATTTTTTTAATTTTTATTTTATTTTCCTTTTTTATTCTTTAAATATATATGTTTTTATTATTCATATTTTTATTATTTAAAATATAAAAATCAAAAAAATTTATTTTAAAATATAATATTTTTTTCCTCTTCAATTACACTAAATAGCGGTTAAAAAATAATTCCTTTTAATCTTTATTAATGGAAATACAGATGTTTTAACACTTTATTATTACTTTTTTAAAAAAATTATTTTTCTTTTATTTTTTATATTTTTTTATCTCTATTTTCATGTGTTATATGTTTTTTTTTAATATTCTCACATATTTATTTTCGTTTATTTAAAATGCATAAGTTTTTTTAATTAATAAATTATCATTCTTTTACTGTTTTTTATTATCCTATATTATTTAGTGAAAACATTTAATAACACATACATTTTCATATTTACTATATAATTACTTTTTTTTTAAATATCATTTTAAATTTTGTTTTTAAATGTATATTTTTACTTTTTTCTTTATCATATTTTTTATAATTTTTTAAATATATAAATCATAATAACTTTTCTTAAAACTATAATAATTTTTTTCTCTAATAATTAAAAAATAATTCTCTATCTATCTATCTATCTATATATATATATATATATATATATATATATAAATTGGTTAGATCATTCGGTCACCACAATATTATATTTTGATTTTAAATGAAGATTAATTATTAAAGATTTTAATTTTTGCTCATTAGATATAAAATATAATTAAAAATAAGACTAATAACATTTGAACACAGCCAGTGAATTAGCATGTACTTATAACTTGTTATGCGTTTGATTCTTGTTAAACAATTTCTATTACAATTTACATTTTGAAACAAACTTAATCATATATTTAGTTTTTATAATTTAAGTCATTTTCTAATTTTAACTAAAAATGTATTTTATTTTATAATTAAGTAAATGAATTAAATTATTATTATTATTATTATTATTATTACTATTATTATTATTATTATCACTAAAACAGTCTCATAAGTTGTTGGTATTATTATTATTAACTCTAATAATATTATGTCATAATCAAATATTATGATATAAAAAATTATATTAACCATAATAAGGTAAAATTTGTAACCTATCTATTTATTTAAGAAAAAGCTTTAAAAATATAAATTAAAATAATTACCTGTACTATAATCTACTTTTTAAAAACTATAAATTAATTACTATTATTTTCGAAAAAAAAACTGATAACTAAATATCACCTAAAATTTGCCTTAATGATGACTGAATTCTGACTCGACATAATATAGCACTTTGATTAAATAAATGTTAAATAATAATAAACATATTAATTTTGGTTTTAATATTTCTTTGTCAGAGAAACTAATTAAATAAGTAAATAAAGTTAGAGGGACGAAAATGTTGAATGGGTCCATTGAATTGAATGAATTCGCACAACTTACAAATTTACTAATATTAACTCTCTCTCTCTATATATTTTTCATCTCCATCTTAATATCAAATCACCCTAAACACAAAGTCTTAATGAGACTTTGATTTTAAAAATACATTTGATCAACAAATAGACGATATTTATTTACGTTACTTAGTTTTAACCAAGACGAAACTCAGAAAATAGTAACAAGACAACTTCTATTTAAACCCACCCCCATCAATTAAAATTTATTAATAACTATAAAACTAGAATGCTTATCAAACAATAAATAAGGTTGAAAAAATTATTAAGCCAGGAATGTATTTTAAATTTTTACTTTTAAAGAGAAGTTGATGAGAAAAATAAAATAAAATAAAAAATGGAAGGAATGAGTAGGCAGAGAAAACAAGCATTGGGTGGGCAAAGAGATTGGCTGAGTTTGACTCTCTACCTTTGAGTGCAGCCATGGCTTTATCCCTACCAACCCATTCTTCTCCCACCCTCATCCCTCTTCCACGATCCCCCAAACCCACTTTCCCCACCCTCCGCCGCCTCAACTACCGCGTTTGTGTGGCCACCGCCGCCACTCCCCTTCTCCAAGTCAATGACCTCAGAGCCAAGATCGTCGAATCTAACGTCGAGATTCTCCACGGCGTTAACCTCACTGTTAACCAAGGAGAGGTCCACGCCGTCATGGGGAAAAACGGCTCTGGGAAAAGCACTTTCGCCAAGGTTACTTATTTACCCTACTCTCTTTCATTCGATTGAAAAAAAAGGATTTATTTTTTAGTGTTGGAATGCGATCATGGTGATTAAACAATATGCAGGTTCTTGTGGGGCACCCGGATTATGAAGTTACTGGAGGTAGTGTTGTGTTCAAAGGGGAGAATTTGCTTGAAATGGAACCTGAAGAAAGGTCTCTTGCAGGCCTCTTCATGAGTTTCCAATCCCCTGTTGAAATTCCTGGTGTTTCAAATGATGAGTTTCTTGTCATGGCCTACAATGCTCGAAGGAAAAAGCTTGGTCTACCTGAGCTTGGTCCACTCGAGGTATTGTAAAAGTTGAAGTGCATAAGTTGATTTTAATTCACCAGAGAAATTTAAGTGTGTAGGAAGAAGTTTATCCAAATAGTACTCTAAAATGTTTCTCGTATATTGTTATGAGGTTGGTTGTTGATATTGTATGTTATGTTTGTGATTGGTTTTGCTGCGCAGTGTTTTTCTTACCTGATGGAGAAGCTTCAGCTTGTTAACATGAAGCCTGACTTTCTCAATAGAAATGTGAATGAAGGGTTTAGTGGCGGTGAACGAAAGCGCAATGAAATCTTGCAGCTTGCGGTTTTGGGGGCAGATTTGGCTATTTTGGATGAGATTGACTCTGGGTTGGATGTTGATGCGCTCAGGGATGTTGCCAATGCTGTTAACCGGATTCTCACCCCACAAAATTCTTTGTTAATGATAACTCATTATAGACGGATTCTGGATCTTTTGAATCCTACACATGTCCATGTTATGGTAACATATGACTTACTATTGATCTTCATCTTCATCGTCATTGCAAGTGTTGGAGTGTGTTATACATGGGTTTTCACTTTTCATTATTGGAATCAGGATGCTAGTACTCTTACATTTGTTCCCCTTTTTGTTGGGACGCTGTCATTGTTAACAATCCCAACGGATTAAACCAAGAATACTATAACAATATAGGATTTATTGTGATAACGACTATTTTGAAATTTTATACAGTTTATATTAATATAAATTATAAAAAATTAAAAATATGCTAAAATATCTAGAAATGTTCATAATTAAGCTATAGGTCTTAGCTTTTAAGAAAACCTACCAGTACATGACAAAGGATGTAGTGACTAACCAAAGAGATAGAGAAAAAAGAGTGCAATAGAGTTGTGTATGGATAGGCAGATATTGAATTGATGATAACCCAATTTCTGATCAATACTTGAAACACAACTGCTTTGTTTCCAAGGACGTAGGAACATTGCTGAATCTTATTACATCATTACCGATGATAAAACAACCTGAGACTTAGACTAGAGACAATTAACGGAGAACCTGGACTATGGAACAAAGAGAAAACAGAAAAAAGAACTCAGCAGTGTGTCAGTAACACTGAAACCAGAGATGGATGGGAATAAGAGAACAATGAAAGAAGATTTAATCACAAGGGAAATCTCAAACTAAGAATGAGAACCAAATGTCAAATAAGTTTCATCTTGGTTGCCTGAAAGTTGCCAGAGGATCAAACAAGGGTCTTGCAGTAGTCAGAAGGTAGGAGAGAGGATGTAAGTGAAACATGGTAATTATGAACTTTGAAAGGAATTTCTTAAAAGTTGAAATCGTGTTTTTACCCAAAATAACCTCCACTAATGCTCCTCTAATGTTAATATTGGTGAGCAATCTCAGGGATTTTGGACAGCATTAGCATAAGTGTGCTATCCCACTACTACAGAAAGTGCAATACTATGGTAGTGCATATAGCCATTAGGGGCTGTTATAGCATGCTATTAACAACTCTTGACACTGTTTAAGGTCTTTTGAAAAATAGTTTTGATCTTTGCCACATTTTGGTAGTCAAGAGCATATTATTAAATATTTGAGTTGTGTCTCGTTTGAGTTTGCAAGTTAGTAGACATTAATTAGCCTTCTGATAGAATATTGTTTTTCTTTCTTAGAAAGCAGTTTACGATCTTACACGAGAAACTGAATGTGTATATGTATTATGTTTATGTTGTATACTGTGTGAAATATCATGAATGGACTTCTTTTTTCCTCAAAAAATCAGGACAAAGGGAAAATTGCACGCACAGGCGACATATCGATGGTAGAAGCTATTGAGGCTGAGGGATATGAAACTGTCTCCGCTTAAACATAATACAGCTAGTATCGGTATTTTATCTGACTCTAGTGTGAATTTCCTGTGCTTGTTTCAGTTTAAATTCATTTTCATGTTATAAATATTTGCACAAAGTATCTTTTGCAAGAACGTAATGGGGAGTTAAACAGTATATAATTAGGTGAAATGAATAAAACTTCCATACCTGGATTACAGTACTGAATGGGCGGGCATTTGGTAGACTCATTGGGTAGGCTTTCTTCTCTAAGGAAGATTTTGGGAAATTTATTTGTTTCACTGCTCTACCTCCTGGTACGAGATAAAAAAATCAAATATAAATTCATCAAGATCAATAAAATGTAGTTAAGTTGATTATTCTTAGTTATTAGTGTCATAAATTTAAATTTTATTTCAGAAACACCCATATGTATTAAATGGTTTTAAGGGGTGGTTGTACTTGATGCCACTACATATATTGTTAATAGTTCAATTAACACACTTTCATTAGAATGAATAGATATTTCATTAATAAATTTCACAATAAATTAAGGGTATTAGAGGAAATTGACATTTAATGCATTTGAACGTGGTCATCTGTTTCCTATTATATATAGGACTGGAGGAAGTATTATCTTCGTGCAAATTGGTTATGATTTCATTTTGACTGTTTAACCTGTCTTAGAACAAAGCATGTTTCTGGCCTTCTGGGCACCAACATTTCATTGTTTGCTATGGAAAAGTCCTGGCATGTAAATATGTTATTTTAAGTTTTTTTAAGTATGATTTCTTATTTTGGACTTACTACAGATTGTTTAATATTTATTATTTAATGATCGGTGATATGGGTAAAATATGTTTGAATTGACTAAGCTAAATGCTGAAACTTTGTTGTTGTTTCTCCTTAAAACATTGATTGACCTTATCAAGCAGCTTTGTTAGTAGCATGTTTGACGGAATCATTTGTTAGGTTTAATTACACATATTACCACTCAACTATTATTTTAGTTAGGTTTAATTACACATATGTCAAAGCAGCATGATACTTTTAAAATATTTTAGTTAGGTTTAATTACACATATTACCACTCAACTATTATTATGTCATAAATTTTACCATTCACGTTCTTTTTGGTGCATTTTTAACGTGAAGTTTTTAATTTTTGCTCATTTTATCACCCAACTTATTTTCGCATGTCTTTCCATCATCAGTTTATTTTTATTTTATTTTTATCATTTACTAAATTCACACCATTGTGTTTGTAACAAAATGACTATTTTTTACAAAATTTGTTACTGATGTGCGAGAGTTGATAAACATGATGGTAATATGTGCAAGAAAAACATAAACAGTAAAATTTGCAAAATAATAATAGTGACTGGTAAAATATACAAATAAGAGTTTCAATTAACCTGGCAGACTTGATAAACCTTGTTAAAATAATTGTGTTTGTGCCGCAGGTATGTATGCAGTGTTATAGTGAGGCAGTTGCACTAGTGTTTTGATCGGTCTTTTCATCTTTCTCGGTTCCATTTTGAAAACGAGGAAGCAGAGTGTCTGAAGCTCATGTTGGCAGGTGTCGATGTTTTTTGACTTGGGACTTATATTCTTGTGGGCATTATTTCCGTAGGCTTTGGTAGAGAAATATCGAAACTATTGAATAGAGGCTTAAAAGCTATGCTTTCTTTTTGTTTATTGTTTTTGATGTGTAGACTTTTGCATTGTTAAATATCTAATTTAGGATACACATGCCAACGTTGCTGCTAAAGCAGCAAGGATGTAATATGTCAATTGACGTTAATATTAATCACATTTTAGTTTCGGTATTTGCACTTTACCTGTTCATTATATTATTGTTGGTGGACATATTAAAGAACGGTAAATTATTGCATTTGGAATCATGTTCATCTGAGCTTGTGGTTTGAAAATTGTTGAGACATGTTATTTCTCTATCTTTGTGTATTCTCAGTGTATGTTCCTTAGTCTAGGATTAAGGGTTTGGGTTGAGGTTCATATCCTCTCTATTGTATCTCCTTTATTTATAAATACAATGTAACAATGCTTTTAAATACTGTATTGAAACCTTAAATAAGTTTCTCAAATTGGTATTAGAGTGGGTATGATCTCGCACTGATTTCCAGTCCTACCTATCATCTTTGGCCACTGTAGGCCATCGTTCGCCGCTGGCCACCATCTCAGTTGGTCCGGTGAAGGTAAGGTTTGATGCACCTTGAAAAGCGCAACCCACTCCCGCCAATCATTCCTCCATCTACGTCCCACGTGCCGTCACACACAGCTTCTCCAGGTGGAGCTCCCAAGCCTGTGTATCCCACACACCGTCCTCTAGTGGTCGGAATCAAGGCTGATTACCACCGGTTGACTCGTTGGCGTCCTTCGAGTCTAATGGTGTTCTTATTTTTCTGTTTTGAGAACTTTGGAAGCTAGGTCACGTGGGTACCCTAGTGTGATACCTTCTCTCTAGTAGCTAAGATTTCTATTATTCGTCTTTTCCTTGTTGTGACTGTTATTCGTCATTGATCTCAACATTAAAAATGTCTTTCTTCATAGTGATATTGAGGAAGTGATTTATATGGAGCAATCTCCTGACTTTGTTGCTCAGGGGGAGTCTGGTTTAATGTACAAGCTACATCGATCTCTTTATGGTTTGAAGCAATCACCTCGAGTTTGGTTTGAAAAATTCAGTCATGTTGTTCAGTTGTTTAACTTGAAAAGGAGTGAAGCATATCATTTAGTGTTTTATTGTCATTCCTCTTAAGACAAGTGTGTATATCTTATGGTTTATATTGATAATATTGTTATTACTGACAATTATTATACTAAGATCAATCAATTGAAGAATCATCTATTTGTTCACTTTCAAACCAAAGATTTTAGTCAATTGAAGTATTTTCTTGGTATTGAAATGACTCAGTCAAAGAAAGCTATGATCATTTCTCAAAGGAAGTATGTTCTTAATATTCTGAAGGAGACAGATTTAACAAATTGTAAATCCATTGATACCCCAATAGACCCTAATCAGAAATTGATGGGAGATAAATGAGCAAAGTTGTCAGACCCAGAAAAATACAAAAGGTTGGTTGTAAACTCATTTATCTTATATTATCCGACCTGATCTTTCTCATGTAGTTGGAATAATTAGTCAATTTATGCAAAATCCTTGTCCTGATCTTTGGGATGCCTTAATTCGCATTCTGAGATATGTTAAAGAAGCTCCAGGACAATGATTGTTATATGAAGATAAGAGTAATACTCAAATCTAGGTTATTGTGATGTAGATTGGGTTGGTTGTCTCATTGATAGAAGATCTATTAATGGGTATTGTATCTTTATTAGAGGGAATTTGATTTCTTGAAAGAGTAAAAAACAAAGTGTTGTTGCTCGATCTAGTGCAGAAGTTGAGTATAGATTTATAACACTTGTTACATCAAACAACTACTTCAAGAATTAAAATTCTAAGATATGAAGTTGTTTTGTGATAATTAGACAGCTCTTCATATTATATCCAATCTAGTCTTTTATGAAAGAACAAAGCATATCGAGATTGATTATTATATTGTTAGAGAAAAGTTAGTATCTAAGAAATTTGTAATTGAATTTATAAGCTTCAATGAACAATTAACGAATATTTTAATTAAATTCTTGAGAGGTCTTAGGATTCAGTTCATTTATTCCAAATTTAGCACATATAATCTATATGTTCTAGTTTGAGAAGTGTTAAGACATGTTGTTTTTCTATTGTTTTGTATTTTTTGTATATGTTTCTTAGATTAGGGTTAAAGATTTGGGCTGAGGTTATCTGTATCTCCTTTATTTATAAATACAATATACTGGTGTATTTAGACACTGTATTAAAGTTCTAAATAAGTTTCTCATGGAAAACATTTACGAATAATTACATGCCCTTTTTAAAAGCTGGAAAGGAAACAGCACATCGCGTGGAAATCGAATTCTTCAGGGGTAAAGTGTAGCGAAGCATCTATTGTCAGCAGACCAAACAATAGCTTTAGATTATAATCAAGTGTTCCCTTTATGCCTTTTCTTTCTAAATTGGAGAAGGGTAATTAGGAATTATATGGTACTGCTAATCCTGTTTTAAGATATCGTCAGTACATTTTGGGCTGGCAATGTTCTGAAGATAAAGTAAGAAAAAAAAAAGGAAGTTTCAAAATTTTGAATGAAACACAACTTAAAGATTATAAAGAGTTTTACAAAGATCATACAACAAAGAATGATGGAGGAGAACAAAAAGTATAACAGATGGTCAAATAATATGTATTAAACTTGGAGAAAGGAATGTTTTATTCACATACTGTGATAAATAAAATATATAAGATAATTGATTTTATAATTTTTCTAATGATGGACAAGGATCGACTACTAATATGGAAGGACTAAAAATGGAAGATGAAGAACCTTGATATATTACCATATAATTTGAATGGGAGAAGTAAAAGATGTTCTTAAAGTATGAAAATGTGTAAGAATATATTTGACTCATTAAGTTTTTTAATGAGCTTTTGATATATAATAAAAGGACACTAGTCTGAAAGAACACTTTGGTCTTTATATTTAAGAAGCAGAAGAGATATTAAGATTTGTGCAATTAGAGGTATAAAACTAATTAATTACACTATGAAATTATACGAAGAGTGACTGAGTACATATAAAAGAAATCTATTTAGAAGCTAGATGAAAAGACATTCAATTAAATAGACTTATTTATGACTTTTATTGGCTTGAAAAAAATTTAGATAGTGTTAAGTATTGTAGTAGAGTTTGGAAAAGAAAAGTATTTGTGTGGTTAATATTCAAGTTATAGAAAACATTTAAGAGGGTCTGATAAATAAAATTAAAGATTTTCTCTTAGCATAAGATTACACCGAGACTCAACCTTTACCCATTCAATAGTTTAATCGTGAATGTGTTCACCATAGACACAAATCTATTCCCTATTTCATTTTTTTATGAATGATATAATTTTTATCAAGCAATCAAGGAAGTTGTTAGCATTACTTGAACTTTGGGGAAAGACTTCGGTAAAAAAGGATTAGTGACTTAGACAAAGTATGTGTTGTAATCTTAGCGAGGCCATTTAAAGAACCTAAAAATAGAGCGAGTAAATTGCCTACCTTCCGTTCAAATTGTTTAACCGTGTTATTATTAGTATTTTACATCAGAGATTTTTGTATATTAAAAATATATATAATATTGATATTTTCACAGAAATATCATTAATTAAATGCATAAACTCAACCCACACGTAAGTCGATTTAACTTAATAAATAGCATCAAACACTGTAATCCCTCTCATAATAAAAATTATTTTCAATGAGTACGACATTATTGTTCTGTAAGATACAAAGGCAAAATTGATTTCTCAAACGAGAAGGGCAGAGACAACATGAAGAAGAAAAATGGGTGACCTTGTAGAAACCAAGTGGTACGCACCAAAAAACTCGAGCTACCTAGTAAATTTTATAGAAAAAAATCTAAAGCTATATACATGTGACCAACTGTATAAGAAGAAAAAAGGGGAGGGGGGCCGGGTTAAGGGGGAGGATAGATGAAACTAGGAGTTTGACATGTGCAGTATTTCCTTGGCCACATTGTTTGTATTGTAGTTAATCTAAAAATTAGGAAACAATTGAAGCCAGCACAAGAATCTCTGATCAAGTCAGATACATCCACCCGGGCGTCAAGGAGCGGAACCGGTAGTTCCTTCAGTTCATTTCCAATATACGAATGCAATTAAACAAACGTAACTACACCTATCGCCAAGGACCTTGTTGACCTGAAAGAGAGAAGCATAGGTATCATAAAGCCACAGTAAATTGAAAACATCTGGGACAACCCCGAATAAAAGGGGAGAAGCATAATATAAAATAAATTGCGTTTTAGCCTTTAAAAGTTGTCACATAACACTACCCCAATTTTGTTTTATGATCTAGACTTCCATGTTTGCCTTGGTAATTCATAGTACTTCTTTTCAATAAATCATTAATTCATAGTAAATCCTACACACACCACCAATTTGCACAAAGAATATGCGAATTTCAATTCAACTATATATCAGCAAGTCGTGTATGAACAGAACATCAGCACACTTTATAGGTGTGAAACGAAACTAACTTTGAATATTTAAACTACCATACTGGATATGAAGTTATATGAAATGAAATAACCATACTAGATATTTTTTTATGCTACAGAACAAAAATCAAGAAGACGCTTGGGCATTATGACATAACTCAATATTCAAGCAGATAACAAAAAATCTACAATATGTGAAACTGCAACCTAAACAAACTATATCAGCCAGAATAATTATATCATGCCACGTGATTTATTATGTCTAATAATATATAAGTACTTTAACTCTTACTGGTTCCCTGCTTTTTCAGAGGATGGACTCTGTCCAGGTAGGGGGCAATTATGACATCCAACTTCACCAACCACAGACCAAGGGCAGATGATGTATGGGGCATCGATGCAAAAGATGCAATGATTTCTTCAACCACACCATCCGGAAATTTGCATTGAAACAACCAGTCCTTATTGATGGCACCAACAAAATCATCAAGAACCTATAAAATAAAAATTCATATGAAAATAGAATTGAGTTAATTTAAGACCAATAGGATTTCAGACACTCCACAAATTCTAACAAACATAAAGTTAAAACAAAAACCTGTAAAAGCTCTACTAAAGTTGAGGTGCGTCTGAGCCGTTTCACCCATAGTTTATGAGCAGATTTCCTCCAAGCACCAACCAGGGCATCTTCAGGCATGACAGACTGCACAAACAGCAGGATGAGAGTAATGAAAATGATAACTAATCTTCAAAAAGCCCATGTGCGTAAAATAAACATGTAAACCATGCCTAGCTTTCAATATAGAACATCGGGAAGTTGGACAAGCAGATAAAATGATAGTGCAAAATACATTTCAGTATCGATTTACTATATCATGTTTATCCCGGATTAGAACTAGCATTACATTAGTAAAAAACTTCTAGAATGGAGCAACCCTATTCAAACAAAACTAAGTAGCACAAACAATGGATAAATTTTTCTGCACAAACCCCAGCAAATTATATTGCATTTGTGCCCTAAAAGGTCCAATGTAACAAAACAAGACATCTACCGCAGTAAGCACTGAATGATGAAAATTGAAGCAAATGAATGAAAACTTACCTCAATAGCATAAACGGCAGCTTTCAGAGATTGAATCTGTGACGGTAGCACTTTATGATTAGGAAATGTATTTCTGCTTTCTTTCTCCCTGCATGTGGCAATATGGACAGCATATCTTTCTTCTAGATCAAAATCAAGCTCAAATGTCATGTGACAAATTTTACAGTGCCTTTCGTCTCTCCAGTATAGATCATGACAACTCTTACATCTGGCAAGAGAATCCAGATAAGACCTTCTACCATATTTTACAACATTGAGATCTGAATAAAAAGAATTCCAGATCCAAGTATCATATTCTTGAACACGGGTCCATTTTTTAATTTGCTCCTCTACTTTCTTTCCACCTTCAATTACCACAGCCCCAGCTGAAGGCGAAGAGTCTTTAGCAGTCTCAGTCATGTTCAGGCTGTCTACATCAGATGCAGGAGAATAACTGTCATCTGTCACCATATCCAGTTCAGATTGATCAGAATGTGACATAGAACCCATTCCAGAACTATTAGTATTAATCCTGCACATAAATCTGCACAGTGATGTTTGTCTCCTTTCCAAAGATTCAATAAGAAGAGCCTCCCGTTTTCCTCTATCATCCAGAACTGACATCAAGGCATACAACGCCTGCATAGATTCAGGGTAACCATATGCAAATAATCAACACTAAAATAGTAATGCATACAATAGACACACTAGACCAAAAAACATATGGATGTTTGGTCTTCCAAACAGTATGTGTAACTAAAATATCTTTTCTTGCACATAACAAAACCAAAGAAATTCACCTCCTTAGTATCAATAACCTCCCAGTGACCATCTTCAGAAGATTCAAAGTATATTCTCCTGTGGCCTGGATCATCTATATTACAAGGGCCCAAGAAAAGCCAGTATCTATTGTACCGACGATCAGATCCCAAAAACACTGATTGAATGGGGTGTGAAATAGATGAACCTTTTTCCTTTTGGAAGGAAACTTCATAACTATGGAATCTTGAGAATAATGACGACGAGTCTACAGTACAGGGATCAGAATTCAAGTGTGCTTTCTGGGTCAAAAGTGGCCCAGCTTTCTTTATTAATGATCTCTTTATTTTAGCTCCAGACCCTCGTACTTGGATGCTAGAATTGCAATCAGTTGTAACATTTGATGAATCCTGTACAAACCAGATCAGTCACATCACATCACAACTTAACATTATGAGATCACTTCACACAACATCTTAGGGGATGTTTGGGAGTTGGGATGGCAAGAGGAATGGAGACAATACAAAGCACTTCAATTTTATCAATTTAAAATTCCACTTAAATTTAAGAAAGGGAGGAGGGGGCAGATAATTCAAGAGCATCCTTTGCCCAGAAGTTTAGTATTTACCTTCAACCTGATGCTGGATCCAGAGGAAACAAGATCAGTTAAAGCTGCCAACGCATTCAATTTTTCTTCAATGTTCAATTCTGAATATTCACTATCCATCAGCCCTAATAACCACGCTTCTCCTGGATGGCTCTCATCAATTTCAGTGTATACTTTCAGCATGTTGTTTTTCTGACTGTTTGCACGCTTTAATTTTCTCATTCTAGAGTTTATTGAATCATTATCATAATCATCACCACTGCTGCATGTATCAGTGTCATCAAGTTCATCATCAACACTACCAGAGTCCTCCGTATCTGAATGAGATTCGTCACTGTCCTTGATAACTGTGCTCACACGCAATCGGTAAGCAGTTGATGAAATCTTTTCAAATAAAGTAATATCACTTGAAAGAGTGGAAGATATTAAAGGCTCAAGTTCCTCTGTAGTGCTGGCAAGGTTTAATTCAACAATCTACATGGTACCAAAATTGGAATTCATCAGTAATATAGATAAAGAATAAAATTAAAAATAAAATAAAATTAGAAAACAACAGTTAGTTGCCTGCGTTGACTTTGCCAGCTCAGCAACTTTGCATCCAATGTTTCCTCTCTCTGACAATATATTAAACAACTCGCTCTTCAAGGTGCCAGGGCATAGACCATAGTTTACAAGAAGATTCAATTCCTACAAAACAAAAGTGTAGTAGTGAACCTTTAAACCAAAATATTTAGTACTGAAAAATTGGAGTATCATCAAGGAAAAGCTTACAGACAATATGGTCTGTAAAAAGTACTGAAAATTAATTAATTAATTTTTACATATGCAAAAAGTTATATTTTGTGTTAGAAAAGGGGACAAGATTCACGCATAAATAATTAGCAATCACAAGAGTCTAAAATAATAAAAAAAAAGTTGTACAAGCGAATTAGATGTTAATGTAAAGATACATTTCAAAAACTAAATTAAAGAAGATGATAAAAGTCAAGGACTTGATAGGGGCCTTGGTACAGTAAAAATCTGTATCACCCCATCACAAGTTGTTTGAGGGAGAATTTTGCCAAAACTACTTTTTAAATATTAACTTTGTAAAATAAGCTCCTTAATTATACAAATACTGTTTGCCCCAATAAGGAGAAAAAAGTTAAGAATAAATTGGATTAAGCTCACCCAAAGTTACATGCTTAACAGCGCCAGTTTGGTGGTTCAAGTATCTAATGAAATTGATGCTTTTCACCAAAAGGTTATCATGGAGTAGAAAGTAATTACTAAATCATTGAAAATGATGCTGTTTTTTTTTGGAGGGGGCAGGGAAACTGTCCCTCACTTAGGAACTGGAAGTTATGGATGGCAGAAAGAAGCCGGTGTACCAAAAAACGGATGTGCATCAGTTAGGATGTGTTGTATGATAGCTTATACAGAAATATGTACTAATAATAATCAAAAGCCTCTAAAATGTCTGATCTTATGTAAAAAACAGACAATAATATAAAGAATGAACATTTTGAAGTAAAATCAGATCTAGAATAGGCTTGCTTGGACTTTGGATTACCTTGTTAAGGACATCTCTACGTAAGGAACCTTGTTTTGAACCAAATCCAGAAGCTACCAGCACTTGACGGAGTATTTCAATCCAAGTGAGAGAATTTAGTGATCTTCTCCAGAAGCCCAGGGAATATTCTTGACTTTCAACCTGCCAAATCATTATAAAAGTAAACACGTAATGAATTTGTACTTCAGCTAAAATATTATAAAACAATAAGTACTTAAAAAATCCATGACCTCCCAAAACGAGGTAATGAAAATTAGCAACTCACCGAGTGAAGCAGTGCAAGAAAGTTACATGATTTATTTAAATGAGGTGAAAATCCATTAGTAAGCTCCACTTCAATGTCAGATAGAAGAAGTGTAAGAAGGGCAACATGAATCTTGCCAAGTAACATTGAGTCCTGGAAAACACATGCAGCAAAGTGAGAGATATTTTGGATGCTACTTGCAGTTTCACATGACTCCAATAAGATTAACATTAAACAAGAAAAACTGGAAACGCTTCCAACATATAAGAATGGGTCAAAGATGGCTTATTTACCTTGTCATGAAAAGCTTGAACAAGCTCGTCAAGAGTGAAGGGACAAATATCAACAATTATAGCATATGTATAAATGAAATGGAAAACCTGTCAATAAAGTTAGTTCTCTGTCAATATATTAAAATGAAGCAATATATTAACTTCAGTACAGCTTAATTTGAAGCCGATCGTTAGCTAATCAAAGAAACAAATTCTTTCTGTCACTTAACAAATAAATCCAAATGGCTGTAGATAATAAAATCCAAATTTTAGTATTAGTGTGTTTCCAAGTTAAAACAAAAATCCATAATGATATGTGTTGACAAAATAACAAGGCAGTAGAATCAGGAATTACATAACCCCTATTATAGCCATCACATGTTTAAATTTCCAAAGCGTACAAAAAAATATGTAAAGAAGGAAGAACGGAGACCTTCAAACCTTATGTAGGTTCTGTTAAAACAATAATGGTAGGAGGGATTCAAAAGAGAACTACTCATGGTCTCATACAGACCAGAAGCAAGTTCCAAGATGTGGAATTCCTCATCCCCATCCTTTCCAAGGAATAGAATTTCAATCTTTCTCCGTGTAATGTTTTGATAGTGTCTGTGTCTGAAAATAGTTTAATTCCACCCAAAAAAAAGTCTCGACGCAGACAAGCTGCAACAGAGGTGTAGGGCAATGAGTTTTGAATTCTCTAAAAATACTCACATACCTCTCCAAAATCTCCTTGTTTCTTTATTCCATCCAAATTATAAACAGATCATGGTTTGTAGGATTTCATGACATTAGTGATTGCACACCTTTTTATCCATGATCCAAAGGAACTTTGGCAGGATGCAGTGAATGAGATCGTGTGTGCTACAAGAGAAACACTCATCTTTGCTTGAAAATGCGGTGTAAATTTGCTTGAAAAACTTACCATATTTATAATTCTTGTTATAAACAGCTACATCTTTCCATTTACTTTTACAACAATCTTTTGATTAAATTTTACAATTTTCTAGCATGGGAACATTTCTTCTGCCATTGAACAGTGTGCAATCCACAAGGAACTATGCTGGATTTAGGTCAGCCACTATATAATACTGACAAAGGACAACATAGATTATATTTTAAGATGTTTGAGTAGTAAAAATCTGTGTTATAGAAGAGAAGCTTTAGTGAGTGACTGAAGAAACACATCTGCACACAGAAACAATAACAAATGCATGTGCATTAGCATAATAGTATCTTAAGCCAAAACTGATTGATTGTATGCACCTTAAATAATTTCTTAACAATTTCTGGAGAGGAGTCCCAAGGTTGCAAATGGATAGGTTTCTTCATCTTGACAGTATCTGGCGGAAACTTCACTAGTGCATCTGTATAATTCCACATGCATTTAATGAATGGAATTAATCAAAATCAGAACATTCCAGCTTTATAAAATCATTACTAATTTGAATATAAGGAATAATGGTCAATTTTTGTTCCTTCAAATTACCTTTACAAAGTGAGAAGCCAAGCATTCCACTGGCAGCAAGATGACTGGAACACATAAACAGATCAGTTCCTTCTTGTAACTCCCTCAGCTCTAGCTCTTCATCATCAATTAACATTGAAACTCGATCAACTCCCTCCTCAGATATTGCATGATCCAGAGCTAGTTCACAGTTTTCGCTAGGGCACTGATTCTTAGTCACATGTAAGTTCAATTCTCCCTGCCAGGTAGAGAAACTCAAAAAACTTGCCAAATCATTCAACAGTAAACACCAAAATGCACATTCAACTTTTTGTTACCACTTTTCTTTGCAAGGAAAGTTTCCTCTTATCCTGTGATTTATTTCTCTTGTTCTGCATTTTACGTTTTGGCATAACCTGTTCAGGAAAAGAATTTCAGACCCACTATTATAAACCAGAACTAACAAGCTCATTCATAAATTATATAGGAAGAAGACAAAGTGTGCATAATATTATGGGTTTAGATAACTTACATTCCTGTTTACTGTTTTCCGTGACCTGTTGGTTTCCCGGATCGTTTTCTGTCCAATAGAGTTTGAAATTAAAGGAACTTCTTGCTCATCAACGCCAAAAACAATTGGAAGGTCTCCAGCGTCAGGATTTGTTGCCCTCCAAACTGTCATCAGACCTTTGCCAATACCATGTTTCTTCCCAGGTGCTTTCATGTTACAATTGGCAAGACTTTGAATTGCACCCTTGGAAACCTGAGAAAAGAGGACTTATGACAAATGCAAAGGAGTGTAAAATGAAACATAAAAAATCTTTCTCGGAATACTATTGAGTCACCTTCCTCCTTTTCGGGGATCCTTGGTCCTCTTGACAAGCAGAAGTGACATATTTGGATCCTATTCAATCAAAGAGGAGACGGAAACAATGCAAGTTATAAAAATTGTAAGAGGTGGATGCAAAAGACTAAATAGAATTAAATATAAACGTAGAATAACAATAATGAAAATGGCCAAATGGGAGAAGTAAATATGCAATGTACATTTGCTTGGCACAAGTGCACAATGGAAGGAATTAAATAATAAGATTGCTTATTTTTACCACTCAATTTTGAATTGAGGCCAAACAATTTATTTTCTTCTGTCAGAACAAAAAACAGTTAGAGAACATTTGTAACAATTAATAATCAGAACATAATAAATACTTTTTCAACTTCATATTTCCTATGAATATATGTATAAATAGGATGCTTAACTAATGACTATTATTTACTGTCCTCCATGTTCACTGCAATAAAAGAAGGGATGGTGTTAATTTGGAAATCAATGATAATTCATCTAATACGAAGTTATTTACTGAAAGTCATATTTCAAACCCTATTGTTCTTCAAATATTTAGTAAAATATCAACGCACTGAATTTATCTTAATACACCGTATTTAACGTCACCACCACCAACAACAAAATCCACGGAATCTGATCACCAAAAGCACTACCTTATACTCACATCTAATATCATTGGGATATAATAAAGAAACAGAGGATAGCGTTCCCCACGCAGTAGTATAACTACAAATAATCAAAACGCACCAGATGGAAGAAAATCAAACTCCTGACCGAGCGGAGGACCATCCTTCCGAAACACACTGTTCACAATGTAATCGGCTGTGAACAGCTCCTGAAGACCTTTACGCTTTTGCTTTTTCTTAACGTTCCTCGTCACCGCCATGCCATATTCTGAAGCAGAAGAACCGTTTTTTGCAGTAGCAACAAGTCGCGATAATACTTTTCCACCGCCACGAGGGCGAAATTCGTCGCGCGAACACGTACACGGTGGCACTACGACTCCATTTCCACCGTCACCCCTCCGTGTATCATAGCCTTCCATTACCTTCAGTGTTCAGTGTTTCTCATCTGCGCCAGAAAAAATATGGAAGAAACTCGAAATCAGAGTTCATAATTGACGCTGAAATGCAACGGCAAACGAATTTACGGAGAAGATGCAATTCGTTATTGCGGCGATCAAATGCTCGAATTCGTTGAATTCGGTTACGACGGTTGAAATCAGTGTTGTGGCAGTCTTTTAAGAGAGTGTGGGGAGAGAGAAGAGTGAGGTGAGAAACGTACCGCGATTGGAGCTTGAACACTGTGCTTAAATGGAATGAAATGAACGAGAGGAGAGGAAGTGAGTTGAAGAAGTGAAAGAAGCAGAGGTGAGGATAATATGACAGGAGAAGTAGGGTTTTGGGTTTTATGGAAAAAGAGAAATATCTCTCTCGTTTTGCCAAACAACCCCTTCCCAGCCATTACTCGAGAAATATCATGACAAAATTATTATTTCTATTGGGCTTCCTTTTAGCCCACTCCATTGTCGGTAAAAAAAAAAAAAAAAGTACTCGTTTTTTTTTTATATATATATATATTCCCATAACGTTAACAACAGGTTATTCACCCGTTTATTTATATTATATATAAAAAGTTATCATTAAATCGTTTTTTTTTCTTACAATATAATATTACTCTTTATCAAATATATTATATATAATATAAAAAAAGTATTATTATTATTTATATATAAAAATATATATAATATATTTAATAATAACATAAATAAATATATCTAAAAGGTGAAAAAAGAAAAAAATAAACAAACAACTTGTAAAACAAAAAAAGTATCACATTATTATATAATCATAAATTACTATATATAATAAATTTGTTGTTTTTTATAAGTATTATCTTATAAGACATGTTAAATAATTTTTCAACAACTACTAATATAAATAAAACTACATTGACAGTATAAAAGATTTGAATTTTCTTTAAAGTACAGCAACATTTTTATTCAATTGTATGTTGACATGAGTAATAGATTTGATAATTCTAATTATTTCCATCGGTGAGACTTTATCGTAAAACTAAAATATGTTGAAGAAAAAAATTGAAACTTACATTAGTCTAAGAAAATCAAGCTTATATATATATATATATATATATATATATATATATATATATATGTTAAATTTAAAATAAATAATTATTTAGTTAAAAAAAAGTTCTCAAATTAATAAAATATGTTTTTTTTATCTCTAATAATCGGAAGATTAGGAATAATTTTTAAAAGGTTATTTAGTTTTTTTAAATTATTTTGAAGTTTAAAAAATTGAATTTTTTTATTTATTTTTGACAACTAAAATTAAAATTACTTTAAATTTCAAAAACTAAAAACAGAATTAAACTATAATTTAACTATCACACACATCTAAAGTTTAACTTAACATTATTATTCTATTAACTTTTTGGAAAATATGACTGAATATAATAGGCTTGTGTTTTGTTAGACGTATATTTTCAAGAAAGTGTATATTAAGAAAAAATTTCAGCTTAAACGACGGAACCCTTGTTGTCGTTTACAGCAAACTATTGATTGATTCGAAACAGTAAAAGTTGTGCGAGCCATACGACAGGGCCGCTATAATTAGGGTTTATGGTGTCCACCAAATAGACTAATTTGGAGGGAGAGAAACCGAGACCGAGCGTGAGAGAAAAAGAATTTTTCATTTCAATGGCTTCAAGGGTTTCTCTGAAGGCGAAGGGGAAGAGTTCGAAGGGATCGAAGGGTCAAGAAGACCGATCCGCGAGCGAGTGCCTGAAGGAGTGGACCACGTGGGCGATGCGAAAAGCGAAGGTCATCACTCACTACGGTTTCATCCCTTTGGTCATCATCATCGGTATGAACTCTGACCCTAAGCCTCCACTTTCGCAGCTTCTCAGCCCCGTCTGATCCACCTCTCTGAGTCTCCATCATCAACGCGTCGTCGTTTTTCTTTTCTTTTCTTTTCCCCTTTTTCATATTTGTAACTTCATGGATCAGTTTTCAAAGCAGGTTAGTTTGTTTTGTTTGAGACAATTTTCGAAGACACAGTAGTAAATAATTGGCCCTTTATTATTACTACAATGATCAAATATCGTCCCTGCGTTTTTGTTTTGTTTTTTATTCTCCAGTTTTGTTTTTGATATGTTAATTGGTTGATGAATGGAATGTGAATTTGTTTTTTTTTTTTTTCGGTTTAACTAGGTGGAAAATTTGTGTCTTCTTTCTTTACTCACTTTAGGGTATTGGCTATTGGTTGTCGCAATTATGATTGGTGCGTAGAGATTCACAGGTTTTCTTGAGCAGGACACTATTCTGGTGCTTTTATGCTTTTCAAAATTTTAATTTGCCATGGATTCTTATTATGTCATTATTTTGATGTTGTTTTGTTTGCATCAAATTAATCCCGTTCTTACAATTTACCAGGACCAAATTGAGGTCATATAGCATTCTTTCTGGGCGAATTTAAGGGTTTATGTAATTATACTACTTCTTTTGATTACGAGAAAGTAGAAAAATAGTTTTTATTTGAAGTGGGTACTGATTTTTAACAAAGTATTTTTGGGATTGATTTGAGCAAAAATTCCAAAAAGTTTAAAGCAAGAAACTGCAAACAATGTGGTTAAGATTGTGCGATAGAGAAAATTTAATGAAACTTAATTTTAACAATTCTAAAGACTAATATTGTGTATTTAATTTATTATCAAAAGATTTCTTACGGGAGAAACGATGACATTTGGTGGGCAATCGATCCTATTTACCCAGCTCGGTAAATTTGATTGATACATATCTTCGATTGTACTATTTCTACTCAGAAAAGATTGGTAAAAAAATCAATATCTTATCACCATTTTGACTTTCTTTTTCTGGTTTTTAGAAAAATAAGTCGGACAAAACACAGCTCGGATTCAAATTTAAAAGATATAAAATTTGTTTCCAATTCTCGTGACCCAATTTTGTTAGTGATTATCGAAGCCATCAATTCTGAAAACATAAAATTCCAGCTTTACAGTCGCAGTTTATTATTTGAGATGTAATAAACAGAGATCGGGAACAAGAGTCAAACAGGTTTTTACCAATTTTCAAGAAAATGTACCTTGATTCAGCTAAGGTTATTTGTTACTGGTGTAACTATGATTTCGACAATATTATATCAAATATCTAACTAACTACTTTTTTATTTTAATTTTTCTGTTAATTAGTTTATTCACTGTGCATGCAATATGCACCTAACTTAGGCCTTCCTAGCATAGCTTGAGTTGATGCCTTCGGGAGTTTATCTGAAACTGGATTTATTAGTTGTTTCATACAAATTCTTTCAATTTTTTTGGAAACTTGAGTACGATTTATAGACACATTCATCATGTGGAAGAAGAAAATAATTATATGCTAAATAGAGTTAAATAAACTTTTTAACTTAGGAATAAGTTGGTTTAATTAATGTATACAAAAATTCCTCTAGACTTATCTGAATGTTTTTTTTTCACAAATACTTAATGCAGAAAAGGTGATGTAAATTTTTTTTCATATATTAAATTTGATTGATACACCTTAACTTGTGAAAAAAGTTTTATGAGAATTTGAATATTTTTCTAAACTAGTTTATTTATTATAATTTTATTTATTTCCTAATTATTTATAGGAAAAACTTATTATAAGTAATTTGAGATATATTCAGAATAGTTTGTGCATAAATATATTTCGAAAAGAAAAATAAAAAAATTGTTAAAGTTAAAATTAGTTTATGAATATTTTTTTTTATAGAAACTCATACATGAGTTAAAATTAATATTTTAGAAAATTAATAGAAATAATTTTTACAAATGAACTAATGTGTAGCTTAATTTTATAGAAAAAATATTTTATTTTTTATTTTTCTTTCTAATTTTTAAATTGAGGGGAGTGAAATCAGTATTAGATTTCTCCTCGCTGAAATTCTTGCTGGAGCATTTCATATAAATTTGTTGACTAACCCTAGCTATGATAATAATAAAATAATACTTGGACCTTCAAATATGATATTTCATGATTATGGACATGATCTTTTAATTAGAAACTAGTAAAAACCAGTTGACCCACATCCCGGTCAATGCGCGTGATGAGATTAATGATAGTACAATAAATTTGTTTTAAAAATAAAATATAACTAACATGACCAGAATATCGTAATATAGTAACATAATTCAGAAATGATTATAAGAAAATCAAAATATTAATCCAGAACTCTGTTATGCAACAATATGTTAGGAAGTTTGGTATCCTTTCAAGTGGTATAGTATATTCAATTAATATTTAGGCTTAATTCTATAACACGCCAAAAAAAAAATCAAAACAATTAATTTAATATGGTCATTCATTCTATATTTGAAATTCATATACAGATGTTAAGTAAACTTATGAGGGGAGTTAAAGGAAATAAACTATTTCTTCTACCACCTCAATAATCACATTTTACACACTATTTAAATTTTGGATTAGACAATTCAAAAGATTTTACTCTGTTGGTCCAATGGGTTATCATTTGTAAGTGTGTGATATGTCCCTTAGTTTTCATTTTGCATCTTATTTTTGTTCATTCACCAGCCTGCCATTCTTGAAGTTTAGAATTTATATTTGGAAAACTTATAATTAAAATGTTATTCTTTTGGGCCTGCAACTCCACTACACTTCAGGCCCATAATCACAGCAAAGCAAGCTCAAAGTCAAATAAACTGAACAAACAGTGAAAACAACAAAGTTGTGTGGACACGCACACAAGTTAGGGTTTTCGTCCTGAAAATCAAACACAATCACACTCCCCGCGTGTTCACCTACCTACCTTTAGATTCAAATTTTGCCCGTAGCAGCACCCGCCGAAGCTCGCAGGAAATGGTGAACGAGAACGAGAAGAAGGAATCACCGTCACTGGGAAAGCGAAGAGAACCCGAACCTCCAGTGACAGTCCCAGTCCCAGTCTCAGATACAGCTTCGAAGCCGAAACGAGCTCGCAGCGCGGAACGCACATGCGTGCACGAGGTCGCCGTTCCGAGCGGTTACGTCTCGAGCAAGGACTCTGAGCTCCATGGAACTCTCTCCAACCCTCTCCACAACGGTCCCATGGCCAAATCCTATCCCTTCGCCCTCGACCCCTTCCAACAGGTCTCCATCGCCTGTTTGGAGAGAAACGAGTCCGTCCTAGTCTCCGCCCACACCTCCGCCGGCAAAACCGCTGTTGCCGAATACGCCATTGCCATGTCCTTCCGCGACCGGCAACGCGTCATCTACACTTCCCCGCTCAAGGCCCTCAGCAACCAGAAGTACCGCGAGCTCAGCCAGGAGTTCACCGATGTCGGCCTCATGACTGGTGATGTCACGCTCTCCCCGAACGCCACGTGTCTGGTCATGACCACCGAGATTCTCCGCGGTATGCTCTACAGAGGCTCCGAAGTCCTAAAAGAAGTGGCTTGGGTTATATTTGATGAAATTCACTATATGAAGGATCGCGAACGAGGCGTTGTTTGGGAAGAGAGTATAATCTTTCTGCCTCCGGCGATTAAGATGGTGTTTCTCTCCGCTACTATGTCGAATGCCACGGAGTTTGCGGAGTGGATTTGTAATATCCACAAGCAGCCTTGTCACGTTGTGTACACTGATTTTAGGCCAACGCCGCTGCAGCACTATGCGTTCCCCATTGGGGGGAGTGGGTTGTATTTGGTTGTGGATGAGAATGAACAGTTCAGGGAGGACAATTTTCTGAAGCTACATGATACTTTCGTGAAGCAAAATTTTGTTGATGGGAGGAGAGGTGGGAAAGGTGGTGGAAGAGGTGGGAAAGGTGGCAATGCTTCTGGTGGTTCTGACATTTACAAGATTGTTAAGGTTAGTTAGACACTTTTATTTGTTGTTGTTATTGATTAAACGATGTTGTTTAACATGTCAATTTTATTAACTATAAATTAGCTATCTCTATTTTAAGTCTAGATATCTTCTGCTATGTTTTCAGTAGTTTTTATCTTTCTCAGTTACGCATTTAGGGTGAGTTTGGGAGAGATTATTTACTACTTATTTGGGTTTATCTCATAACATAAGTACTTGTCTGAAGCCCAATCTGTAAAAGTTCACCATTAATTCTTATGGGAGGAGAAACTAAAAAGTTAAAAAAATGGAGGGTTTATAGTAAAATTTAGCTTGTACATATTTGGCTCAAAGGAGGGTAGTGATTTTAAAGCATGTTCTGTATGATTATTCTCTTTGGAAATGAATTAACAAAGTATTCTGTTTTTTATTAGAGCCACTAGATTTTTGGTTGTAAATGTTTTGACCTACTGACTAATGAACACTCAAATGGGGCAATTCAGAGAACTTTCTTCTTCTCTGTTTGGAGCAGACAAATATGTGTCGGAATTCACTGTCAATATGTTAGAATTGAAAAGTGGGGAATCTACATTGTTTTTATGTTAGCCAGTAACTGAATTGGTGGTCCTTCTGAGTCTCTCGATCACTTTGGGATGTTTTCCTGCATTTTTTTTTTCTTAAATCTTTTTTTAGTTTGGAAAAATACTCTGCCTTATTTAAATTATTTGAAACTCTGAAGCTCCCTCTGTAGTTGCATTTTGGAGAAAGCTTTTTTGCGAGTATATAATGTTGTTTTTCCAAAATTTCTCTCAGAACATGGCCTTTAAGGAGTGTTCTTTACAAATGTGTTGAGATATTGAATAGCTTTACTATGATGTTGTCTATTGTTCCAAGATGTATATTTTTTACTTTTGCCTTTTCTAAGAAGGGCTTCTTATCCTCATTTTCATCTAAGAATTTTTTGTCTCAATAATCATTCTATTAAATAACTAGTGCTTAGTCTTTATTTTAGCTAGCATGTTTCTTGTTTTTCAGATGATCATGGAACGGAAATTCCAACCTGTTATCATCTTTAGCTTTAGTAGAAGAGAGTGTGAGCAACATGCAATGTCTATGTCCAAGCTCGACTTCAACACCCAAGAAGAAAAGGATACAGTGGAGCATGTTTTTCGAAATGCAGTGCTCTGTTTGAATGAAGAAGACAGGTGCTTACCTGCTATTGAGCTGATGTTGCCACTTCTTCAGCGAGGGATTGCTGTCCATCATTCTGGACTTCTTCCTGTTATCAAAGAATTGGTCGAGCTTCTTTTCCAGGAAGGTCTTGTAAAAGCCCTATTTGCTACTGAAACAGTAAGATTTTGTCCAGCTTCTGATTTCTTTCTTTCCTTCTTTCTTTGTTTTGTTTTTCTGTTACTTCTATAATGAGTCGCAGATGAACTTTTCTTCAGTTTGCCATGGGTTTAAATATGCCAGCCAAAACAGTTGTATTCACTGCAGTTAAGAAGTGGGATGGCGATAGTCATAGATATATTGGATCTGGTGAATATATACAGGTGAGAGACGATATATTTTTGTGTGACGGTGGTTGTTAATATATTCATTCTGGTGCCCCCACATTACTATTAGTGATTTGCTACCTTCAGATGAGCGGAAGGGCTGGGCGACGTGGCAAAGATGAGCGTGGAATCTGTATCATAATGATTGATGAACAGGTGAGTGTCTTGATAGTCAAATTTGTTTTATGTTGCATTAGTTTGTGAGCTTTTTCATATGAGATTCCACAATTAGAACTCTATCTTCTTGTTGATGTTTTGAATCCTTCATTCTTATTTTAACTTTGTGGTGTTCTATGAACTAGTGGGATAAGGTTTTTGTTCTTGGTGTTGTACTGCCAAAATTAAAAAAACAACTGAGTAATTCCTGTTCCTCCATCGCCTGTTTCATGTCATTTGGTATGATTTAAATACATGTTAGGCTACTGAACATATTGCCAATTGGTTTTATGTTGGAACCTTAACATGGTATCATAGCCAAAGCCTAACATCTTTCTAGTTATTATCTTGGCCCAAGATAATAATTAGAAAGATGTTAGATTTTGACTCTGATACTAAGTTAAGTGAGTAAAGAGAGTTAAAAAGAAGATTTATAATTCAGTAGGATGATATTCTCCACTCTATGATCCTATATATATATATATATATATATATATATATATATATATAGGATTACAGACATTTAAAACAACAACTACCAACCTCTAACCACTACCTAATAATAATTCTAACATTCCTCATCAAGTTGGAGCATACAAATTGTATGTGCCAAGCTTGGAACAAATAAATTCAATTCGAGGTCCTCTTAAAGACTTTGTCAACACATTTGCAAGTTGATAATTGGACCCTACAAATTCAGTGCAAATTTCTTTAGACAACAATTTTTCATGAATAAAATGACAATCAAGTTCTATGTTTGGTCCTTTCATGAAACACTGGATTAGTAGAGGCAATGTAGAGAGCTGCTTGATTGTCACAATACATCTTCATCTGTTGGATCTCGCAAAATTTCAGTTCTTGAAGGATTGTTTCACTCACACTAGTTCACAAGTGAGAGATGCCATTGCTTTATATTCAGCTTTAGCACTAGATCGGACCACTAGATTTTGTTTCTTGCTTTTCCAAGAAATAATATTGTTTCCAATGAGAACACAATATCCTATAGTGGATCATCTATCAATAGGGGATCGAGCCCAATCATCATCACAATACCTAGATATTTGGGTACCCCGTTTATCTTCATACAACAGACCTTGTTCTAGAGCCTTTTTGAGATATTTTAGGATGTGAATGACAACATTCCAATGATCAGTACGCGAATTTTGCATAATCTGACTGACAATTCCAACAGAAAAAGATAGGTTAGGTCTGGTAATGGTGAGATAAATGAGTTTTCCAACAAGCCTTCTATACCTCTCAGGATCAGAGAGCGGTTCACCCTGATCCGCCATTAATTTCTGATTTGGATCCATAGAGCTGTCTACTGGTCTACAATCAATCATGCCTGTTTCTTTCAGGATATCTAAAGCATACTTTCTTTGGAAGACTACGATGCCTTCTTTTGATTGAGCCACTTCAATCCCTAGAAAGTATTTGAGACAACCAAGATCCTTAGTTTGGAAGTGATTGCATAAATGTTTCTTTAGCAGAGAAATTTTATCAACATCATCCCCTGCAATGACTATATCATCCACATATACAATTAAATAAACACATTTTCCTGAAGCAGTATAATAAAAAACATAATGATATGCTTCACTTCGTTTTAGTCCAAAACTTTGAACAATGTGACTAAACTTTCCAAACCAAGCATATGGAGATTGTTTGAGACCATAGAGAGAACGATGTAACTTACAAACCAAACTAGACTCTCCCTGAGAAACAAAACCAGGAGGTTGTTCCATGTAAATTTCCTCCTCAAGATCACCCTTCAAGAAAACATTCTTGATATCTAACTGATGAAGAGGTCAATGACGAATAGTTACCATAGCAAAGAAAAGTCAAACAATAGTCATTTTGGCCACAGGAGAAAAGTATCACTGTAGTCAAGGCCATAGATCTGAGTGTAGCCTTTTGCTACTAATCTAGTTTTGAGTCGATCAACTTCACCTTTTGGTTCAACTTTAATGGCATAGATCAAACGACAACCAACAGTCTTCTTCCTAGGTGGAAGAGGAACTAAGTTTCATGTACCATTGTGCTCAAGAGTCTGCATTTCATCAATCATAGCTTGTCGCCATCTAGGATGATCAAGTGTCTCTTTCACATTTTTTGGAATAGTAATAGTGGATATAGAAAAAACAAAAGAAAAATAGGAAGGAGACAATCTATGGTAGCTAAGAAAATTGTAAATGGGATATGAATTACGAGTAGAACAAGTACCTTTGCGAATGACAATGGACCAACTTGAGTCATCATTATCAGGAATCGTGATATCAGAGGATGATTGAGAAGGAACTGCTGAGGAAGACTCATTTTGGGATATGAGACTGATCATTTGGCTCCTGTGTTGATAGGTAATAAGAGACAGTGATGAGGATTCCGGTGTATTTTGTGTGAAATTTTGGGTGTCAAAAGAAGGAGGTACAAATGGCTCCACTAAGGGTATAAGTAGGACATTTTGGACCGAACTAATATCCTGCATAGAAGAAGGGAAGAAGGGAGTTGATTCAAAAATAGTGACATTAGCAAACATGTAGTACCTCTTGGTTTTAGGAGAATAACATCGATATCTTTTTTGAAGACGAGAATATCCCAAGAAGATGCATTTGATGGCTCTAGCTGATAGTTTATCTAAATCTGGAGACATATCATGAACAAAACATATGCAACTAAATACATGAGGAGAAACATGAAAGAGTGGCTCCTTTGACAATAGAATAGAGTGTGGAACTTTATTGTCAAGAGAAGATGACATTCTACTAATGAGAAAACATGTAGTAAGAATAACATCTCCCCAATGATGAACAAGCATATTTGCACTAAGTAATAAGGTATGAGCAATTTCAACCAAATGTCTATTTTTTCGTTCTGCTATACCATTTTGTTGTGGTGTGTGAGAACAAGTAGACTGGTGTAAAATGCCTTGGGAACTTAAGAGAGTGGATAAATCAGTAGAAAAGTATTCTTTGGCATTATCACTTCGTAAAACTTTGATTACTTTTCCAAATTGATTTTTGATTTCGTTAAGGAATGACTTAAAGATAGGTAATAATTCAAAACAGTCTTTCATTAGATAAATCCAAGTACACCTAGAAAACTCATCAATGAAGGTAACAAAATATCTATAGCCAAAGGATGAGACACGATTAGGACCCCAAATATTAGAATGAACAAGAGAAAAGACAGAGCCACATCTAGATTCAGAACGTTTAGGAAAAGAGGACCTAGTATGTTTCCCTAGATGACATGATTCACATTCAAAATCTTGAAGAGTTTGAAGCTCAGGATCCCATTTTTTTAATCTTGACAAGTGAGGGTGTCCTAAATGTTCGTGTAATAGTTTTGGAGACAAGGTTGCAACATAAGATACATATGATTTAGTCCCAAGGTAGTATAAGCCTCCAGATTCATGTCTTTCGCCAATCTGTCGACCCGTACCACGTTCTTGTATAACAAAAGAGTTGGCATTAAAGGTTACTGAATAATTCAATAATTTGGTTACTTCACTTAGGGAAATGAGACTGAAGGGACATGAAGGAACGAAAAGAACATATTTTAAGTTTAAAGACGGAGAAATGGAGACTTGACCAGTTCCTTTAGAGGCTACTTTAGATCCGTTGACTAAGGTTATGAGATGAGGAGTTTTAGGAAATGAGAGAGAAGAGAACAAGGAGGTATTACCAGACATGCATCAGAAGCACCTGAGTCAATAATCCATGGATTTTGACTTTCTACATACTGTGAAATGCAAGCGGTTGATGAATTTGGGGTTGTTGATGACTGTGCTAGATTACTAGATTTCAACCTCAAATATTCTTGATATTCTTCGTGAGAGAACTTGGGTTTAACCATTTCAGATTTGAAAAAAATTGACAGTTTTATTAGGAAAACCGTACAAAGAGTAGCAATTTTTCAGGGTATGACCTATTCTCTTGCAATGAGTGCACTGAGGACGTCCTCTACCTCTACGTCCTCTTCTAGTGCCGCAACTTCCTCTTCCACGAGTAGAAATCATAGCAGAAAATTCAACAAGTTCTTGATTATTTTTTTCTTTGAGAGTTAGAACATGAAACAGTCTTGTAGTCAAACTTTCCATAGAAGGAACTTATTGTCCAGTTAAAATTTGATCTCTAACATGATCAAATTCTGAATTCATAGCCGGAGAGTCATAACCATATAGAATTTATCCAACTTTTGCTTTATCTCCTCTAACGAATCCACCTCTAGGAACATCTTCAATTCTTCAACTGCTGATTGAGCTTCAACAATAAAGGTCATCATATCTTTATCCACTTGCTTGAGAGAGGCTAATCGATTAGCGAAATCATAAACACGTTGGATATCATTTGCGAAGATATTTTGAGCCTTTTTCTAGAAAGAGTTACATGTTCTAGATGTTCAAAATATTTGGTTCTACTGATTGTCACAATAGAGCACATAGTTGATAATCAAGTTTTTTCCATTGTTTAGCCTATCTTCTGGTATCTTACTTCCGTCTTCTTCTAGATGATCGTGAAACCCTTGTCCAAAGAACCAAAGTTCTACTGAAGAGAACCAAGACATGTAATTTTTTCCATTTAATTTCTCAGCCGTTATAGTGGGAGTTATGGAAAAGGAGGTTGTGGGCCCTGATGACATGTTTTAAATAATGTAGATGTAAGATGGAGACATGGAATCTGTAAGGAGAGCACCCAAGATAGAATTAGATAAAGAGGGAAGTATCAATTTTCACTTTGCAAGAAAATTGATGAATGGCAGCAGCAGACAACTGTAGTGGAGCGGAGGCCGGAAGGTCACTGGAAGGTGGTCGGAAAGTTGTCGGACGGCAGCAAAAAAGTGTCTGGATAGGGGGCTGATGGTTGCCGGAAAGTGACCGAAAAGTGACCAGAAAAGTGGCTGGACGGTGGCCTGAAAGACAGAGGAGGACCAACCTGATCTGATATATTTATTATTCTAATTTTTATTATTGGTATTATTCATATATATATATATATTATTATTATTATTTGTTGCATAATATATAGTCATGCATTAATAGTTTTCTGTACTTTTAATATTACAGAGTTTCTTATATTTTTGTAGAAGTATATAATATATCATTATTAAAAAACAGTTAAAGAACGCCTTGCCCAATTATTTAACTGTTTTGGGTAATAATAGAAGGGTTCACTTTGGACTCAGACCCAGCATCCTGTCTGACTTAGAACCAACAAAACCATAGCCACTTTTGTCACATCAGTCATTCAGCCGCCACCTCTTCTCATAATCCAACCATATTTACTCCCAAAAGTCCATGCAGTGCTATGGTTAGCAGTGACATGAATTTATTTGTTTTCTTCTATTTTCTCTTTATTAGTTTATGTTAACAGAATCTGTAAATTAGGATAGCAAAAAACGCATTTGTTACAATCTTTTTATTTTGTGTGAAATTGTATTATTTATATAATTTTTCTTCTGTTTTGCATTTAGCTCACTCGAATGGCATGACAATGAGGCTACATGTTTTTTGCTGTATGTTGTGTTCATTTTGTCTTATCTGTTATCTATGCAACAGTTGCATATTTGAAAACCAATTTGTTTTACATTCATCAGCTTACTTTTTATTTGACTATTTTATGTAGATGGAAATGAATAACCTTAAAGAAATGGTTTTGGGTAAACCTGCTCCTTTAGTTAGTACATTCAGGCTTAGCTACTACTCAATTTTAAATTTGATGAGCCGTGCAGAGGGCCAGTTCACTGCTGAACACGTAATACGAAATTCATTTCATCAATTTCAATATGAAAAGGTTTCTACTGATCCATATCCTCTAAAATGATATTAATATTATGCATTGAGAATTATATCTTACTAGCATCTCCTTATTCTTGTTCAGGCCTTACCAGATATAGAGAATAGGGTGTCAAAGCTGGAGCAGGAAGTAACCTTGCTTGATGCTTCAGGGGAGGTAATATTTGTTCCTGGGCACTCAATTTAGTTTACTTAATCATATGTGGCATATTCTATTAACTTTTTGGTTTTTATTATAATTTTGTGTAGGCTGAAGTGTCTGAGTATCATAAGTTAAAATTGGAAATAGCACAGCTGGAGAAGAAGATGATGTCAAAGATAATTAGGCCGGAAATAATCCTTTATTTTCTTGTCCCTGGTCGATTGGTATGTGATAGTACATTAGTATGTATCAGCATGGAAACGGTTTTGAATTATGTTGTGTTTTCTTGCTTTTCTTCAGCAACATTAGTAAATATATTATAAATCTGTTTGGTTCTTTTTGGCGCCCCTTTAATGCCTTTGGCTACAATTTTTCATTTTTATGATCTTTAATTTGTCCTCTATTCCTTTTCCTTATCTTATCATGCTTTACTGAGTTAGAATGGACTTTGTAACCTTTCAGATCAAAGTTAGAGAAGGTGGAACTGATTGGGGCTGGGGTGTTGTAGTCAATGTTGTTAAGAAACCTTCTAGTGGTGGTTATATAATTGATACATTACTTCATTGTTCACCTTGTTCAACTGAAAACAGTTCACGGCCAAAACCCTATCCACCCCGCCCTGGAGAGAAAGGTGAAATGCATGTGGTAAGTTGATATTTCAAACTGTTTCATGATTATTTAGTGTTGTCATGTGTAACTTTTCTTTTATCTGAAAAAGTTATGTTACTGTTATCTTGGATGCTCCTTTTGTAATAGGTCCCAGTTCAATTACCATTAATATCTACTCTTGGTAAACTACGGGTATCTATACCTTCTGATCTTCGACCCTTGGAAGCAAGGCAGAGTGTGCTGCTTGCTGTACAGGAGCTGGTTAATCGATTTCCAGGAGGTCTTCCAAAGCTTAACCCTGTAAAGGTAATTATATTCCACACACAGATGTCCCAAGTTGCTGGTATGTTATTGCTGGTAATTGAATAAAATTAATCACCTTTGGACATCAAACTCTCACCTGCTAATAGATGAATGCTATTTACATGAACTATATGAAAGAAGCTTTTAATAATTTATTTTTCTGACATTTCATCTTCTTCTCATTATAAATTTGTTCCAGTCTTTAGATTTCATGACTAAAACTGTGAATGATGGCCTTATCGAGTCATTATAACATCTATATTTCATTCTCATTCTGAATGGTTAAGATTCTTTCTCCTCATGGTTTTTATTAAAATGAAATAGAGAGCAAGTCAGAAAACTATTGAGCTTAAGTGATCTTTAACTCTAACTGAATCAAACATTATTTATGTTTTGTACTCTCTAAAATAATATTTCCAGGACATGGACGTACGTGACACAGAGATAGTTGAACTAGTCAATCAAATAGAGGAACTTGAGAAAAAAATGTTTGCTCATCCTATGCATAAGGTTTGTTAAAATGAACTCCATTTTCACTATCATTTGTTATAAAAACAATGTTGCCTTTCCTTTGATTTTAGTGTTTCTTTCATATTTTTTTATTAAGTAGCGTCAAGATGTGGATCAAATTAAATGCTTTGAGAGGAAGGCAGAAGTGAATCATGAAATTCAGCAACTGAAGACAAAAATGCGTGATTCCCAGGTATTGACATTGTGAAAGTGTCTTTTTTTGCTATATTTACTTATTAATCCAGATCACATTACAGTGTCTTCTATGGATTTTATTTGTGTTCAATATCCATGAGGCTCCATGCAAATTAACAACTTACCAGTTGGTCAATTGTTAATGTGGCAATTTTATTTATGACAAATATTGATTTTACTGTTGAGGAACTCTGTAGTCCTTCATTTAATTTCCTGAACTTTCCTTTTGGATGATTTATTTGTTATTTTGATGGGCTCAATGTTTTTCAAAAAAAATGTTCAATTTTCAGCTACAAAAATTTCGTGAAGAATTAAAGAATCGCTCACGAGTCTTGAAGAAGCTTGGTCATATTGATTCTGATGGTGTAGTTCAGTTGAAGGGACGGGCAGCCTGCTTGATTGACACAGGCGATGAACTCCTTGTTACTGAATTGATGTTTAATGGTGAATTAATATTTGTTCCCCCATTCTGCTCTGTGTATAGTTTGCAGTTCATTACGTTTTGTAACCTTTTTTTCTTTGACCTGCATTAGGCACTTTTAATGACCTAGACCATCATCAAGTTGCAGCCCTTGCAAGTTGTTTCATCCCAGGAGATAAATCAACTGAGCAGATACACCTAAGAACCGAGCTCGCAAGGCCTCTGCAACAACTTCAAGATAGTGCAAGAAGGATAGCAGAAGTGGGTGTTTTATCACTTAACTTGAATCTACTTGTAATTTCTGATTAAAAATATAAATGAGATTACCCATTTTTCACAGATTCAACATGAATGCAAATTGGATATAAATGTGGATGAGTATGTGGAATCGACAGTAAGACCATACTTGATGGATGTGATATACTCATGGTCAAAGGTAAGTTATACCATATCGTTGGCTTGAATGCTTGCCTACTTTTAAGTCATTTACTTGGCACAAATCCTCTTTTGATCCAAGCAATGTCACGTGTAAATATGTAAATTTTATTTTATTTTTATTATTATTATGGTTTTTATTGAAAGAAGAAAAATTTCTATTTCGATAAAGCTTTTAATTTTTAATTTTTTTTGCATTTAGTCTTTTATGGTTTGGGAGATATCTTATTGACCACCTTGCTGTACTTTAACTTCATTTTGTGCTAATGTTGCTTTTGCGACTAAAGCAAATTAAATTTTTTAGGCTTTGTTTGGGTTGATGACCATTGTTAGGTATTCAAGCATTCAAACATTATTAAATTGTTAAAACTTTTCTTGAGCCCTATCCTGTTGCATTTGTTCTGTCTCTTGCTGCTTGGTTGGTTTTTTGTCCCTTGTTTGATAAAATTTTGTTGTGACTATAGGACCTGAAAGTATTCATTGAGCTTCCAATGGAATATATATATTAAAAGGAAATAAGTCGAGCAAAAATTGTAAGATATGGGAATTTAAGATGTGCTTGCGGAATTTATAGTTTAGGTGTCCTATATATCCGTGACAGGCCAGGCCAGTGTGTTTTATTTTTAAATTTATCTTCTAAGCATGAACTTTTAACCCTACATTATTGAGTGAAAAAATCCCCATAATCGATCGGTGACAAAATCCATTGTCACTGACTAATTTATAAAATACATGTCTTGTATTCATCACCTAAATAACATACGTAGGATCTTCAACATGAACCTATCTGCATATATTGTGGCTCTAAGGTTTATTATATTGTAACGCAAGACATGTATATACATCTCAGCTGCAGTGAGACTAAAAGGGGGGGGGGCGGGTGTTGTGCTCTCCTTGTATGAGTGGGAGCAACAAAAAGGAAAGGTTGGTTTTAAGTAATATATTAATATTAATTTGGTCTTCCTTTCAAAATTTTCTACCAGGGAGCAAATTTTGCTGATGTTATACAAATGACCGACATCTTTGAGGGGAGTATCATTCGGAGTGCTAGAAGGCTTGATGAGTTTTTGAATCAGGTAAACATATGTCCACCTAGAAAAACAACCATGCGGTTTCATTTTTTACTATGAACTTGGTTAAAACTTGCATCTTTCAAATAGAAAAGAGCACGTGGAATTTGGTTAGTTGGGAGATTGAATGGTATGGCTTAGAAAGAGTGATATTCTGCACCCTTGCATGTTTAATTAGGTTTTATAACTTCATTACTGATACAATATTTGATATATGTTTGAAGTTTGAGATGTTTAATTGCCGAAAGTGGAAGTGTAATTTGCTCGAGACAAAGTAGTGGTTTAACTGTATTTGCTATTGATATAGTGTTGGAAAATCTTTTCAATTACCTGTTAAATGTTAGCAGTTTCTAAAATCCCTTACTTATAGATAACCCGGGTTGACATTATCATGTACTTATTTGGAACATAGGAAGTCATTGTGCTCTAGCGCAGTGTTTTAACTGTCTCAAAATATTCAAAATTTCTTTTATCGGATTATAAAATCACATTTTTTGTCAAATTCAAATTCAAACATGACGAGTTTTAGAGTTCTGATGGTCTTGCTTGTTTCCAGTTGCGTGCTGCTGCTAATGCAGTTGGAGAGGCCGACTTGGAGAATAAATTTGCAGCTGCAAGTGAAAGCCTTCGAAGAGGCATTATGTTCGCAAATTCTCTGTATTTGTGACTTCGTTTTCCTCTAGGGCATTTGTTATTCGTTGTTAATCCATGCAGAAAGTTTATTTTCAAATTCAACCTTTGTGGGTGCATCCACTTCTCTTATAAGCTTTTTGTAAATATTTGCATTCAATATTTAGTGCAGGTTGTGTACTGTCACCAATTAGTGAAGAGATTCAATATAAAATGATAGAAAAATCTTATCTATGGACAAAATCTGATATGATAACAGATTACAACATTTGGCCCATCTTGTTCAGTATAGCAGATTATTTATTGCCTTCAGAACCCCTTTGCGTGCCTTTGGGCTTGGGGAGTGAGGTGCTGAAGATATTTTGCCTGTAATTGTTAAAATTATTCAATACAAATTTTGATCGACAGTTCATTGTTTCAGTGATGATTTAATTTGTACGACAGTTCATTATTTTGCATTTACACCATCGTTTTCAAATGAGTGAATATATGGCAATTTCCTTCGGGAATACGTGTCTTGCTCCTTGCGAATGTTGCTGTGTATTTAGGTCTGCATGGATGATTTTTTTTTTTTAGTTATATAAAAAAGTAGTATTAATTTTTAATTGGTTTATATATATGTTAATTTTAGTCTATAAAAATTAAGTTTTTTATTTGTAAAGAAATAATTTTTGGGAAAGTTTTGTTGAAATAGGTTTTATTTTTACTATATAATTGAGTTTTAACGAGATAAATGTCAGTTTGCATATTAAAAATTATTTGGTCACTTCATTGCAGTTCGGATGATCCGTTAGTCTCAGTAATTTCCTTTGAGCTATTTGAGTCCTATTTTAAAGTATTCGATATGTTTTCAATTTTATTTAATTTCTCTATATTTGAATTGATTAATTAATCGTCAAATTGAAAAAAAAAAATAGTCTGAACGTTATGATGGTAACAACATACATGAGTTGTATTTGAAATTATTGGTTGGTTAATGTGAGCAATTATTAACAAACTGTACTTAAATAATACATATTCAACTTTTCCAATAAAAAATATTAAAAATTTTAAAACAATTTATTATTTTATATTTTTTAAAATTATATTTAATTATGTTACATAATAGTATTTATTAATATAACTTATTAAAACTTAAATGTTTTTTATGAAAAAAATAATTCAATTATTGTTGATACGTAATATTCTGATTATTTTTTAATTCATTTTCTCCATTTATTTTATTTATTTATTTATCAGCAACAATTGTTTAATATAGTAACTTAAGAACATTTTAAATAATTTTATAATATTAACACATTTTTTTATAGAAAGTTATTTGAACTAATTGATGTTTTATTTAATCAACTCGATAAGTATATCGTATTAGAAATGTTATCCATGCCTTAGTTATAGTCTATCATTTAAAATTAATCTTTATGAGTTGAAAAAAATAAAAATAAAGAGAAAGGTTTAAAAAAATATACACAATGGACAATTATATATTTCATTGATGATAACAATAAGTGATACAACTTATAACATAATTGTTGTTGATAATACCTGTAACAAGTATCTCTGTCTAATTTTAAGGTATTTTAATTACACTTGTTTGAGCCTTCCTGCGTTCACAAATTATCTTCCGCCAACACTTTCTTCAAACTTTTATTCTCTCTTTCTGCACTGTTTTATTTTTCTTTATTCACTAATCTCCGCATAATATGTAATCAAAGTGTTACTATTTTTTACTTGTACACTAACAAAACTTTTATCTATACCATTTATAAATTGATCAAGACCACGGTCCTGAACCATCTAATAATTTTTTACTATGGATAACTTGCTTATGATATTACAGGATTATTAATTTTTTTTCTCAGCAACTACATCTCTTATCCCTTATTAACACGCATTTCCACTATAATAACTATGTAATATAAATAATTTTATACGATTATACAATAAAAAATGACGATGTATAATATTTTTTTGTTTAAATTACCTCATAAAAATAATATAAATAACATTCTTAATTATTCAAGGGTCAAATTTAATTTGTTTAACGTAAGTGAATTTTAATTTTTAAACATTTAAATTAAAAATATATTATAAAACTATTCTTCGTTTCCTATCCTACAGTGTTTATTAAGTTGGATAGTTTTTCGTTTAATTTAAGCTAATATAATATTTTAATTATTGAGTTTTGAATTTTATATTTTTACATACAAACTCGAACTAATTCAAGAAGATTAAAATAATCAAATAATAATAGTAATAGTAAATAGTTTAAATATTAACTTTCTAAAAAATAATTTTAAAATATAAAAAAAACATCTTGAAATTATAAGTTTTAATAAAAAAATTAAGAAATCTGTGACCTATAACAGGAATGACTTAAATTAGATTAAATGATTTTTGTTTTTAAATTTAATTCAACTTAACCTAAATTTTGTATATTGAACAAAGGATGAATTTGACTAGACTGTAACTAACTCAACACACTGATTAAATATGAAAGGAGAATTACTCTCAAATTGAAGGAGTTAAATTGGATCTTCATGACAGGTCATAAAGTCATAAAGGGAAACAGGCTTGAAAGCCGAAAGAGACCCAATTGCAGTGGGCCACGTAGCAGTCCATATTTGTGGAGCGATGATAAAAGCTAAACGAAGGGCTATGATTTAAGAAGATGAACACCCTCACCTTCCAACTGCCAAAGTCCAACTAAACCACCGTTTGCATTTAGATTTAGATTTAGACGGAGCTTTCAATTTCGCACCTCCCTCGTTTCCATCGCCCTCCACATCAAAATTCACTCCCATCTCAACACAACACCAATCATACATTCTCTTACACTCACTCCATTGCCATCGTCTCCCATAGGTAAACCACTACAAGCTCCATTCATCACTCTTTCAAACCGCTGTGTATATATATATTTCACTCACACTCCACTTGCCACTGCCTTTTTCTCTTTCTTTCTCTCTTTCAGGAAATGGAAGTCACACTCTCCGCGTGCAAGTCCGTTAGCTCGCCTTCACTTCCCGTCGCAGTAAGTACTCTCTCATTTCTTCCATTTCGCTCGCAAATCGCAATTGCTAATCTCACTGTAACAATGTCGTTTGATTAATTCATTCGTTTAATATCGTTCTGTTACTCGAATCTGAATTTGAATCCGATCCGATATGGAAAACAACGAAACTAGGGTTTGTTTGCGGGGAAGGAAAGGATTAAGAGTTCGCAATGCAGTTTCTTAGCGGGAGCGAACAGAGTGAAGTTTCCTAGGCAAGTAGGTCAAGTTAGTCATGTTGGCAAACAACGCCAAACGCGTCACTGCGGTGCTCTCCACGCTACTTGTAGCGGTCACAAGATCCTGATCGCGAACAGAGGTGAGATTGCGGTTCGAGTGATTCGAACCGCTCATGAATTGGGGATTCCGTGTGTGGCTGTGTACTCCACCATTGATAAGGACGCGCTTCATGTCAAATTGGCTGATGAAGCTGTATGCATTGGCGAAGCTCCGAGTAACCAGTCGTATGTCACGCTGTCTTTTTCTTTTGTTAGTTTCGTTTGTTGTTTGTGTGTGCGGGTCTATCTGCGTGTGGTTAATGGAATTTTTGTTGCTGTTTCTGTGTAGGTACTTGCTGATTCCGAATGTTCTGTCGGCTGCTCTTAGCCGCAAGTGCACGATGTTGCATCCCGGCTATGGTTTTCTTGCGGAGAATGCTGTGTTCGTTGAAATGTGCTGGGAACATGGAATCAACTTTATTGGGCCTAAAGTGAGTAAACTATGCAGTGAGTAGAATACGCGATTGTTTACCTTTTGTCTTGTGGCTTTCCTAATTAAGAGCTTTACAACTGACTCACCTGGATTGATTAAGACTTATACGAGTATCCTTTTAAATCTTAATACTTGCTTCTGTCTAGAGTATCTTGAAGCCTGTAACTTGATTACCAGTTGCTATAAATACACCAAGTCATATATAGCTGTAAAAGCAAAACTGATTTTAATATTTCCATTCGTGTTATACAGTAATACTGAATATTTAGTTTAAACTTTCAGCCTGAAAGTATTGAGGTTATGGGTGACAAATCAACTGCCAGAGAAACAATGAAGAAAGCAGGTGTTCCCACTGTTCCGGGAAGTGATGGACTTCTACAGGTATTATATTGGACGCAAGTTTTAAGTAGCTTCAATGCAAAACTTTTGGAGGCCAACTTCAGATTCTATGACATCAATTTTATGAATTGAATTTATGTAACAGAACACTGAAGAAGCTATCAGGTTGGCAAATGAGATTGGTTTCCCTGTGATGATCAAGGTAGTTTGCTTTATTATTTTGTATTTGTAGTCTTGTGCCTATTTGAAGCAAATTCCAATGTTTTCGGTTGATGTAGATCATTGAACCGTTGCATTATACATACAATATAAATTTATTTTCCCATATGTTACTGGGAATCTAAAAAGTAGTCTTGGACATTTTTTCTTTCGTATCTTTTAATCAGTAAACATACATTAGGTAGTAAATCTTGTTATGTATTCAGGATTATTTCTTTCAATGAAATAATGGCCACTTGCTTAGCTTTGTTATGTATTCTTTTCAGTGTCATTAAAAGTAACTCATTGTTATGGGTTGAGTCGTTTGTCCAAGCGTACACTTGGTGTTGGATTCTAGTTGACTCAATTAGACTGGAAAAAAATGGAGGGTAGTAGCATATATTGATCATGGAAAAATAGTAATTTTGATTTGTATAAAACAGCTTTTTGTCATGCTCTTACTACCCTTTATTTATAGCTATAGAACCCTCAAGATTGAATACTATGGTCATTTGTTGCCTAGGACACAATACCTTCTTGTAGTTTCATTGTAATTGTTTGTGGTCATCGATAAAGTGGTTACCAACCATGTCTATAGTGGTGGTCATTTTGATTGCTTGGAAACTGGAAAATTTTGATTTAGGCACAATTTTCTACCGTGATTCTAGTTTTTGGTTTGTGGTGCATTGAAAATAAAAATTTCGTCTCCGTATAGGCTTCCACCTGATTCATTTCATTTCCAGTTAAAAAATCAAATGGGAATAGTGAAGTTCTCCTGTACGGTGTTCAACGAATCTTGTAAACTGACAAATGTTGGTGTTTCTTAGGCAACAGCTGGTGGTGGAGGACGAGGCATGCGTCTTGCTAAAGAACCTGATGAATTTGTGAAGTTGTTGCAGGTATGTCTTGTCATGTTGTCCGCACTGCAGAACTAATTACAATCTTTAGTTTCTTTTATTTTGTAGTAGTTATAGGAAAAAACTAGAAGTGGTAATTTTGTAACACAAATGAAGTATAGAAGCCATGATGATGATCAAGAGTTTGATTGTTTCAGTTTTTTTTTTTGTTCGTAAAAAATTACTTATATTTTGAAAAAGAAAAACACGTTAAAATTTCTTGGTGTATTTAGTTTCTTTTGTTTCCTTTTAAAATCAGAATCTTAAACAAATCTGATTTCTGATCATTTTGAGAAGCTGCTTTGATTATCTCCCAAAAATTACAATTATAACTACCTTTTAAAATAGTAAATGCTTTTTGAAAAATAAAAATTACTTTTCAAAATTCTCTTAAAAAAATTACTATTTTTTTATACATTCTTAAAATCACCTTTTTTAAAAGTTTCCAAAATTAGTTTAAAGAAAAACATTGAAGCAAGAATGCGTGTGAGGACAGTCTTTTACCAGGATACCTATTTTCTAAGAAGGTATTGGATCAAGATTGCTTAGTAATTTGCTTGGGGTCAACAGGAAGAAGAAGGTGGTTTCCTGCAGTTTCTGTGCTGCAGTAATTGTTATGAAATGAAAACTTCTTCGCTGCAGAAGTATGTTTTAGGGATTGACCATCTTAATTGATTCTGATGGAAGGGATATGATTTTAATTTGATTGTAAATAGTTGCAGACTGGTAGAGCTTGTCCCATTAATGTGGGAGTAGGCATGCATGTTTGGTGATTTTGTTTTTTTTTTTTTCAACTTGATTTTTTTGCAGCAAGCTAAGAGTGAGGCAGCTGCTGCATTTGGCAATGATGGGGTTTATTTGGAGAAGTACATTCAAAACCCAAGGCACATTGAGTTCCAGGTAATTTTATCCTTTTTGCTTGTTGAAATCTATAATTTGACTGAAGCCTGGAGATTAGAAAACCTGTAGGGAATTTATCAGTCAGTGAAGAACTTGGATCTGTGGAAAACACTCATATTGGGAATTACATAAGATAAAAATTGATTGCTTTTTGGATTTGAGCTATGTAATAATTGATTGCTTTTTGTTTACATCAAATAAAAATGTCCTGGTTGTCTCAGAGGCTGTGAAGTAGAAACTTAATAGTATTTGTTGATGTCATTATTGAATTTGATTAACTGAACCCAGTCAATAATGAAAGTTATAACTCCAAAGTCCAAAAGACTCCACAATGTACATTGTTAACCTCAAAAAATGATGTCAATTTAAATTCCATATTTTGTATTTGTGGCAATTTTATGGATCACACAGTTAATTATTGAACCATGTAGAAGTACCTTACAGCCTCTACTGGCTATATTTTAAAGCTGGTTGAAGAAGGGCTTTTCGATGGTGATTGAGTAAACAGACAGTCTGATAATTGATTTGACAAATTCCTAATCGTTTGGGTACTTAGGTTTATTATTTTGCAACCTGTATGATTTGAAATACAGATAATGAAATTAGTGTATTATTATTAAATGCTTAAGCCCTATTGAAGTACTTACAGCTTAATACTTTTATGATTTTTGATGATTGTTTGGAGTTGTAATGTATACCTATGCTTCCTGGCTGACAGGTTCTTGCAGATAAATATGGTAATGTTGTTCACTTTGGAGAACGTGATTGCAGCATCCAGGTACTGTGAACTGAATTCCTTCATTTCTATCTTTCTATGCTTATTTTTCCAAATTATGTAAAAATTGAATCTTGATTATATTAAAATAACATTGAACAATACATAATAACTGTGCTCTCAAACTTGTAATTTCTGAACTAGATGAAATAAAGATAAAAAGATGAATATAAAGAAATAAAAATTTGTATGGTATATGTTTCCAACTAGAGTTTTATTTATTTTTTTCTCTGCATTGTGAAAAACTAAAGCATTGTTATAGGCAGTAATCGAAGCAACCACTATCATTGTCATTTATTTTTTAGTTTTTTCAATTGTATTTTTGTTCAGTATAGAGTTTTCCCATGTATTGCTTCATAACAAACATAGCAGATACCACCGATAGAATGCAGGAATAAAAGCCTTGGACTTGATTCATCTTTTAACTCTAATATTATTAAAAACTAGTTTTACAGTAACATAAGGTTTTTTGATTTAGTTTCTACTTTCCTATATATGTTGCAAGACATCCGACCAGTAATGAATTCCTATTAATTGTGTTTTTTTCACGCAGAGGCGTAATCAGAAACTATTGGAAGAAGCACCATCTCCTGCCCTGACCCCTGAGTTGCGAAAGGCAATGGGAGATGCAGCAGTTGCAGCCGCTGCATCTATTGGTTATATAGGTGTCGGAACAGTGGAGTTCCTTTTGGATGAAAGGGGTTCTTTTTACTTCATGGAGATGAACACTCGTATTCAGGTTTGAACTAATTTCTATTATCTTGTTTTAAATGAAACCTAGGGAAATGTTCAATATTTGTGAGTGAATAATTTCCTTTATGTTTATTTGTGTCAGGTTGAGCATCCTGTGACAGAAATGATTTCCTCAACAGATTTGATAGAAGAGCAAATTCGCGTAGCTATGGGAGAAAAACTTAGATTCAAACAGGTAATAGAGGATATATTTTACTTGTGATTCTTTAGAATCTTGCTCTTATGGTAGTTTTTCTACAGGAGGATATAGTTCTCAGAGGACATTCTATTGAATGTCGTATCAACGCTGAGGATGCTTTTAAGGGATTTAGACCAGGGCCAGGTATCTTGATGTATTTTTGCAAATTTATGTTAAAAGTAAAAAAAAAAAAAAAAAACCACAGACAGATTAATGCTTACTTAGAACACTGTAGATTTCTACATATGTTGGGTCAATTAGCTTCTCTCGATCATTTCAATTTTGTTGCGCCAAGTGCTTGCATTTTATGGTTGTCTTGTTTTTTATTTTAAGTTTGTTAATCTAAGGTAATTTCTTCCCTCAAATAACAGGTAGAATTACAGCATACTTGCCATCTGGAGGTCCATTTGTCAGAATGGATAGCCATGTTTATCCTGATTATGTTGTTCCTCCAAGCTATGACTCCCTTCTTGGAAAGGTGTGCCAATATGTTTCTTCTATAGCATTGATTTGTCATCATACTGTGGATTGTGATACTACGTAATTTATGTCTTTATGTTCCCTATGAACATCAAATGCATGTAACTTGTCTATGTCCTGTCTATATAAATTTCTTAGCTGTACTATTCAATGAATGTAATCAATAACATTAATATATAATACAAGAATATATTAGTCATGGTCTTTTCCTTGAAAACTCAATTGCATTTTAAGTTCGCTTCTCTTCTTGATGTTTTGGCTTTTCTATTGAAGAAATAATTGGTTATAAATACAAGTTAAATGGTTACTGGATTTGTTAAAAGGAGAATGTATTGCCTATTGATATGTAATCTATAAGTGGTCATTTTTTCTCACATAAGTGGAGCGAGTGGATGAAAAAAGCAAAAAAATGGTACAAAATATTAAATGAACTGGATTTAATATGTTCTAAATGAGAGTTTCAATTTATTCAGCTTATGTTGTGGAGGAGGCTTAGATGTGATAAACCCAACTAAACGTAATGTGCACTTTTTGTTTCAACTCCTTACTTTTGCCTTGCCCCTGTGAACCTTTTGTAGCTGATTGTCTGGGCTCCAACAAGAGAAAAAGCCATTGAACGCATGAAAAGGGCTCTTGATGACACTGTTATCACAGGTAAAATATTTTGACTTTTATGATTGTGATTCTGTTAAATACCTGCACTTGGCGTAAGTCAATTGCATGCCTGAATCCAGAAAATACTGAAACAATCAAAATGCTTTTCCTTTGCACCTTGAGCAATGTACTTAGCAAAGAGAAGAAAAAAATTCGTTTTAAAGAACTAGGTCCTCATCCATGTAGTTCGAAACAAATTGCAGGAGGTCCAATTTTCTAACCCAAAGCATCATATACATTAGACTTTGTCACAAAGATCTCCCCAATTTTAAATCCTTCAGTTTTAAAAAGAATCTGCTGATGATCTTGGTCCTTGTTTAAAAAATTTTCAAATACCTGTACTTGCTGTTAGTCCATTGCATTCCTGAGACCTGTAAAGACTGAAACAATCAAATACTTTTTCTTTGCACTTTGGTCAATGTACATACGAGAAGAACAAAAAAGTTAGTTTTCTGTAGGTGCCAGATACAGGGTTTGAAACAAATTGCAGGAGGTGCAGTTTTCTGATCCAAGAAATCATATTCATATCCATTGAACTAACTTTGTTACAGAGATCTCCAATTTTAAACCCTTCAGTTTTAAAAAGAAGCTGCAACTCCTGCAAGATTTTTGGCTCGCAGAATCAGGGTTGGGATCTGATACAGAATTTTACTATACTACTACAGTCTAGTCCCTTACAAATCTTATGCTAATCCGTTTGGTGTGATAGGTCATGGCTCACATCAGATGCTTATGTGTGTTGTGTAGGATTTATAATTAAGCTAATTTTCTTAAATTAACAATTTCAATTTTGTTACAGGAGTTCCAACTACAATTGATTATCATAAACTCATCCTTGATATAGAGGTGAGTTTGCCTTTTATGTATGTTTGCTAGCATGTATCCTCTAGCAATATTTTCTGCTGGTCAGAAGTCAGAATTTAAATGATTAAATCTAATATACAACATATTTGTATTGTATTGCAGGATTTCAGAAATGGCAAAGTTGATACTGCTTTCATTCCAAAACATGAGGAAGAGTTGGCAATGGTAAGAATTTATTAACCTAATGTCCCTAGCGATGGGTTTAAAAATTATATTTAGTTTGCATGCGTAAAAATGTATGAGTATTAGTTTTATGCTTTCTAGATATATTAATGTCCCTGATAATTTCTTTATCCTACTGATATACATAGGTTTGTAAGAAACAAATTTCCTCAAAACCCAAAATTAGTAGGGAAGCAAATCTTTAACTGAGGGGAGAATGATATATATTTTTTTCTTTAACCCAAATATATATTATTGCCGACCAAAAATTTGATGTTCTGAAGTCCAAGAAGTACTCATTCAAACATGCAGAAAGAACTATTTCTCTTATATTTATTCATTTAAACTATATATATATATATATCTTTTATTTCGTATTTGTTTCCTTTTTTCCTTAAATTGATTTCTCTGTCTAGAAAGCATTCATACTAATATTCATACATTTATCTATCATGATCAATTCTATGTGGGTTGAAATTTCTCATTCTAGCTGATAGACCTCGCCTGAGATTTTTGGATCTAGAATTTATTGGCTCACTGAATCAGGGTTTGGATCAGATACAAAAATGTTCTATTACAGTCTATTTCCTTACCCATCAGAGATGCTAATAAGTTTGGTGTGATAGGTCATAGTTCACATCAGATGCTCATGTGTCTGATGCAGGATTTATAATTAAGGTAATTTTGGGATGTAGTTCTCACTACACCCATGATCACAAAATGGTTGGTATAAGACTAAATGTTTGCCACTGCACATGGTGCAAGCAAACGACACAAAAGTATTCAATCCCAGATGAAGTTATGACCATTTGTTAGAGAAAAAAAAAAGTGAATCTTGTAGGATACTCAAAATTCTTCAATTTCTTTTGGAAGCATATGATTATTCATCTACATCTCACTATATATGAATAGTCGGAACATTGAGCAATATTTGGAATGGATTTTAAGGAATCGATCTGATTTTATGATGTTTCAATTGAAGAAAGGAAGGAACCCAATAAAAAATCGATCTTTTGTTTTAGTTGTTGAATTTTTCCTTGATTAATCAATGTGTGATATTTGATTCAAGAATCTTTCATTGAGTTCTCATGAGCATATTGTTGGACATATGGTCCTGGAGTCTCCAACGTCTTAGCTTTTGGGTTTGTGGTTCTCCCAATATCTAAGACTTCTGATTAGACTGTAGTTAACTAAATCATTAGGTTGAGCGATATGTCAAAATGCTGTGTAGAGGATGCGGGCAACTGGCAAGTCTGTAAAACATAAGACGTTCCTTAGTCATCTTTAAGAATGGATGAAAATAATAATGATCCTATTGCTGATAGCATGGATCATCCTTGCTAATGTTAAAAAATATGTTCTTAATTTGTCCTATGCTAATAGTTTCTGACATTTTTGTTTGATTTATAAGTTATTTGATTTGCTGTCCTCTTCAAATGCAGCCGCCACAGAAGATGGTAGTACTCAGCTAACGGTTGAATGAAGTAGCTGGCTGAACTGCCTGAAGGATATGATTTTGTGATGCAGAATTGCTTAGTTGTAATCATTATCTCGTCAGTGGTTGGAAGTTAAAAGTTTTAATGAAATTTTGATAATTATTTATTACATTCCTTTATCTTCGCAAAATTATATCTTAAAATTAATCATGGTTGATATCATCCCAAATATTAGTGCAAGGGATTGGTAGTAGCTCCTTGCTTTTTTAGTCATAGTTGTCACAGTGGTTATTAGGAGATCTTTCGAAGGCTTGTTTGTAATTCTTGTATTAAAAGCTCGGTGTTAGATACAGTAATAAAAAACTGACATTATTCTAACCGGCTTGGTTTGTTATAAGGATCAATTGGTGTCGCTAGATATTTTTAGTAGTTTTCGTTAGTTTATCTTTTTCCTGTGGTCCATATTTCTTATGTCACTTGTATTCAACGTGAAGTGACACGATTGAATACTGTCCGTCCGTCTTCGTCTACTAGTGACCTTTATGCTGTCAAGGAATAACTATGACTTTAGAAAACAAAGGCGCAATTCAGAGAGTAAAGTACAAACTCAACCTTCTCAAAAAAGTCAAACATGACTTGTGTTTATTCTGCTCGAAACCCTAACAAAGTACAATTAACGAGGTTAATCCTCACAGAACTGTACTTTTGCATTTGGTTGAATAAAGTAGTTAGCTACTTTCAACCAGCCACGTATTTTATATAATGACAAAAATCAGCTGTCACAGACATGGTGAATACATTTATGAGTTTCTTCAGAACATACTATATGGCTTCGAAAGGCATAGCGAGTTTCTCAAGCTGTTATTAAACCAGCTGCCTAGTCATCCACGTGCAGTTATGCAAAGGATGAGCTTGAGCGGGTTTCGTATCCGGACATTCCTGACATTGACTCTTCACTCATGGAGTTCTACAAGATAAACATGTGATGTTAATGACTATAATATAAGCTGAAGGAACAAAATTTAACTAGGGACGGTGACTCACTTGAGCTGAGGAAATGGAAGAGTTTGAGTAACTGTCGTTGCTTCCAGGAGTGAATCCTGTGGGAGCGCCAAACATCATCATCATGGGCATGTTATCCTCAGCAAAATCTCTGAGTTTATTGAGCTCAGGCAATACAACTTTTCCAAGATCAGGTCTATCTTTTCTTCTCATTTCGGAACACGCCAAGGAAAGCTTGGCAAAATGCAAGGCATGTTCAACTGGCCAGTCCTCGACGGCTGGATCAAGCATCTCAGCAAAGGTCCCCTTCTCAATAGCTCTTGCAACATGGTGAGTCAAACCCATTGGTGGCTTTGCTGTTATTATCTGTAGAAGCATGATCCCCAGTGAGTAAATATCAGATTTGATTCCCAGCATGCCCGTTTGCTGATACTCAGGGTCAATGTAACAGAAAGTTCCAGCAGTTGCTGTCATGCGATACTGTGTGACGTTGTCTGCTACTGATGCCGGAACAAGCCTGGCCAATCCCACATCACTGATCTTGCTCACAAAGTTCCGATCAAGCAAAATGTTTCCAGGTTTCAAGTCCCGGTGCACTAGTGGTTCTGGCTTTGTCTGGTGTAGGAAAAGGAGTGCAGTTGCAATCTCTGCCGCAATTCGGAATCTCAGCTGCCAGGGAAGAGCTCTTTTGTTACCTCTCCGGAAGAGGCAATCTTCCAAACTTCCATTAGCCATATACTCATACACCAAGCAGCCAAACTCTGAGCATGCTCCGAGGAGGAGAACCATGTTTGGATGCCTTATGCTACTTAGCACTTCAACCTGCAGGCACCAAATGCAAAATTCATTCATTCAACCATAGTTCATTGATCACCTCAAGTGACAAGGGATGGAAACACGATAATGTAGGTTCTATTGGGCACAAATCATGTACTAGATTTTGTTCCTATTTTCCATACCTCCTGCTGAAACTGCGCACGTCCCTGAGCTGCATCTGGTTTCAATACCTTCACTGCAACTCGCGTGTGATCTAGTTCACACCTGTAGACTGGCCCATAACCACCTTCGCCGATCTTGAGAGAGTTGGAAAAGAATTGTGTTGCTTCCTCTATCTCCTCTATAGTGTATTTTCTGTACCTGGCAGGACTGTGTGAAAGGATATCCACATTCTTCTTCATTTGTTCAGTTTCTACATTCATTCTTTTTTGTGCTTCCAACTCTGCAATTTTTCTAGATGTTTCTGCTGCTTCCATGGCAGCAATACATTTTGCTTTTTCCTTCTCAGCTATGGCCAATGCTGTTTCTTCAGCTAATCGTACCTCTTCCAATTTCCTCTGTTCTTCCACTTTCCAACGCTGAAGTTCTAGTGCCTGTTGGATAATAGTGCCTATAAGTCAGTATATACTTAATTTATTACTTTTATCAATTTCATGACATGGCAGTAATATTCCTAGAACTTGCGTGTTTGGACTAGATAAACATTTATAAGGTACCTTTTGCTTAGCTGCCATAGCTTCCTTGCATGCAGTACTGTACATTTCCATTGTCTGCTTCAGTTCTAGCTTCAGTCTCTTCATTTCAGCTTCCGCTTCATCCTATAATTTCAAAGAAGACATTTGTCAAATCTTGATCTTGAAATGGTTAGAAAAGCAATCAAGGATGTTATCGCATATTGATAATATAATGTATATATTTAGCTTACTGAAGCTGAAAATATTGATGATGATATTGAGATCCTACTGTCTTGTGAACTGAATGAGAAGTCACCATGATCAATTGATTTGGTTCCTGAGCATGAAGAACCATAGCTTCTGAGATCAAAATCTGAGCTTGTTGAAAGCCGATGAATGAAGCTAGGATCCATATCATCATACAGTGAAGGGAACGTCCTATCAACACTAGGCCTTCCACTACTCACGAATGAAATATCAGAGTCATCAATTGAGGGCTCGAATGATATGTAATTTCCTCTACCAGGTCTTGTGAACGGTGATCTGTCAACATAATATCAAGTTAGTCTCCTCATTAAGCCCTGAAATCTGTCCGAAGCTTAATTTTCATCCATTTCAAACTCTCATGTACATCTCCATTGTAGAACACATTGTCATGGGTTATTAGCATTCGTATGTTCCTTAAATCGAAATGATGTGATTATAGCTTATGTGATTTTGAACTTTGAACATAAAAGGTTTCTACTCCAATTTGTGCACTGAGAAAGAAATTTCCTACAAAGGATTCACGAGGTACTTACATGATTTCCTCTTCATCAGCTAGACGTAGCTGGCGGGCAAGGTATGATGGCTTCTCCAATGATGCTGTCATAGATACAACAAATGAATGTAGTGTTTTATGAACAATGTCGCCAAAGAATTAAAAAAGTTAGACAAAGAGATATGGGCCAAAGATTAAAAGAGAATTTGGCATACTTCGTGGTGGGGCAGGGTTGCGTGTTAGTTGTAGATCCATTCTCTCAGGAGTTAGGAGAGACAGCTGCGGCTGCAGTATATTGTTACGGGTTGGAGGTTTAGCAGGTAGAGGAGCAGTAGCAGTTTTCACCGATGAGATTTTTCCTTTGGAAATAATGTACACAGTGCAGAATGGTGGTGCCCCTTTCGACACAGAACTTGGAACATCCGATGTCCTAAATCTTCTGTTATACATAACATTATAAAAACTTAGGATTCTGCAATATTCTGAATGTTGTACCTCTAATCTGTCTAATGCCAAAATCTCAAAATTTGATTTGAAAACAAAGTTGAAGTCAAATTCACACATTGTGTTTTTTCTTCACTAACCAATTAACCACCGTTATTTTTGCAAGATTATTTGTGCATTGGTTTTGCTAATATTTGTTATCTTTGTCGTGATCAAGCACAGTTGTTTCAACTAGTGTTTCGTGAGTTGAGTGGAATGTTCTTACCTAACAATACCACTCCTTGAAGGTGCCCCGAGTACAAGAAGCTCGATGGAATACTTAGAAATACCTTCTAATATTCCCTTAGTTACATCCGTGTCCTCCAATAAGATCTCTTTGCATTGTATCTGTTGTCAATTAGGAAGAAAAACATTGAAAAGGAAACTAATTAAGAGACAAAAAAAAAAAAATACAGATTCCCAACAAGAACAAAACTGAATTTCATCCCATTGTAAGCAAGCTCTCATAATGGCATGAAGACACGAAATGAAAAAAGCAATTATGTGTCAGAACTAACACTCTTTCTATTGCAGAAGACACGAAACGAAGCGAAAAGTTCCCTCGATTCATTGTCCATTTGTTGCATGTATGCTCTAGCCACATCTTCGTTGCCATCAAGGGGTATAAGGTTTCCCGCTGTATTCATAATCATTCAAGTCACTAATGTCTCACAAAATCAACAGAAAGAGCCTAAGAAAATCTAAGTGCTAAAGTAACAATAAATTACCATTAAACGACCAATGCATTGTGCACATAATGTCACAAAATTGGCCTTCCATATTACAAACAATACATATATAGGCATAGAAGAATTATATAAGATGGAGGTTTAATGATTACTTGGTGTAGGAATGGAAGATGCTTTTTGTCTAACATGGACCAATAACAGAGCTTGTTCTTTGGGGAGAAGATTATCAACTGCCCATTTTGCTGCAAATTGGCTTGTTTTGTTATTTTCAATTGCCACTGCCACCACACGTCCTGCACCGAGCTTCTTCTCATGAATCAACCTTGACATCTTTATTTTCCTTGTGAATACTTCAAATTATTCACTATCTCAGAAAATAAATGATGTTCCACAAAGATTGATTCAAACTCCTTGTCTCGAAGGCCCCATGTTTTGTTTTTATATATAGGTAGTTTGGATTCTCCTAGAGACACGTCATGCACGAATCTTTCAAAGAAACAATTTAGTAAACGTAAGTGTACAAATAACTTTAACGACTTGTGACTGTTGTCAACGCTATTTTAAGCATTGTTTGAAACTGTAATAGAAATTTTGTCTGCTGTTGCAGAGTGTCAACCGTTTATTAGTTTGCGTTTTGTTATTACACTCCAAAATTAGTGAATGTTGTTGATGCGTAAAACATCTTGTGCATGTTCCATCGCCAACTCACAACAACACATTGCGATAATCTAGGAGGGTTCAAACTAAGAAGCCATAATTAGTTTTAGGACTTTTTATGAAACAAAAGTTATTTAATCCAAACAGATTAAGTTACAATTTTCATTTGGTAACGTAGATTAAGTTGCAATTAAAATTTATACTATATATAGGATTAAAAATACAAATTATTATACATTTAGTTTTATAATATTATTATGTTGTGCTTCCGAGTTGCATACCCAGAGTTTGAGCTTGAGACCAATGATTAAGCTAGAATAGTTTTATACCACATGGTTCAAAGTTTGGAGGTTAACGAGTGAGTTTTATTAAATTAAATTAAATTTGTAAAACAATTTGAATTAAAAAAAATATGAATATACTATGAGAAGTTAAAAAAAATAGTTATGTGAAAGGTTGATGATGACAAATAAGGAAATCAAGTGGTTAAATTTACTAAAAGAGATTTAAAGCCCAAAATTGCACATTAATTGTAAAATAAATACTATGGATGGTGAATTTTAAAATTTTAGAGAATTTGAAATTTGAATATCTTTGACAACTTTTTCATCTTAATTCTGTTTATATAAATTAATTTAAATTTCTAATCTTCAAATTCTTGGGTTGGAACAAAATTTTATTTCTACTATATCCAATCATTTAAATATATTTTTTAAATATATTTTTAATCTTATACTATATGAAAATAAACATCAATTAATTTTTAAATAATTAAAAAATATGAGAGAAAAAGAAAGAAGAAAGAGAAGAGAAAAGAAAACGAAGAAAGAAGATAGAACCTAGAGAAGATTTAGAAAAAAAAGTTAAATGAAAGATAGATAAGAGAGAAGAAGAGGATGAGAAATGAAAATGGGGAAGAGAGAGATAAAAAAATATAAATATTTTCTTTTAATATAAAATTCGATAATTATATATAATTGAAATTCTTTCATAAATTTATAAAACTTTAATTTCTTTTTATATTTGTTTTCCAAACAGCGGATATTATGAAAATATATTTTAAATTCTTTAAAAGAAATTACTTACCTTGTTAAAGTTCTTTGTTGAAACACAAAATAGAAGTTATATTAAGTCTTAATAATTTGATATTAAATGTGAATTTGTTTATATATATACTCAAATTGAAAAATTAAAGTTAAAAAACAACTTCAAAAAATGAAATGATGTTCAAATTTGACTGATTTATTTAAAAGAGTCAAATTCAAAACATGAATAATTAGTAAGAGAAACAAAATATATATATATATATATAAATTGGTTATCTCCACTATAATTTCTTTTTTATTATTACATCCTTTTATGGATTGTTACATGTGTTTTTTTTTCCTGTGCAAATATTGTTACTTTACCTTGGTCATGGTTAGTTTTATCTCAAAAGTAGCTAAAGATTAACAAGGACTGAGAAAATAATATATTTAAAAGAGTATCAAAAAGTAATTTAATCTCGTTTTCTCTACTTGGAAACGAGCCTGTCATATTCTAATGAGAATTTACATTTTCGAATAGTTTTATTTGAAATTAAATTTTGAGAAAATAATTTGTTTATAAAAATCAAAATTTATACTATAAGAAAAAAAAGTAAAAGATGGTTACAATAATCATTTATATATATTCCCTCTTTTCTGTTATAATCCCTAAATCATAACAATAATAATGTATAACTAACTATGTACATTTAAATTTAACCATTTACAGAATAAATTTAACCATATTTGCATATATAATTATGCAGGACATTCCTTTTTCGATTTATCAAGTCCATGTTTTACATTAACTTTTTCTTTCTTTCATTTGTTTCACCAATCATGGTTATTGCAACAAATGTCCCAGGTAAACTAATCCATATCTCATTCTGGTAATATGGCTATGTGTTGAAAGGGACATAAAATGAAGGAATCAATCAATAACTAAGGTAGTCTCAACAATTTATGTTGAAGACATCATGTCTGCTTCACTAGCAAAAGATGTAAAAAAATTCTCTGGGTCATCATCCCTCTGCTTCACCTCCAGGATTTTCTCTACTGCTTCCTTTAAATCCCACCTCTTATCCACATCCCCTTCACAACAATTCAAGGCAATCTTCAAAAGCTTTCCCATTTCTCCTTCACTGTTCTTTGTTGCCCCCATATCCTGATCAAACACAGCATTGGTCCACTCTTCTGGCACAACTGACTCTACCCAACTTGCCAAACTCACCTCACTCCCTTTACCCTTTTGCAAAAAGTTTGCAGGGAACTTCCCAGTTAGGATCTCCAGAATTAGTATTCCAAGGCACCACACATCAGTCTTCTTTGTAATCCTTCCTTGTTGCAAATACTCAGGAGACTTGTATATCACCATTATGTCCTGAGCCATTTCTTGGTTTGTCACTGGAACTAGGCCATAGTCTGTGAGGAGAGGCTCAAAAGATTCAGTCAAGAGAACATTAGATGACTTGAGATTTCCATGTGGGGCAATTAGGCTTGCCATGTCCCTGTACAGATATTCAAGACCTTTTGCTATGCCCTTCACAATCTTCAACCGGATTGGCCACTCAAGGCTTGGTTCTCCCAGGGATTGGTGCCCTGAAACAAGTAACCATTTTTATGTATCATTATCTGTATAGTAACTAACTTCGTTCCCAAAATTCTCTGCTTAATAAACAGTGTATGTATAAAAATTTTCATCCTATTACAAACTAGCAAATTTAATATATACAGTATGTTTGTTATATTTTTCTTTTTTGCAATAGTCACCTTAAACATTAACTAAAATAATTCTTGATTATTTGGTTAAAAATACTTATACTGTCAGTCATTAAACTCTTTATATATATGCAATTTAGTCACTGAGCAGGTCTACTTCAAGACAAACCAGTTCTTTTATATGATGTAAATATGGGAATTAAATTTGGGATGAAGTTGATCAATTTAATGAATAAATCTTTTGTGCACATACTTATAATAACTAAATTAAGTCAGGTTTTTTAAGGGAAATCATTGCATGATATAAAATTCTAATGTGTTTTTAGTTTCATCTTTACATGATACATAATAACATTTTTAATTCACAAGAAAAAGTTAACTAAATTCTCCCATGAAGATTATCTGAAAGCGTAGCATTATAGAGATTCTACATCATAAATCAACCTTGTATATCAACTTTATTTTTATTTATTCAGAGTGAAAAGAAGAAATATGCAGCTAGTTTTGTCACATATTGACATCAATGAAAAGAGGATGAGTTTAGGCAGTGAAGTACTAATAATGAAGTTCAATTCATGAATCAAAAAGTCTGAAAAAAGTTGATAATACATACCATGAAGACGAACAGCGAGACTGCCATTTTGAACATAGTCAGTGACCAAGAGCTTCTCCTCCTTTCTGTAATAGTAAGCCACAGGAGGAAGCAAGTTAGGATGACTCAACCTCCCTAACCTTCTCATGTGCTCTTGGAACTCTTCCTTCCCCACATTGTTCATCTGCTTGAACCTCTTCACCACAATAATTGGTCCATTCAACAAAGCAGCCTTGTATGAAGAGCTGAAGCAGCCACTCCCCAAAATCTCAGCAGAGGCTCTCAGCAACTCCTGCAGGTCAAACTGATCTATGTCACCTCTCAGAAAAGAGAGTCTCATTGGGTCACCTCTTCTGCTGTGTGAGGAGGTCGTTGACCTGAAGGACGAGCGGTTATCATCATACATTTCCCTCCCACGCCCTTTTCCAAGGGAACTGGGTGGATTGTCCGCGCCCGTTACACACCCTCGGTTCTTTCTTCTGTGAAGGATCAACACTACACTTCCAATTACAAGCACTGCCAGGCAAACCACCACCAGTGCCACAATCATGCTCGCAGTTGAGGGCTTCACGGTGCATGATTCCAATGGGGCTCCACATAACCTTTCATTACCTGCTCATTTCATGTATATTACTAGTTTAGATTGATGTCAAGCATGTATAGTTTAGATATGTTTCCACAAGTACTTTTACATGAGAAAATAAGGGGAAAAAAAGTAAACTGGGTTTATCTGTAAGTTATGAGAAATTACATTAGAAAGTGTCTATAAATCACCTTACGCAAGTTGTGCAGAAACCTATTTCATTATTTTTAATATTTTCATCTCTTGATTAAAGTTGAGAGCTAGCTATGCGTGTTTGTTTGCGTGATGTACGAACATAATCTATGTTTTATCAGTCTAATAGGGAGAATTGGAATGTGTGATGACTCACCGGCAAAGGCAGAAATGGGCATTCTACTAACGGTGGTAGGAATCTGACCCTGCAACTGATTATTAGCAACACTAAACGATCTCAATCTGTTCAGGTGATGAAAATGGGGAATGGGGCCAGTGAACTCGTTCCCCTCCAACCTCAGTTCTATGAGCCTCGGCAACAGCGTCAGAGAAGTTGGAATAGAACCCGAGAAATGGTTGTTCGACAGATGAACTTTCTTCAACCACTGCAACCCCGCAAAGGTTCTATAAGGTATCTCCCCAGAAAACTTGTTATTCGAAAGGTAAACAGATTTGAGACCAACCAAATGGTGAATTTCTGGCCACGAACCCTCCAAATTATTGTTCATGAAACTCATGGTTCTAAGGTAAGGCAAGCCCTTAAGAGATTCTATGTCGATGAAGCCTGCGAGCCCAATGTTCTCAAGCTTCACACCCCACACTTTTCCTTCGTAGCAAAGAATGCCACGCCAGTTGGCATGGCCAACGTTGCAAGGAGGAGTGGAAGAGTTCCATGAGTCCAAGTAGGAACCGTAGTTTTCCAAGTTATCTTTGACTTTGAGGAGCAATTCAGAGTCAGAAGCAGCAGAAGAGGTATGAAATAAAGATGCTAGAAGAACGATGAAGATGATCCAGCAATGCCAACCACTTAGTGCCATAGTAAAGCGTAGGCACTAGGGGCGGCGTGCGCGCCCTGGAGAAGGGCTTGAATCAGAATGGAGAGGAAATTCGGAGGTAGTAATGAGGATGGAGAAGAAGAAGAAGAAGAAGGACGGGTTAGAGGGTGGAAAACTTTTGATGGCATTGGAAGAAAGGGTGAGAAAGAGAGAAGAAAAGGAAGAGCCAAGAATAGGAGATGATGATGACAGAGAAGGTTGTTTTGGGAGGAATAATTTCGGTTGCATGCACGCGGAGAGAGGTTGACGTAGTCCCTGATTCTTTTTTCTTGGTCCCATCACAAAGTCTATGCATCCAACGCGAGAAGGACCCGGAGAGCCTTCAAATTTCGATAACACAAACAAACAATTCCTTCTTGAAACCCTATTTTTAGACCCTTTTTTCTGTTTCCATGACTCTTCATTGACGAAACATCCCTCTCCCAACAACACTTCTCACTAACAAACATCCTCATCTCAACCCTTTCCATGCATGTATGCTACCCTCCCAAACAATAATCTTCGTGTGCTTCGTTTGGAACTTCCAAGTTAAAAGGTACGTAGTGCAACGACCAATACCATTTCAACATTCTTCAATTGGTACAAATACACGTACATATTACAGACAGTAAATACGCGATAGGATTATTTTCTTTAAAAAAATATTTTTAAAATTTCTGATAAAACCTTAAAAAACTTGGTTCTCTAGAATTAACTGAAATGAAATACAATTAACGCTTTAGATTCAAATGTATATATAGGTTACTAACACAAATTTCCTCAAAACCCAACATTCATAGGGAAGCAAATCTACGTTAAATGTGGGGAGAATATTTTTTTGACATCCAATAAATAACTTTAAAATAATATTTTTTTAATTGATATGATGAGAATAAAATAAGTTAGATAAATAATAATATTACGACTCTTTCTTAAAAAAAAATTAAACACTAAGACAATATATATCGTGGACAGAAGTGGATTTATGGGACGTGTGCCCCAAAGTTTTTTTATTTATTTTAATATAGTTTAATTTTACTTAAGATATAAATAAAACTTATATTTTGTTTTTTACTTATTATATTTTTTTATCCTAATATTAAATAATAATAACAATAATATATATATATATATATATATATATCACTATTTTATTTTCTCAATTAATTTCTTATTTGTATTTTTTTCACAACTTTCTAATTTTATATTTATATATTCTCATTTCTTATCTTTCCACTCTTCTACTTCCAACTTTTTCTTTCTCACATTCATTCTTTTATTTATTTTTTTTACACTTACACTTCTCTTTCTTTTTACTTCCACAGTTTTTTTTCGTAAACATAAAATTTATATGTTGTTCTTTTTTTTTTTCGCATTTTTTTAATGATTTCAATTTTACAATATTAAAAAATTAAAATAAATAAATAAAGGAAATATTACAATTTTTGAAGTGAATAAACAAATGAAAAAAATTATTTTTTATTATTTTTAACAATTATTAATATGTATAATATAAAAATATGAAATTTTGATATAATTTTGATATTTATTTTTAATTAATATTTTTTTAATGTTTTATTGTACTACATATTTTGATGTTAAGGTTGAATTTTTAAGTCTAAAAATAAAATATAAACTTATTTTTCAAGAATGGAAGATAAATAGTAAAATAAACTTTAGTTTATTAAATTTTAATTCAACTAATAATATAAAAAATAAGATTATTTTAAAGCTCAATTCAAATGTAATATTTTTGTAATACAAAAACATAATTAAAAAATTAAATATATATTTGAACTTACTAATATTTATTTATGTTGTTAAATATATATGAATCATCTATGTTATTAATAATTTTATATATGACATGGTAATGGGGCGAGTTTTACCTTCCCGATCCCGCTCCGACTTTTTAATCATCTCCGTCTCGATCCACAATCCTCGTCGAGGTTACAAATTAAGTCTCTATCCTCGTCCCCATCGGGTTTCGAGTTTCCACCCTTAATTTATATTATTTTAAAAATAAAAATTATATTTATAATAAATTAATTTTACTATGTATTTTTTATATATAAATAAATATTTATAATTTTACAATTTATTATATTTATATTAAAATATACATGTAAAAAAATATTTAATCATTATTTATTTATGTATATATAAAATATTTATAACATTATTATTATTATTATAACACTATTTAAATATTTAAATACGTATAACATTATTATTATTATTATTTTACTGTATTCAAACATTTGATTATATATATATATATATATATATATATATATATATATATAAAAGTTAATTTATTTTTAAGTTGTCATTTAAAAATATAAAATATATAATTTATAAAGAAATATTTAATAAATTAATTCTTATTTAATTATTTTAAAATAATAAAAGTTCACATCAATTTTTTTAATCATTTAAAATACAATTATTTTATTAAGAAAATATTTGATATATGATAAATAAGAATAATAAGATTAAAAAATATGACATAATAAAACCTAATAAGTATAAATTATAAATAAAATAATATTAAGATTTATATAAAATATTTAAAAAAAGATAAAAAAAATTTTGTTCATCAAATTGGTTGAAAAATTTTATAAGAAAACATATTAATTAGAAAAATTAAATAAATGTGAAAAATTAAAAAATAAGAGAGAATAATATAATAAATTAATTGATATAAAATATTAAAAAAATGGATAGAAAAAAATAAAAATGATGAAATATAAAAACATAACATTATATATAATAAAAAAATATTTTTAAAATATTAATATTTTAAAATTTAAATTTAAATATAAAATAAAAACAAGAACATAACCGAGATAAAAATTACATCTACACCTTCCTTCCTGACTTTTTAAAATAGAAAAAACTCAAAATTATTTCGATCCACTCGATTTTTTTCTATCCAACTCCAAGTGGTGACAAGTCAATTCCCACATGTACGGGTTCATTTGATATTGACATCTAAAGTTTCTGACTCATGGATAAAAAATTCGCTGTTCTGAAGTCCAAGAAGGGCAATGTGACAGATGTAAACGTGGATCTGAGGTGCAAAACCACATGTAAAAGCAAAATATAAGAGGTTACAATTTGAGCTGCATGTTTAAAAAAAAAAAGCTGCATGTTAAAAAAATAAAATAAAAATCTAAACGTACAATTTCTAGAAGTAATATAGTGCAGCTTCATTGATGGAGTTGCTGGTATAAATCACAAAATAACAATGTGAAGGATCTAATTGCAAAATAGTGCATCAAAACGCAGCCTAGATTAAATTCTGCAAGTGTGACTGACTGTAAATTTGATCAAGGAACTAGTAGACACATGGGATTTACTCTATGAGAATGAAGCATTTTTTAGGGTCAAATTCAGCATAGCCAACATCAACAAGACATAAACCATCAGGTGGTGCTGGAGGAGCAGTAGCACGCCTACATGTGGCATCCATGAGCTTTATCAAGGCATCGTCTTCAGCACCAGCGGCAGCTTCTCTAATTGACGTTGCTACAAGCACCCGAACCATCTACAAAAATATAATTAGCCCCAACAAAGTAAGTGAAAATAAATAAATAAATATGCCTCAGAAACCAGCCCCATGTCATTTTCACTGTCAGGAATCTAAAACATTTGAGTGACCATTTTAATGGATATGGATACAAGATAAACTTTGACATCATCTTCCAAGGTGGTTTAAACTTGATCCAAACCTACAAAATCAACTTATAAGAAGAGGATTATATATTATATTTTGGTAATATTTTTAGTCAATAAGAAACTTAGGTTTTTCTCATGCACTATGTGTTGATTCATTAAGGCTTTTTTGGAAGGCTATTTTTGGGATTTTAATATCCGAAATTGAAATCTATAGATGTAATAATAGTGAAAATTATTATCTACATTTTAGTAGTACATAAGAGAAGCCAAAATTCTTCATATGTTTCCTAAATCGAAAGCAAAAAACACACAACAGTTACCTTTCGTAGAAAGCGATTAGCTACCAGCTCAACACACATAACCTTTGTTTCTTCTCCACAGTCCTAAAATTGTCAAGAGCGAAATCAAATCATAGATACAGTTATTCTGTCAACAACCAAAGTACGCAGTAAAACAAAGGAGTCTGCGAATAATCATAGCTAGAATATATACACATGTAAAACACAGGAACTCACAGCTAAACAGCATAAAACCCAATACATGGATAGTGACATGTTAATATATTCATGGGAAAACCACTGGAAAGACATTTTTGCTAAAACTACATATAAGCTTGACAAGAGAAAGCCAAGGGCATATTAATCATGTAAGTAACTAAATATATGCTGAACAAATCTGTTAATATTGAAAGCCATGGACAAATTGTAAAACTTGCATGTTACAATGAATCCAACCAGACGGATATGCTTAAAGTCATCCTTGGAAATATTATCAGTACATTTGTAGGAGGCCAACTGGACAAATTAACAATTTTGAGTTGAATTCATTTCAAGGCAGAATAAGCTAAATGGCCAAAACTTGTAATGAAAATAATATGATACAATCTTCAACTAATTAACAAGATTCCACTATATATATCATAATATGTATTTAAAAGAAAAAATTATAAAAACATTGAGAACCTAGTGAATGAACAGAAGGTTTTCTAGTCCTTTTCTAACATTTTTAGAAGATATTAAACTGCTGATGCTGAGAACAAGTAAAATCTCAGAAGATTCCCATCATATAAAAAAATATTAAAAGGGGATTTAATTATGCCTGTGTCAAATATAGGTAAAACCGAGCTCAGCAATTGCCCTTGTTTCCCATATTTATTGTACACTTGGAAAAGTTTGCCCTAGCTATTATGCTATGAGCAATAATATAATGAATAATTGATTTTTCATCAAATGGTTAATGAATATGACTTGAATTTAACTATTGGTTTCTCAATCATGTTTCTGCCAAAATTACTTGAAAGAATAAATGCGAAGCTAAGCTACAACAAAATGAATATATTCACCCCTCCTTTCCTCTATTGGAGCAAGCTTTGATCCAAGCAATATTGCTAATCATGAGCAAGACACGTCCACAAGATTAACCACACATACCAAGAGACACAAGCTTAAATATTTTCAATTATAGTATAACAATTATGGGCAAAATAAAAAGGTTACAAGCACTCACAGTTGTAGGCAGTTTGACTTCCATAGCTCGAGCATGGTAAACAAAACACTCAGTCGGTGGACCACTGAAACAGAATGACAGTCATATGCCTATTCAATGAATGACAATTCCCCTGTTATAAGTCATGATAACACCAACCAAAAATATGTAACTGGTGTCATGAAACAACAATCTAAAAAGATTAAACCTTTAAGTGAAAACACATGAATTGTTTTTATATTATATTTCTAACAGGCTCCCTCATGCAAGAGCCCTTTCAACCTTGAAGCATGGACAATTCATTGACCCACCTACTTTGTGCTGAAAGGAAACTTATTTTATGTAAAGAATGACGAATGAGATAATTGAATTCTAAAGCTCCTGGTCATGACGGCTTTGATGTTAGATTAAAACACAAAAATGTTTTATTTATTATATTTCTAATACGTGAAACAACTTTTCCTTACTTAAGTACTCACAAACTAAAAACTACCACTTAACTTTGATTCATCTGAAACAAAGAAATAATTTAAGATTCAATTCCCAATAATAATCACACAACCATTAAATTTTGCAACCCTCCCAAAAATATTATACGGTAGCTTCTTAATGTGCAAATAAATGAGATAATCAAGTGAGCAGAGATTGAAATTCAAGAATTAGGTTCTTACTCATTTCTTGAAGCTTTTGTATCACGAGCAAACATCTTGTAGGATAGCAATTTTCCTTCTAACTTGCGCAAAAGCCTGTTTACCTTGCTTACGCTGAACAAATAGGATTTCTCTTGATTTTCTACCTCATCCTTGCTGGAAGAATTACGCATTTCGTTATATTTAAAAATGTCACAAAAGTCCCCACTGACACTACTTTGGTTCCTACAGCCATCAGTGAGTGGAAAGATATAAAGGTAACGCCTCCATTTGGCAGAGAAATTTGGATGAAAGACGCGTGATACCTACAATAAGTCATATCTTATCAGAATAACTACTCCATGAAATGTGAACAACAAAGAACTCAATTCTGCAAGCCATGTTTTTGTTTTTGTTTTCTTTTTCCTTTGGATTCAAGGCAATTGATAACTCTTTCAAATATCAGTTTCACATTGCAGATTACTGAAAAAAGATATTACCTCAGAAACTGATATGACTCGAAGTTTTCCTAGTGCTGCTTGATTGATAGCATCTTCAATATCTTTTGGTTGAACATCCTTCTTCCAAGTGTCTGTGTATAATGAACCCTAGATCAGAGGCAAAAAGGCTTAACCAAAACCAAAGAATGCTATAAATAAAACCACTAACCCACCCTGTATGCCTCAGTAATGGGGAAAAAAATTATGTAACTTCTGGAAATTTTTCTTTCCTTTCATGGCATAACACTAATTTAATACATTGTAAAATATACCCTGCATGATTATACAAGTCTATAAATTGTGTCCATGCAATAATGTTTTGGTGTTCTTCATTCCATACATAAAGAACAAGGGAATATCACTGCAGAATTTAGTGAAGGATTTCCTTGATTCTTTTCAAAATTGATAACTGGGCTTACTTAGTATTTCCTGTGATAAATGATTGCAATCATAACCTTCTGGTGCACTTGGACTTGCTTCCAAGCTTGGTATACATCAAATTACCAAATTAACAGTTCTCATCCAAACTATAAGGAACTATTCATATTGTAGACAACAGTCTTACAAGAATCACATGAAAAGAAATAACTTATTATAAAAATTTAAATCTTCACCAGAAAAAAAAAAATAGTATCTCTAGTTTCATTTATGATTCATTATGCCTCTATAGAAGACAAAGTAACCTAATCATCCAAGTTCCCTTCCCACAGCCTTCAAAGATTTTCCCATGTCACTGGAACCCACTGTGAGGAAACAATCAATCCAATAAAATTCGGCCAGAGTAAGGCAGAAAGCACCCAATGAGATTGGAACAAGAACAAAATCACACTATAGAGGAATTTTGGTGGTCCCAAACGTCAAAGACGTTAATGTGTGTGGATTTGAGAACGTCATAGGCATTTCAGATGTCCTATATTCAGCGAAGGTACGTTTTGGGTGAGGACATGTGAATGTTAAATTTAACCAACCAAATACATCTTACACATCTAAGCATCGAAGATACCATATCAAATGAAGTCAGACATTAAACGTTTGATGTAAGAAATTTCCAAATCAATCAATATTTACTGCTGATTGTATAACTACAAGTGCATAAACATGAGGTCAAATAGTACTAAACAATCTTAGTCCCAAATATTGCACTTATAAGAGATACTTTGGGACTCCAGATTTATGTTCTTAGTTTTTGCATGCTGAAATCATTGTGCGTGACAGTTCATGTATACAAAGGCTTGGACATAGCAAGAGCATTGCTAATAACAGGGAAATGACTTACAGAAAGAACAGACTTGTTGAAGGCCTGTCACACCTTTGTCTGTCCGACCAGCAACAACAGCACAACCTTCAATAGGCAAACCTTTATCCTTGAGCAGTTGTGTTTTCTTTTCATCAACAAATTTACCAAGTGACGCTTCTACAATGCTGCATGCACAAATGAGTACAAGAGCAAGAAGCAGAGATATCATCCAATTAAAAAGATGAACTAATGGGGAGAATGAAATAGTAAAGGAGAAGGCAAGGAAACACTTGTACCATGTTCAATTGTGTCACATACATATCTCAATTTGCATCCTAAAGATGAACTAATATTCATGAATATTTTTTTATATACACAATTAATAGAATACAAAGAAAGAGAAAGCTAAATGGAGGCGTGTTGTATGTGACCAAAACCGTTTTGTAATAACAAAAACTTACTCCATCCAACTAATTGTAAGACATGCCATTTACAATAGGCAAAAAACTCCAGAAGCTGTAAATGTAAGAATAGCAACTTGCCTTTGGACAGTGTTCAAACCTGGCTGCTTTTGCCACCCATCAAACGAACCCCCATGATATGAAAGAATAATTTTGAACGTCGTCCTCGCCCACCTCCCAGAGCGATCCTCAGATGCAACACTTTCCAACTCACTTTGATCAGAAAGTGCTGCAATTCCAGTATCATTATGATCTAGAGTTGTCTGATAAAAATCCATGAATAGCATACAAATAGTTAAAGACAGTACTCACACACACAAATCATTCATAAGATACCATTTTACACTGAACCTATCAGAATCAGAAATTAGGGTTCAGAAACTAAAAGCATAAAATCTACAAAATTGGCTACCTGGGGTCCGAAGAGAAGTGACAGAGACAAGTTGGCACGGACAAGGTTGAAGTAAAAATCATTGACTCGTTGCCAGGGCCTTGCATACATAAATTGGAAAGTCTCCCTGAAACCCAGATAACATCACAACACATCAATTGCAATTAAATAGAAGAAATGCAAAATAAAAAATGGAATTAGAAAGAAGAAAGTTGCTTACCTCGCAGTCCATCTTACGTATTTGGAGGGATCGGTGTGGTTGTAATGCACGTGACTTTCAGTTTCGCTTTGTGCTTCCTTTTGCTTATTCATGGAAATGGAACGAAAAAGTAACTTATGTAAGCAATGTTGATGGTTTATGGAGAAACTAATGAATACACGTTTGGCGATGCCAACCGAGTAAGCACTGAGCATGGAAATATAATTTAACAGTGAAAACAAACAGAGGAACTTGGCTCCTCCTACATGCACGGTTCTATTATACGCTGATATTCAAAGGAAATTTCAACCCTGAATCAATTTCTCTACTTTTTTTTCATCCACTTTTATTTTGATAGATGGTTAAGGATGGAAATATTGAGAAAAAATGAATTAATTTGACAATTAATTTTTTCTCTTTATAAAATTGTTTAAATAAATAAATACAATACAAAGTATAATATTTGTAAAATAATTAAAAAAATTAGTGCATATATTAGATAAAATAAAGAAGAGATATTCGTGTGGAGTCTGGAAATTTTCGACAAGTGTTAAACAATAAATTAAAATGATGGAACTTACAAGAGATAGATTAACAAGTTTGTACTATTTGTAATAGAAATAAAAAACACTGAGTTAAATAAATGTTTGTACGAACAATAACCGTCAACAAAATATATAAAACTTAACTTATTTAGTTTTGGGTTTAATTTATATTTGAAGCAAAATGCAAATTAAATAAAATCTAGTTTTTTTGTAAAAATTTCTCAAATCTTGCTAAATAATAAAATTAATGTATATATACAAATAAAAAGGCAAAAATATTTAAAAACGTTTTCTCTTATAAAAAAATTAAGAAATACTCTTCACAAACCATTTTATTGTATAGGTAATTTAAAAATAGTATAATCAATCACTTTGTTATGAATAATTTAATTAACACAAGTGAATTTTGATTTAAGAATATATCTTAACCAATTACGGAAATAATATGTTTTCTTATTGAATATTTTAATTTATATCATATCATTATTAAATATTATATGTTCTGATAATTGTAATTTTTTGTTTCATAACTAATCCACTAAAGTTATTTTATTATATAAACATGTCTTCTAACAACATCTTAATAAAACACTATTTTATATAAATATGTCTCCTTGTATAAATTAATGTATGTCTCTTTCAATTTAATCACAAGAGTAATTAATATATATTTTCATACCATTCTCCTTTGTACAAGTATTTTAATCACAAGAGTAATTCATGTATTTTTCATATTATTCACAAATATTCTAAATATAAGATTCTATTTAGTCAATTCTCTTCAATGGATCTTTTCAGTGTTTTTCGTCAAACATCTTAGTGAGAAAGTTCTCGGATTGTTGGAAGTATTTGAAAAAATATTTAGACACTCAAAACAATAATTTTTTTTTATAAAGATAATAAAGATAAAAATACATTCTCTTTTTTATAACTTATTAATATTTATAAAATCATGAGTAGGTGATATACCTCAAAGTTTTATTGTGGGATTTTTACCTTGAATCCTACTATACAATATATATATTAAAAAATTTGGTTGAACTATATTTTTTTAAAACCACTGCATTTATTTAGTTGATTACTTACCAAAACACTTGTTTGTGTACATTATTTTATACGACATAACAGATTTCATATACACAAAATGATCAATACTCCCTATTTTCAAAAATACTTATAAATTCAATGAGAAAAGACAATGAAAAATATTTAATGAATGTGATTTTATTTATTTATTAAAGACAAATCCTTAAATTTAATATTGTGTTGTTGAATGCAGAATTTTGTATTTGAAACCTTTTGCGTACATGAGCTGAAAATTGTATACCTTGTTTGTAAATAGAATTTAATTTTTTAATTCATCTGTTATCAACTTGTATGTTTAAAGATTGGTGGTCAGAACCTCTTATATATTATTTAAGATACTTTTTACATGGATTATTCTCTATAGAAACCATTGACAATAATCACAACCTATACCAATTAAATTTATATAAAATGTATAATTTGCATTATTGTTATGTTAATTTAAAAAAAAATTAACATTTCGTTTATTTTATATTAAAAACATGACTTATTTTGTTTTGGTATTTTATTTTAAAAATCTGAAACTATAATAAAATTTGAATTCAATCACGGTACATTAGTAAAAGAGTATCCATTTATTCATTTTATTTTTGAATAAAATAAAGGAAATAATCATTAATTAATTAATTAATTAAAAAATAGCTGAGGATGATATGTCTTTATTTTGAAGACGAAGGTTGAAATAAAAAAAGAAGCGTCACAGAAGAAAACAGTGTGAAATAAATTGGAGGGAGGAACCCTCGATTTGTGCTTTCTCTCTATCTTTTTTTCATTTTTCTTCTCTCTTTTCTTGCTGTATTGAGTTCAGTAATTCCAGCGACATTACGCAACTTTGAAGCCGAACCCTACTATTAACTAAGGACTTGTAAGTTCGTATTTCTTCGTCTAGGGTTTTGGTAGTCCTCTTAAATAATCACCCGAACTGATATTCGCTGCTGATAAGTAGCGGATTCTATTCATCGCTTCGAATAGGTCTATGCATGTTATTTTAGTTTTGTTTTTTGAAATTTGTTTGTAATTGATTCATGTTGTGTAGCTCCGTTTGCAATCTAGAGTTATGAGTTCGTCTTCGGCAGATGCTTTTCCAGCAATTCAGGTAATAATGCTTATGTGTTTTGTAATCTGGATTGAATTTTTTTCTTCAGTAGATGTTTCTCTCCTTTTTATTCGGTCATGAAATCTTCTGTATTGAGACAAACACAATCTGGATTGTTGTGAGAAAGCTTAGGGTAGTGCTGTGCTAGAATGCGTATTGCATTAAGGATTCAGAGTACTGACGGTGTGTATGTGTTTTAGTCCCATTGTGTGGTTTGCCATTTGATATGAAGTTAATTGTAAATTTGTTTTGAATTTAATGAATAAAGTCAAAGAAGTCTGGGATCAAATTCGTAAGTGTTTTTCATTGTAGTCTTCTTCTGTTTTTCATTGGATAAAATACATATTACCAGGAAGTTATGCTGGAGTTCCGTGCTGGTAAAATGGTTCTCGAGGGAAAAACGGTTGTTCCTGATACACGGAAAGGGCTTGTTCGAATTGCTAGGGTATGTTTTAGTTGAATATTTTCACTAATTTAAATCATTCGTGGTATTTTAAATGCATGACTGCCGCTAGATTTCTTTAAATGATTGCTTTTTTGTCTCAGGGTGAAGAGGGATTAGTCCATTTCCAGTGGCTTGATCGCACACAAAATGTTGTCGAAGATGTATCCTTTATTTTCCCTCCCCAGTACAATTGCCCATCACATTTAAGTGGATGCACAATTATGTTCCAACATTTTGGTGCAAGCTTGTTGTACTTGCTATTGTAGGTTTCTTGATTCTGGTTTTATCATTCTCTTCAAGGGAACGTTTTTTGGGTTTCTTTGTGATCAAAATATTCTGTAATGATATCGATATGATAAAGTTCAGGGGTATATGTTCTAACAGAATGAACATAAGGTTAATTGTGACAATGACACATTTTTGAACCACAGGTTAACATGGTGAATGGCTAATTTAATTAGTCGGACACTAACAATCTGCTTGAAGCAAATTGATGGATAACTGAAGTTTAGAGATTGAGTCTGAACTTATTAATCTTTTACTTCATTCTAAATGAAATATGTCAATCACTTCCAATCAGTATAGGAGGTATCTAACATGTCATATTCTGGGAGTTTTCACCTTTTTAACATCTGTAATTCCAAGTGCATTTGGATTGTTGTCCTCAAATTTGATATTTTGTGAGTTGTTCTTCCTGTTCCTTTCTGACCATTATTCTGTTGATTATTTATCATTCTTTTTCATGCTATCACTATGATATTATGCTACTTCGTGCTGGATTTGTCTTGATTTTTCTTGACCCAAGCTAAAACAGGATCAGATAATATTTCCCAATGAGGCTATTTTTGAGAAGGTTCCATTGCTACTGTCAATCATTTTGGTTTTACCATTTTTTTATGATTATAATGACTCTAATTCTTGGTTGCATAGGTTAATCAAACATCTGGAAGGGTTTACATATTAAAGTTTAATAGTGATGACAGGAAATTTTTCTTCTGGATGCAGGTTTTTCTTGTTACTTAATATCTTCTTATCAAGTAATTGCTTTACCTTTACAATTATTTCTTTCATTTCTATATGATCCTTCTTTGTGTCTAGGAATCAAATGCTGACGGTGACTCACAACTGTGTAGCTCAGTGAATGATTACATTAATCGACCATTAGGTAAGTTGTCCTGTTTTTACTTCAAAGTAGGAATATGCCTAACTTCCTTTTTGTTAGCTTAAGCCTTCTGTCACCAGACTGTCCTATTATTCTTAAACTTCATTTGCAAAAAGTTTTTGTTCTTGATATAAATGAAAGGGAAGTAGTCTTGACAAATATTTTCTCTGTCAATTTTTGAAAGTTTTGGAAAATATTAAAGTTTGTTTTCATTTTGAATTATTGATTTTTCGCTCTGAGAAAATTAATAAGTTGGAAACCATTTCTTTCAAGAAGTATACACAGTCCTTTGTAATTCAACTCTATTACTGACAAAACTTTTCAGAATACATGAAACCATTGAATACATTTCAAGTGACTCGTAATTTTCATCTAAGTTGCATGATGTGGGTATGGGTGCTTGTAAATGTACAGGTTTGGGTATGAAATATGACAAACTTCCGCATGCTTGGGGGATCAAGTACCACAGGATGTTATATAAAAAATATAAAAACATAAGTATGAAGGGATTCAATCATTAATTAAATTCAATATTCTGAACATGTTAACTCAAGTCATTATAAATATCTAAGGAAAACACACATTTTGAAAAGTAATCATATGGTTCATTAGCAGCAAATTAAACAACTAAGCTACAAACCTTAGTGCTTTGTGGACCTCTGTACTCATGTGATTAGTGAGTACTGGTGTTATATACTGAAGTGTAATAAGTAATGATAACAGATACATACCCCATTTGGCTGGCTACAACTAATATTTAGAAGTATCCATATGTCACGGATTTTCACTGATTGCTTAAGGACAGTAATTGACTTGACCCTACAAGCATAGCTTCTAATCTTTGATTTCTTTTAATTAAAGTGGTACATATTTTTCTTGTAATTGGAGTTATATTATCACAAGTCTAAGTAGTCTGAGTTGTCTCCATATTATCTTACATATATGAATCTTAAATTTCATCAGTCCACTGTCTAATAGGTGATGTCAAGTACTATGATTATTAATTATATAGCTAGACGGGCTCTCTAGCAGTGGAACAATACTACTGAAAATTTTCTACTTGGAAACCTTCTGTTTGGTTTTGGTTCTTGGATATTGTTATGAATAAGTTCTGCAGTTATTTCATTGTAAAATGGAAATAAAGAGAATTGTATACTGTTAACAGAGTTACTTGGTGAAGAGGAGCCTGATGGATCTCTTCCACTTCAACTTTCTGAAGATATGGCTGAGGATGACATCCCATCTAGGTATTGATGTATTTTGGATATTTAAATGTTTGCAGATGCTATTGCTCAAAGTTAATATTTTTTTTCTTGGTTTGTTTTTCTCTTTTAATTGATGAAAGTAATTTGTACTTGTACAAAATACTTTTTTTTTTTTTTATCAGATAAAATTCTGGTGAAGTTCCAATGACAGTGGAAAATAAGGCTTGCTCATACATTTTCTGTGTTAATTCAATCTTTTAGATCATCTCTCACTGTCTACTTTATTTAATTTTTGACCTATTTCTAGATATAACCATTCTGTTAGAGTTGGTACACTGACCCAATCTAATGTGGGTGGCTCTTTTGACAGTAGAATTCCGTGCATATCCTCTACCTTTTAGATGTATATGTAGCCTTTCTGTGCTAGACTGATTGATTCAAACTGAACAACTGGATAATGGCTATGAAACTAATTTGGCTTCCAAGGTGAGGATTTCCCCATGAATTAGTTGAAAACAACCTTTTTTAGAATTTGGGCTTATACTTAAACATCACAAAATTGACTTGTAGGGTGAGGATTTCAGGTTTTATAAGCACTACTTGGACCTTATCTCTAGCCTGTGGGATTTCAACCCCTAAAGAGTTTACATCCTAGCAGCTCCACACTAAGATGCATTACTCAGCCTTTTTGGTTCACCCCTTGTTGCCCATTTTTAGACATTAGCAACTGACTTTGACTAGCTGTCCTTAACATGGCTCAGAACCAAGAAGTATATCTGATTTGGATGCAATATATACTGTTTTTACAGAATATAGTTTTTTAATGAAGAGAAAGAAAGTAAAGGCCTGATAATGTTGTCATTTTTTAAACTATGAAATTATTTTCATTAGCAAATTGTCTCATCTCAGCCAGCCAATGCTTTAAGTTCTAAATGATGCATGGCTTCATTATTCCTCTCACCACTAAATATCTTAATTTTCTTTTCCTAAGCATGAGATTATGTTATTTAAGGACTTAGTATAGTGAGTCATGACCATTCTTCTTTTGAGAATTGGTTCCTCTTAAATGAAGGGTACATTTTGTAGGGTACAATGTATACTTATGACCATTGATTGGAAAATTAACAGTATTGTGATGAAATATAGATACATATATAACAAACTATGACGTTGTTAAAGTATCAATTTTTTTTTATTGCTTACACTTGTATATAGCCAACTGGACACTAAACGTATTAAACTTTTTGTAAAAAGAGCTGCAAACTTAGGTATCCCAAACTTGAGTGTGGAAGCAACGAGTGAGGTACCATCTTCTGGTCGGGTTAGATTGGAAGATCTCCAGAGAATATTGAGTAACCTTGGGCCTGCAGGTAACAAGTTCAATTAAAAGAGATAGACTTTAATGTATTTTTAATTATTGAGGCCTAACCTGGTCTCTTTTTTTTTCCTTGATATGTTTGCAGATAGTATTGTTGATCCTGATGGAGGTAATGTTTCCACACTATATTCTATTCCTTGGCATCTTTGAATACAATAATATAGATGTGTGTCAACACATAATATTGCATGCTATTTTTAACATTCAAATTTCAAACTAGAGACTGCATAGCTCTTCCTGAATTATATTTTTCACGATAATGATGATAAGAAAGAAAGAAATATCAACTAACCAGGATATGAAATTTTATTTGCTCTGTTATGGGTGACAATGTTTGGTTCATCATTGGAGTGATATTAATTTTATTTTTTTTTGGGGGGGGGGGCACCTGGTATCATTGCTGGTATCATGTCTTTTGATTTGGAATTTGTGATTGTCAATGCACGATGAGATGGATTTGTAGGAAAGGAATAAGTTTGACTGTTTGCTTTTTCTTATTTTGGGGCAAAATGTTGGTAAAATATAAATTTTCTTTGACAATTTTCCTGTATTTCATTAGGCTTGGGACTTGGTGATATATTGAAGCCTGATCTAATAATGCCATTGATGGAGACATTACCTTTGGAGCAACGTTTAGCTCCCTATTTACCTGAGGTAGGTGTCAATTTGGTTATTGATTTTTTTGTATTTCTTAATTTACAGATCCATTCAATATTTTTTGATGTAGGGTAAGTCGTCTCCAGAAGAGATATTGGAGTTGTTGCAGAGCCCACCTTTCCGTCAGCAAGTAGAGTCATTTACTTATGTGAGAGTGCAGTGCTTCACTTATCTAGTTTTACATTTCTTCTCAAAATATACTTAATAAATGTGTTTATTTTATAGGTACTTCGAACGGGACAGATAGACTTGTCTCAGTTTGGAATTGATCCAAGTAAATGTGAGCAGTACTTTCTTAGTCTTTAGCCTATAGCGCGAGTATTATTTAGTTATATTCTAGCATTTTTAATGCCCAAAGTTGTAGTTTCTTCTATAATCTAGCTTCTTATAAGGACCTGTATAATAGATGCTGATGGAATCGTCATGTTGTTTCCTTGTTCCGTTTGGTATGGTAGGGGTTTTAGAATTAACTTTTTATAGCGAGTTTGGAGTAAGTAATGGGAAAAGGGACTTGTCGTTGAACACCCCCTCAGATAGTTTTGCAATATTCTCTTCCAAATTTCCATGCCCTTTTTGTTTGAAATTGGGAATTGACTATTTCATGTGTTTTTGGAAAGGACACAAGTGAGAAAAAAAAGTGGTTAGAAACTATTATCGGATTATTGGTTTGACTATTTAATATTGACGATAATTTGTTTCTTTCATGGCAGACAAGTTCACAGTTTTGTCTTTTCTGGAGGCTCTTGAGGATTCTGTTTCGAAGTCGTTAGAGTCTGAAGAGACTAGGCAAGATGATCAGGATTTAAGATCTCAATCTTGTAATCGTCATGACCAAATGGATGAATCTCAGTAGGTTGGCTAATTCAGCATCGTTTTTTTTTTTTTTTTTTTTTTTTTTTTTTTTTATAGATACAAGAGTTATCTCATGTTTTTATTTTTTTTTCAGACATTTGAAAAAATAAATTTAAAATGAGGTGAGAAAAAAGGTACAATATCATTTAAGATCTTTGAAGGCTATAGATTGAGTTATTCATCAATGAAGTTCACGCAATCTGTTTTCGGTTTCTTCCAAAAATATTTTTCATAAATGATACTCATATATATATAATAAATTTTAAGGCTGAAATATGTTTTTGCCTTTCAATATGGATTTCTTTATATGGTTTTCGGTTATCTACATTTAAATATTTTTATCCTGAATTTCTAAAATTGTTTTTTAATCCCTCATAATGCTATTATCAGTCTGTATCAAATAGAGGATCATGAATTTGCAATTTTTTTTTTAATGTAAATTGTAGATTTTTGCAATGAGTTCAGTCCGATATCAACCTAGTGCTGTGCTACTCCAGAGATTGTCCCACGGTGCTGTGCCATCATTTGAAGCTTTGAACCTATGAAACCTAGTACAGCTCTTCTAGATGTTAAAGTAAAGCGGAGTATTAATTGATTTTGGAAAAGTTGATAGAAAGGTATTGAAAAGTAATTCCTCGATAAAATAAACGTGATATTCAAACGAGCCAGCTTTGACGACTTGGAATTAGTTCATATTTGAAAAAATTAGTGAAAAATAGGACAGTTTTCTACTAACTGTACTGTAAACTCGCAACAAATTCAAGTAGCTAGTTTTTTTTTTTTTAACGCTAATTAAACACAAGGATTAATTGAAAACCATACATTTAAGAGTTATTTAACTTTTAAAAAATAAGTATAACCTATGTTGAACTAAATGAGCTATGTTAAAATGTCTGATCTATTCACATACATCATTTGACGCACAATATCATGCTCTATTAACTGAATGCATTTCGAGTGCACGGATAATTAAAAAAATGTTTTACACCAACTCTGCAAAATATTCTATAATAAACAGCGTCCTGATCGATGTAAATTGGAATAAGAAACAGAGGATGCTTAAGCCACATAATTGCCTTCCCTAATTTTGCTCGAAGCAAACAACTACCCCTGTTCAACATTTTGTAGAAATTTTCATTGCCATCTTCATTGGTGAAACTTCGGTTTCTGGAAGAAGAGAAGACAACTTATCGCGAGCACAAACTTTGGTTAAGGAACTACATGAATTAGAGTCGTGTGACGTTGGCTTCAGCTTTTTCTTCTCTTCATGCTTCAATCGTGTAAAACTCTTCATTTTTAGTTTGGTTTTAGGCTTAAGTTGGAGTGACATTGCTGCCCTTGGGAACCTCATAAAGGGTTATACTGCTGCCACCCGTTTGAAGCATTTGATCTTCCTCATTTTCCCCCTTTGACTGAAAGTTTTCGAGCATTTCAACAACCTGGCTCATTAGCGGTCTTCCTTTCGGGTTTTGGCTAAGACATTGGTATGCTAAATGGGCCACCTTCAGTGCAGTTTTACTTGAATATTGTCCCTCTAGTTTTGGGTCCAAAATTTTTAAAAGTTTCTTATTATGATTCAGTAGCGGGCGGGCCCACTCGACCAAGTTGTGTTCACGGCTGGGCCTGCTCTTGTCTAATGCCCTTCTACCAATAAGCATTTCAAGTAGTACCACCCCAAAACCATAGACATCACTTCGAGCTGTCAAATGCCCTGCTCATGATGCCACACAGATTGGTTAACAGATGTTATCTCACACTGATTATTCATTACGGAAGCACATGCAAAAATAGTGGCTTGATCATCAGTTTAAGATTTAAAGGACTGTTGTAAACAAGAAAAAAAAAAAAAAAGTTGGTTTCTGTTCCTACAGCATAATGTACACTTTGGAAATAAACAGATCTATTGCACAAGGTCTCACCCATTAAGGGCTGAGAAGGGTAAATGTCCCAGTCATCACCCCGCAAGAAGAGAGCTTTTTACAGGTTTTGAACCGGTGACCTTTAGGAGATCACAAGGCAGCAAAAACTTATTGAGGCCAAGGCTCACCCTCATATTAAAGCACTAAAATTTGACTCAATTGAATAATATTTGAAGTTAAATATGTTTCAAGTCTCTAAAAATGAGTTTTTTCTTTTTTTCTTTTTTTTTTTTTTTTAAATCTCTCCCTACTGTCTTTTATTTATGCAAAAATGTTAGATGTGATTCTTATCCTTCATCTGCTTCTAATCTCTCGTGTATGGAAATAAGGACAACAAATGACAAGTGTCCATAAACCAAAAGAAAATGATTCAGTTTTTAGAGACTAAGCGAACTAAAACACATTTAACCACGTCCAAGTACTTTGATAGAGGCCCAGTGATAGATCAGCTAAATCATGGACCCAAAGTGTGGTATGTGTATTCTAGAAAGGGTAAAAAAGGAATGTGACTCTTCTCGCTCGAGGAAAGAGAAATTATTAGAAGAGTAAGTTTGTTAGGAGGGATGGGAGAAATTCGGTTATTTAGGGATGAGTGTCATGTAGTGTGAGGGGGGAGAAAAGGAGTAAGAAATCAGTGGGTAGGGAATATTTGTCTCTATTGGAGCGTAGCTCTGTGGGTGGCAGTGAAAAACCATTCTTCCTGTTGCATTTATATTCTTCTCTATTACCTTTCTTTCCCGCATGTTTTCTTACAATTAATTCTTAAATCTGTTATACTTAGTACTTGATCATCTTAGTTTGTAACAAATTGGTCCGACGTGCCGGATTCGACTTTTGGGGAGGGAGAATCAGCGAGGTGTTGTTAGAGTGAATGCCACCAAAGAAGAAAGGAGTGAAGAACGACGAGATGGAGGCAAGACTTACTAATATGGAGTACGAGGTTGGCGCACTTAAGGAGGCGATGGTGGAGTCACAGCGGAAGATGGAGGAACAATTTGAGAAGCTCTTTCAGACTTTGGTAAAGGGCGATCAGCAATCACCAACGACTAACAATGCAGAGGGAGGGGGTGACTGCAGCAACCACCACCACCACCGAGAGGAACATGAATATGGGGAGAAGAAGAAATCAACACCACCAGGGTCACTAAGGCATTTGAAGGAAGAGGTGTTAGAGGAATTCCGACAATGCGTGAAGAAGGTCGAGTTACCCATGTTCGACGGTGAGGATCCAGTGGGGTGGATCTCACGCGCTGAAATCTATTTCCGGGTGCAAGACACTCATCCAGAGGCTCAGGTGAGCTTGGCTCAGCTCTGTATGGAGGGGTCTACTATCCATTTCTTCAATTCATTGCTTGATGAGGATGAGGAGATGACTTGGAAACAATTGAAACGTGAGTTAATGGATAGATATGGTGGGCTAGGGGAGGGTGACGTGTTCGAACAGTTGGTGTCGCTGCAACAAGTGAGAAGCGTGGACGAGTATATTGAACAATTTGAGAGGTTGACTGCTCAGGTGAAGAGACTACCAGATGACCAGTACTTCGGGTACTTTGTACATGGTTTGAAGGAGAATATTCGAGGAAGGATCCGTTCACTGAGGGACCTAGGACCCATATCCAGATCCAAAATGTTGAACGTGGCAAGAGCGGTGGAAGCAGAGTTTCAAGGGATCCGCCCAGGTTGGGGAACAGTGACTCGCAAGGAGGTAGGAAATGGGCCATTTCACCCAAAAAGGCCCAATTTAGGTTTGCAAAACAAAGGAGTTAGAGGAACAGGTTGGGCCCAATTTTGTGGAGGAAGAGAGCAATTTGAAGAAGGAAATCTAATGAGAGGAGGGGGATTTGGGCCAGCTCAACAATTTAGGCCCAACAAGAATGTAGAAGGGGAAAGTGGATCTAGCCCTCGTAGTAGTGGATCACGGGGTGACAGAGGAGTCAGACACTTATCTTTTCAGGAGATCACAGAACGAAGAAAAAAGGGACTATGTTTCAAGTGTGGAGGTAAATTCCACCCAATGCATCAATGCCCAGATCGCCAGTTGCGCGTGATGGTGTTAGACGAAGAGGAAGAGATAGATGATGAACCTACCCAAAGCACCTTTGAAGTTGAGGAAGAGGAGAGGGTTGATGGAGAGTGTAGTGTGATTGATTTGGGAAGTTTGGAAACTAAGGAAGGCCAACAGTTCCAAACTCTAAAACTAAGAGCAACCATTCAAGGAGTCCCAGTGTTAGTATTGGTGGACAGCGGAGCCACTCACAATTTCATATCGAGGAAATTGACTCAAGCAATGGGGTGGAAGACTGTTGACACAAGGGGGATGAGTATAAAGCTGGGAGATGGGAGTAAAACGGTAGCTCGGGGAAAATGCGAGGCTGTGGAAATGGAGTTCGGAGGGCTCAAAGTAACTATCGATGCCCACTTGTTCGAGTTAGGGGATATCGATGTGGTTTTGGGCATGTCTTGGTTGTCTACCATGGGAGAGATGGTTGTTGATTGGGGTAAGAAAACCATGAGGGTAGTGAGAAACGGAGTGTGGGTGAATTTGAAGGGAGAGGACCAAGAATCCCAAACTACGTTTCAGAGCCTGTTTATTGGGAGGCGTACATGGATGGGGGGCATGTTGATGTCCACGGATCTAAAGTTTGCTTCTGGAAATGTCATTGAAGATGCTAATTCGGTTCTGACTCCTCAACAGAGAGAAAAATTGGAGTTAATGTTGTTGAAATATGAAGCGGTATTCCAAGATCCACAAGGAGTGCCCCCAACAAGGAGTAAAGAGCATATGATAGTGTTACGTGAAGGAGAGAGACCAGTTAACGTGCGTCCGTATAGATATCCCCATCATCACAAGGATGAGATAGAAAAACAAGTCAAAGAAATGTTGAGCATGGGTATCATCAGACCAAGTCAGAGCCCGTTTTCGAGCCCAGTAATTCTGGTTAAAAAGAAAGACGCTACTTGGAGGATGTGTGTTGACTACCGTGCTTTGAATAAGGCTACGGTCCCTGATAAATTCCCAATACCGGTGATAGATGAGCTGCTTGATGAGGTTCATGGGGCAGTTTTCTTCTCTAAGCTGGACTTAAAATCCGGGTACCACCAAGTACGTATGAGGGAGGAAGATGTGCATAAAACGGCGTTTAGGACCCATGAAGGCCATTACGAGTACTTAGTTATGCCCTTCGGGCTTATGAACGCTCCTTCCACATTCCAATCCTTGATGAATGATGTTTTTCGTGACATGTTGAGAAAAGGGGTGCTATTGTTTTTCGACGACATTTTGATCTATAGTGGGAGTTGGGAAGAGCATCTGAAACAGCTTAACCATGTACTACAGAGGCTGTAACAACATCAATTGGTGGTCAACAAGAAGAAGTGCCAGTTTGCTCAGAGATCCATTGAGTATTTGGGCCATGTGGTCTCAACCCAGGGTGTGGCGATGGATTCAGGGAAGGTGGAGAGTGTCAAACAGTGGCCCAGCCCAAAAAATGTCAAAGGAGTGCATGGTTTTTTGGGGCTAACGGGTTATTATCGGAAATTCATACGGGACTATGGAAAGATTGCAAAGCCTTTAACTGAGTTGACTAAGAAAGATGGGTTTCAATGAAATTCTCACACTCAAGATGCTTTAATCAGCTAAAGACAAAAATGACGGAACCTTACCCGATTTCACTAAACAGTTTCTGATCGAATGTGATGCCTCCGGGGGAGGGGTTGGGGCAATACTCACACAAATGGGCAGACCAATAGCTTATTTTAGTAAGGCCATAAGTGAACGCAATCTGTCCAAATCAGCTTATGAAAAAGAATTAATGGCAGTAGTGCTGGCAATCCAACATTGGAGACCTTATTTGTTGGGTAGAAAGTTCACGGTGAGCACTGATCAGAAAAGCCTCAAGCAACTCATGCAACAAAGGATTTCCACCATGGACCAACAGAATTGGATGGCCATGTTATTGGGCTATCAATTCGACATTGTATATAAACCGGGTGCTAGTAACAGAGGTGCAGATGCTCTATCCCGAATGCATGAGGTCAAAGGGTCTTTCTGCTCTTTGATATACTATCTGTTTTGGGAGGACAGTCAAAAAATCATTGAGGAGGTGCATCAAGACCCCAAGTTAAAGGCTATCATTGAAGGGTTGGTTCAAAATAACACGCTTAAATCAGGTTTCTCTTATATCAGGGGAGTCCTGTATTATAAAGGAAGGTTGGTGATATCACCAAATTTTGAATGGATACCTAAATTGTTGCAAGAATACCATGCCACTGCAGAAGGGGGACATTCAGGTTGTTATCGGACATATCGACGCCTTGCAGCCAACCTGTATTGGATTGGGATGACGAAGAAGATTCAAGAATATGTCCAACAGTGTGATATTTGCCAGAGACAGAAATATTTGGCTACTTCCCCTGGTGGCCTTTTGCAGCCTCTACCAATTCCCCAACAAATTTGGGATGAGGTTTCCATGGACTTTATAACGGGTCTCCCTAAAGTTCGAGGGTATGAGGCAATATTAGTGGTGGTAGATAGGTTGTCAAAATATGGACACTTCATTCTTCTTAAACATCCCTATACAAGCAAAGACGGTGGTCGAGATTTTTGTCGGGGAGGTGATTCGGTTACATGGCATTCCCAAGGCCATAGTCAGTGATAGAGATCCTATTTTTGTTAGTAATTTTTGGAAAGAGATTTTCAAGTTGCAGGGCACTCAGCTGAAAATGAGTACCGCATACCATCCCCAAACGGATGGACAAACGGAGGTAGTCAACCGTTGCCTAGAAACCTATCTACGTTGTTTCATCGCTGACCAACCAAAAACGTGGGTAAATTGGGTGCATTGGGCAGAATACTGGTACAACACCACATTCCATCAATCAACCGGAACTACCCCGTTTGAGGCGGTGTATGGCCGTAAACCACCAGCATTGGTGAAATTTCTACAAGGGGAAACGTTGGTGGAAGCTGTGCAGCAAGAATTGGTGGACAGAGACGAAGCTTTACGACAACTAAAACATCATTTGACTCGTGCTCAAGATCGTATGAAGGGACAGGTTGATACGCATCGTCAAGAGCACAATTTTGCTATTGGGGAGTGGGTTTTTCTGAAGTTGCGCCCCCATAGGCAGGGCTCGGTAGTCACTAGAATTAGTCCCAAGTTAGCGGCAAGGTATTTTGGTCCTTTTGAAGTGGCTGGGCGTGTAGGTGCAGTGGCTTACAAGCTCAAACTACCATCGACTTTGAAGATTCATCCCGTGTTTCATGTCTCATTACTCAAGAAGGCAGTGGGTAATTACGCAGTGGAGGCTAAATTACCTGAGAACATTGAAGGAGCGGAGAGCATATAGGTGGAACCCGAGGTTATTTTAGCGGCCAAGCGTGTGCGAAAGGGAGGGGAGGATGTTGATCAACTGTTGGTTCAGTGGAAGGGTCAAGGGACAGAGAGTGCCACGTGGGAAGATAAACTAGCCATCCAAAGTCAATTTCCAAAAATCAGTCTTGAGGACAAGACTGTTGTTTTAGGAGGGGGCAATGATAGAGGCCCAGTGATAGATCAGCTAAGTCATGGACCCAAAGTGTGGTATGTGTATTCTAGAAAGGGTAAAAAAGGAATGTGACTCTTCTTGCTCGAGGAAAGAGAAATTATTAGAAGAGTAAGTTTGTTAGGAGGGATGGGGGAAATTCGGTTATTTAGGGATGAGTGTCATGTAGTGTGACGGGGGAGAAAAGGAGTAAGAAATCAGTGGGTAGGGAATATTTGTCTCTATTAGCAGTGAAAGACCATTCCTCCTGTTGCATTTATATTCTTCTCTATTACCTTTCTTTCCCGCATGTTTTCTTACAATTAATTCCTAAATTTGTTATACTTAGTACTTGATCATCTTAGTTTGTAACATACTTGGTGCAAAGTTACTTCCACCTTATCATTAAAAATATTTATCTAGAGAAAAAAAGGAAATTAAAAAAAAAAAAGTTATGACATATTATGACCTCATGAAAGAAAAAGGTTCAAATATCACAAATAAAATGATATACCAATTCTAAATTTCTAATGTCACAACTCCAACTGGCAGAAATCTAGAATATAATTGATAGTTGTTTCTTTGTCTTATAATGTTGAGATCGGACAAATTTAGAGAATCCAATTTATATCACCTGTCGAATATGTTAATGCAATGAATGCAGGCTTTCATTTCCAACGTGTTCAGACATGTCTAACAACAGTTGTTTATGCCAACTCACAATTGTGTAAATCACTAAAAAAATGAGAGTAATTGCACTTTTTTTATTTGTTTTATGAATTCTCGACACTTCGGATAATTAAGGAAAATGATAATTCACCATCAACAGCTTCTAGTAACTCACCTGTCATGACATACTCGGGAGCAGCATATCCATACGTGCCCATTACTCGTGTTGAAACATGGGTTTGGTCCCCCATCGGGCCATCCTTTGCAAGGCCAAAGTCTGAAAGCTTCGCATTGAAATCCTGCAAGTTTATATACACCTCTATTTAATAGCATAAACCTAGATAAACTTCACTTGTTTATAGTGGCTTCCAAATAAACATTTTAAAAAATTTATAGCCTTTTTTTCTACATTATTCTTTTCAATTTTCTTTTAAGGAAATAATTTGTTGGAAGATCTATGATGTGATTTGAGTAGGACAAGGACAGTCCCTAATTTATTAAACCAACAAACAATAATTTTGCTAGAAAATAGAATAGAGAAATTAGCATCTTAAGTTAAGAATATTGTAAAAAGAATCAAAATATACAAACCACACATTAGAACATAGTCTTATCGATAAGCAACGATCATCAATCATTCTGTATTTTGGCCATTGAAAGCCCTCTAAAGAAACCATTAGCTGAGCACCATTAAGATGCTAAAATAAACTTTTATCTCAGCTTCTTTTAAAATTCGAGTACAGTAAGTCAGGTTGAATAGTTAGGGAAGATATTTATGGAAAAGCAAAACAGTTTTTTTGTTCCTTTCAAATTTTGCCGAAGCTAAAAGTATCTCAGTTTTAAGAAAGCTACAAATCTCAGTTTGTAGTAAAAAGATGGCAGCAAAAACTTAATTTCCAGATTAAGATAGAAGAAAACAAACCGCATCTAGCAAGATATTTGAAGTCTTGAAATCACGATATATAATAGGTCTTTCTGCACCATGAAGAAAAGCAAGCCCCCTCGCAGCATGTAAAGCAATCTTCATTCTTTTTGACCAAGTCAATGTTGAGCCCACTCCTAGCATCAATAAACAGTATGATGTTTAGGATGGTGAAGTAGAGACAATTTCTTTACCAATTTTTTCTTTTATACTTATATTCACCTACACAATGCACTTATGTAATAGAATGGTAAGAATTATGAGTTTATTCAAGGCTTCCATGTCAAAATGGAGCTTGGACAAAAGATGGGACACTCATTACATGAATTGATCACAAGACGAGGGGCTTATTAAGTTATGATCAGGTTAAATATCAAAGAGAGAATTTACAAATGGATCAATTTTTCCAACATATTGTTTGGTCATATAACTAACTCATGCTACAAGCCATTTAGAAGACATATGCAGAAGGTCAAGCACTCCAGAATCATGCAGAAGGTTAAAGGATAATAAAATAAAGGTGTTAATATTTTGGAACCTTTCTTCCCCACAGCAAAGTACATTTGAAGAACAGCCACTACATAAAAAGGTAGAACTGGGCAGACAGGGACGACAGGAAGGTGGCATAAAGGCTTCGCATCTCCAATCCAGAAGGTGTTAACTTAATTGAGCTAGTCTTCTAGATAAAGGGATAAATGTGTAGCCTTAGTCAATAACATAAAAAAGTAAAAGCACAACCTCGCAGGTACAAACCCAATTACACATAACTAGTTACGAGAATAATCTGATCCCAGTAAATATATAACCTTAGTCCAATTTAACAATTAGATACATTTGCAAATTTCATGCAAAGCTTACTGCGGAATAGGTGTTTCTCCAAGCTCCCGCTTGCCATGTATTCATAGACCAATAACCGATGTTCATCCTCACAGCAATATCCAATGAGCTTCACCAGATTAGGGTGACTGAATTGACCTAAATAGTTAACTTCCGCCTGCAAAGTAAACAAAACCATAAATCTAAGTTCAGTTCTGTCCGCTCTTTACTTGCATAAACTTCTTTCCCCTCTAACCATCAATTCTCACCGCCAAACACCAAATTAAACTCAACTAATAGAATATGCTCGACTACAAATGATCCATTATTTCCTCTTCTCAACATCCTCAACTCCAAGCCCTATATCTATAACCAGTTGTTTTCGTACAATAGCAGAAAACCAAACAATCGCACAATAGCTTCCTTACAGAACATGTTGGGATTATTTAGCTACCATATGTTAACAGAAACGATTAAGATAGAATAATCGTAAATCATAAATGTACTGCTGAGATATACCCAGCGTCCACCATCACACTAGATTAACCACGTGGGTAGATATAGTTAGTAAGAGGTTAATAGAAAATTCGATGTAATTCTATACAATTATTAACATTAATGTCTACTAGTGACACTAACGGTTTAAATATATCTTACTAAAATATCTAATATTGATTAACTTCGTCTTCCAGGTGGTTGAGTAAATGAATGTGTACACATAATTATCAATGGGTTCTTACTACACTAACAGTTAAATATGTTTCACAAGACCAACACGGTGCTGCATGATTAGTAGAAAATCTTGTTCATTAAGCATGTGATCAGGGAATCGGTCCCGAGTTCAACACATGAAAAAATTCTGTCGAGATATCTTAAACACTTAAATGGATCTCAGTATTTCAAAAGATTAGTCCTTAACTATTGGCAAAGGGATCTCGATACCACAAATTCACATAAAAAAAGTCTCACGAGTGTTTAATACTTTCATAAGATAACTGAAACATCTAATGGTGGATAGTTATAATAAACGAATTAGTCTGTACAAATATGAGTATGTACTCGAGGAACTAGTAATAGTTTAATATGCCTCTCTCAAGTGGTTAATATGTTACGACCTTATTAAAAAAGTATAATGGTGGACACTGGGTGTACGCTTTTCAGGGGGACCATCACAAATTTTAGTCAGATAAAAGTGTTAAATGACAAGAGTAGGAAATGTAAGTTACGTACGAGCCATTCCCTGTCTCCTTGAAATCCTTCGCGATTAAGTTCCTTAATGGCGACCTCGGTAGCCTTGTAACCCGACCTCACACTGTGGTCTATAACGCCTTTATATACAACTCCGAAGCCTCCTTCTCCCAAGATGAAATCGGGACGAAAATGCTTCGTGGCTAGCCTCAGTTCCTCGTACGTGAAACTGTCCACATTGCTGTATCCAGCACCTTCGCGGAGATCTTTGATGTTTATAGAAGCAATTGGAGCGCCAGATTCATGACCTACTAATCCTATTTCAGACGCTAATCAGCGTTAATCCATTATTAAGAAGAAAACGGGATCGGATCGAATTGGAAATCAGAGTTACCTGGAGACTTGGCGTTAGGCTTGGGTTCGGAATCGGGGACGGAGAAGTTGTTCTGGTCTTCAATGCTAAAGCAAATCCCCATGAATCTGGATCTGGATCGGAACCTCGGAAAACCGCATTCACGTCGGCGTTGGCGTTGGTATGCAGTTACATCATCTGAAGGATTTGAGATGGTTCATCGGCAAATGGAACCAACTACCGATAAATTGGAACTGCGAATTGAATTTGAAGAGACGGAGAGAGAGAGAGAGAGAGAGAGAGAGAGAGAGAGAGAGAGAGAGAGAGGAAGGTTTGACTGAAAGGAGTGAAGAATGATTGAAGGTTCAATGGCGTTGGATTCACCGATGGGCGCAGAAAGCGCCAAAACTAAGGGCTCCAATCTTCTTTCGTTTTGGTCCGTCTCTATTACACAAAATACCCTCTAATCGTATGTACTATTTTCACCCTTGCCATTTCCGTTTCAAATATATTAACTGTTTAAAAAGATTAGTCACAGAACAGTTGTACTTGTACACTCTCACCATTGATATTACAAAAATATTTCTTTATTTAATTAAATGATACAATAATTTAGTTAAAATATAAAAAATATTATTTAAAGAAATTACCTTAATATATATATATATATATATATATATATATATAGATATATATGTTTTAGATAATCCTAAATTTAGTATATGAATATTTAAATTAAATTTGTTATTTTAATTATCTAAAAATCAGTCTAATTTATAATTATTTTCCTAGACACATTATGGTTCTAGCTTAACAAATCGTGACTTCTTAAATATAGTACTTTATGTATAATCATGCTCCTAATTCACCATAACTTGGAATTCATTTTTACTTCAAGGGAGATCACTAGTAACTGCAAAGATACAACATATTTTATCTTAACCAAGAATATTAAAAATAATTAAAATATATAATAGTAAAAAATATATCGATTAATTTACAATTATCTAGACATTATTTGGATAAAATATTAAAATATGTAAAATTTTAATATGAATTTAAGTAAAAAAATAAAACTGTAAGATTCTTTTTCAACTCTCGTTGTTTTAATAAAAAATTAAATAGCTAATATAAATATTCTGAATAAAGATAGTAAATATATATATATATATATATATATATATATAACATTTTTGTTTTTAATAAAAATCAGTTACATAATAAAAAAAGTTACTATATGATTAAATTTTAAAAAAACTATTATGTATTTAAAAACAACTTTTTTTTAACGAGAATATCATTTTTTTCTATATTAGTATAAATATATGGATATATATATATATATATATATAGTAATAATTTATAAAATTGAATTATTTATTTAAATTTAATAATTAAATTCTACGTACTTAAAATAAATAAAAATATATTCATTTTAAGAGTTAAGAATTTATTTGTATTTTTATTATTGTTTTTTAATCTAATAATAATAAAATTATTATTTTAAATTATTATATTATAAAAAAAATAATAAGTTTTTAAATAATGATTTAGAACACAATTTCATATAAAAAAATTACTTTAAATGAGTCACGTGTTTATTTGACTAATTATTTAATTTTGATAATCAAATGACATTATCATAATAATGAAATTATTTTTTATTAAATTACTAATTATACTTAAAATTTAAAATATATTATACGTTATGGTTCGACCTATCACAATCTGATTTTAACCCTTTTAACCATTAGATTAAAAGAGCGGATTCATTGTGACCCATATTCGATAAAATAAAAAATATTAACCCAATCCAACTTTAATCCATTATGAATCGGTAAAACTCATATTTACACCCTTAATAAACGAGAGTATGTACTTAAATTAATCTTTGTGCATAGTATTATATTGATTATATCACTTGCAGCATGTTGATTGCGTGAAATATCTTGAAGCCATAAGTCAGATTTTGCTAGATTCCTCCTTTCTCTCGGCGGAAACAAAAGGCAGTGAGTATATAGGAAAAAAATCCACTTAACAATATTATTTGAGGAAGAAGAAGAAAAAGTAAGAAAAAAATTACGAGAAAAATAGATAAAAAAGACTGAACAAATGAATTGTTGATATAAAAGACATACATTGAAAATAAAAGTTCGAAACTTTTTTTATTTAAAAGATAGGGAAAAAAAACAATTTTATCCTTTCAGTATATTATTATAGATTTCTTCTTCTTTGTTTTAACTGCAACCCACACGCTACATGTAATAAATCATACTATCGTCATAATAATGTTTGACCATGTAGATTAGTTATTACATTATATTAAAGTAAAAAATTATGAAGGTCTTAAATATGTTATTACAGGATAAGAGATTACAAAAAGCAAGTTAAGAACTAAAATAAATAATGGCTATTGAAACCATTAAAATGAGTTGGAAAACTAAACATTTGATTTTTGAGTAAATACACGACGACGATACTCTCCCAAAGCCCATAAGGGAAAAATGTTTCGATATAAAGAGTAGTGTAGACTACAATTCCTTATAAATAATCAGTAATCTCCTGTAAATGAATAAGTGAGATGCATATTAATGAGAAATAGATGTGAATAATTTGACTTCACATTAGATAAGAGTTTTTTTACCTCTTGGGGGAAGTCTCCATCTTCCATATGTGAATTGATCAATAACCTTATTCCACGCTCTACTGGTGTTGGATCTATCTCAATCTTTTTGTCAACAAAAAGACCACTTTTAACATAATAACATTCTACATCTGCCAGGAGACACTAGTGCAGAATATGGCTTTTACGTCACCCAATTGTCGTCGCATGCACGTATATTCGACGTAAATAAAACGCGGTGGCAATTTTGTAAATATGGGACAAAAAATTTACGTCGCACACCCCAATAGGAGACGTAAAAAGTCATCTTTTACGCCGCACTGGGAGGCGCGACGTAAAGATGGCTTTTACGTCGCGTACGGGGGACGCGACGTAAAAGCCTTAGCTTTTACGTCGCGCCCCCGTACGCGACGTAAAAGGCCATCTTTTACGTCGCGCCTCCCGTGTGTGACGTAAAGATGACTTTTACGTCGCTTACTACACCGCGCGACGTAAAAAGTCTATTTTATTTCCTCCCGACCCACTTCCTCGTCTCGCGCAACCAGTGGTTTTTGAGAACGACGACGAGAACAACGACAACAGCCTACCTCTCGCACACCATTTGCGAGCAGCTTTACAGTGAAAAACATCTACATTGTCGTGTCATTTGACGAACTTCATCTTTCTCCCCGATTGGATTCGAGTTTGAAATCGGCTTTCGTCTACACTCGAGGTTAGTGTTCATTGTCATTGCTATATGTTTACATTGAATCCGTGATTGTTTTTGGGGATCTCAATCACGTTATAGTATGAATGTCTCCACCGGATTGTTATTGGAATGCGGTTATTTGTTTATTTGTTTGAGTGCATTCGGTTTACACACTCCATTGTTGTTGGAACGTGCTTTGTTGTTTGTATATTAATTTTTTTTTACATATAATTTTTAAATCTTTAGGAGTGACGAAACTTTATAACATAATATGAATCGAAGTTGGATGAATGCACGTCGTATTAGTGAAGAGTACGAAAAGGGAGTTGAGGAATTTCGAAATTTGCTAGTGAAAATGGAAAAGCTATGAAAGGGACATATTATTGTCCATGTGTTCGTTGTTTGAATCAAATTCGTCATAAACTTGAGGATATACGTGATCACTTGTTTGTTTATGGTATTATTAAGAGTTATACAATATGGACATGGCATGGAGAAATATTAGACATCCCAACCGTGTCAACTACGTACAATTTTGATGAAGGGATGGATGATAATCTAGAGGATATGATACGTGATATTGGTGAAGAACATTTTATGAAAGCACATCTATATGATTCTTTGAAATCCGATTTTGCGCAACAATTGTACATAGGATGTAGTTTTACAAGATTATCGAGCAACTTTAAAATTGTTTACTTTAAAAGCAAGAAATGGATGGACTGATAAAAGTTTCACCGAATTATTGGAGTTGTTGAAGGAGATGCTTCCTGAAGATAATACATTACCTATTCGTAACTATGAGGCAAAGAAGATATTATGTCCAATGGGTTTAGAGTACAAGAAAATACATGCATGTCCTAATGATTGTATATTGTACGTAAATGATTTTGCTAAATTAAAGATGTGTCCGACATGTGGTTTGTCGAGGTTCAAAACCAAAGTTGAGGAAAGTAGTGGTGAGGAAGAACTAGATGGTCCCCCGCTAAGGTGTTATGGTATTTGCCAATTATACCTAGGTTTAAAAGATTATTTGCCATAAAAGAAGATGCAAGAAACTTGACATGGCATGCAAATGGTAGAAAATGTGACAATCTTCTTCGACATCCAAATGATTCTCCACAATGGAAAAGGATTGATGAAACCTTTCCAGAATTTGGTGCAGAGCCAAGAAACTTGAGAATTGGATTAGCTACGGATGGGATGAATCCTTATGGAAATTTAAGTAGTAAACATAGTTCATGGCCAGTTATGTTGATCATTTACAATTTGCCTCCTTGGTTATGCATGAAGAGAAAATATATGATGTTATCTATGATGATTTCGGGACTCGACAACCAGGAAATGACATAGATGTATATCTTAGTCCTTTAATTGATGATTTGAAGATGTTGTGGGAAACAGAGTGGATGTATTTGATTCATATCACGAAGTGAATTTCAGGTTGCGTGCAATGTTATTTTGTACTATAAATGATTTTCAACAATCTGGAAATACAAAGGTTGGAATCCAACAATATATGCAAACATGGATGAGTGACTCAAGAAGACATATATATTTGGCTCCATACATTGAAGGGTTAGTATTTTGATTTGTATTTTAATTTATATTTTTGTAACTAATTTTTATGTCATACAATGTAGTCCCATTGGCGTTAATTGTAATCATACCCGGATTACACCGTGGTATGGTTTTGTTCATTACATCGGAAACCGAGTCAAGAAATGAAAAGCTTATTACAAGGGTAACTTTATCTTTTATTCATTAATTATGTTTTTAAATTGTGAATACATATTGAATAATATATGACTTT